AGACATCTGAAAGGTTCGACATTATCTACATACCCCGCCGCCATCAGTACAGTGATTACCATGAAAACAGGCATCAAGTTGACGAAAGTACCAGAATTACTTGCTCTGCTGAGATCTTTTAAACTGGAGGACCAGCAAAAGAAGTCCAGAGCTCCGGCCTGGGATCTGAATGTAATTCTACGTCATCTTACCAGTGATGCCTACGAACCTCTAGACCAGACTACCCTCGAGCTGCTGACACAGAAGACTCTGTTCCTGCTTGCGCTAGCCACGCAGCTCGAATATCAGAGATACATGCGCTGGACTTTGGTCGAACCAGATTCGACACGGGGCAACATGCTGCAGTTCATCTAGGACTTAGATGGGACTTTATTGCCAAGAACCAGCTACCTGGTCAGCCAGATAGACAGTTCCACGTACCAGTGCTATCTACAATCCTCGGCCAACAGGATATGGAGGACTTATCCTTGTGTCCGGTCAGAGCCCTGAAGATATATCTTCAAAGACTAAGACAAGGAGACGAAAATTCAAGCGCCGCCTGTTCATCCCATTATCCACAGAGACATTAGCAGAAGTCTCAAGAACGACGATATCGTTCTGGATGAGAGCCATCATATTGAGAGCCTATAAAGCAGCAGGACTAGAACCTCCAAAAGCTTCCGACCCACACAAAGTCAGAGCATTGACGTCAACACTAGCTCTGCATGAAAACTGCTCTATATCAGCAATTATAGAGGGCTGCTTTTAGAAGTTGGTCACGGTGTTTGCCAACCACTACCTCCGAGACATAGCCACTAGAGACGTCTCAGGCATTCACCCATTTGGGCCGCTTGTTGTAGCACAGCTACCACGGCTCCACAAGGGCGCTGAGTTGGAAAATCTCACCCTTTATCACGTTGACTTGTTGATAACTTTTACTAAAGAAAAGTATTAGTTTGAAAGTCCATGCGCACAGTCTAGGACAGGCTAGCATGAGTGATTAATTTAAAGATCCTGTATGGGTAAAGATCTTACCTGTACGTGAAGGGGTCACAACTCATTATGATAAAGATCTTATCACAATCTATGGGTTGTTATAAGATATCTAGTAATAAGAAGATACTAGTTTATCTGAAGCCACATGAATCAAGATGCTTCAACTTGTCTGAGATGGAAGTGGTCCCCCCGAGTTATAACGGAAGTTGGAGAATAGGATCACGGAAATACCGTTTCGCAGTTCCCATGGGGGGGGATACAGGACGTATCTAAGGACAGCTGATGAATCCACGAAGTGGCTTGACCCACCACCAATCCGTCGGATTCTATAAGCAAAAGATCATGAGTCAGGATAAGTAAAAATATGTAATTTTTTAAGTAAAATTGATATTTTTATACTTATCCTGACTCATGAACGAAGCCCTCCCAACCACCCCGCTGAAGACACTTTGGATTTCACAGCAGATCCAAGTGCATGGGCAGAAATTCAGGAGAGAGTGGCAAGTAACGCTGGTCACATGACTGTTTGCGCGGGAAAAGGGAGGTAACTCGTGGGTGAGTGTATTTTTACGTCCGATTCGGGAACTTCAAGGGATTCAAGTGTTCCACTACCATTCGCAAGGAAAAGGGAGATAAGCAAAAGATCATGAGTCAGGATAAGTATAAAAATATCAATTTTACTTAAAATATTACATTTATGTCTATTTCTGTAATGTTTTGATTACAGTGCCTATCTCTTTTTGAATTTGTACTGACTTTTTTTTTGCTGCTGAGTATATATACCATATATGACCCAAGAACTGAAATTTGAGGAGCAAAAAAATCCACAGTCTGCAGAAAGGGATCAGCTTTTCTATGGTTTACTCTTTCCTTTTTCTTGTGGTAGGAAAATGTCATCAGATCACTTTGTGTGAAAAACCAAGATAGAATTACTTGGTAAAGGCGTCAAATATGCAAGTAAACCTCACTAGAAAAGATTATTTCTATTTTGTTACCACCACCCAGCATGTAAAGCGTGGGGATATAGTCGACACCTCATGCCGTCCGTCCGTCCGTCCGTCCTTAATCATTTTGTTTCCGGAGCATAACTAAAAAAATGTTCAATATTTTTCAACAAAAGTTGGTACATATATCATAAAAGAACCTAATGTGGTGCCTTTTGCTGTTTATAGATTTTTGTCATGTATATTTTTTTTCGGTTTCCATGGAAAAGATTCGGACTAAGTCTCAAAAGGGAGGGGTGGGCTTCGTTTCCGGAGCACAACTCAATATCTTTCAACAAAACTTGGCAGATATACGAGGCAGATCTCAAAGTAGTGCCTTTTGGTATTTGCAGATTTTTGGCCTTTTTGTTTTTCTTGGAAGCGGTTTGCACTTAAAAGGAGTAGTATACACGATGGTGGTTCTGCTGCGCATAGGTGCACCATGCCTAGGAGCCTTCAAACGGCCAATTCGGCTCTCACAGCCACTAAAAATAGTAGAGTTTTGTGCAAAGCTAGTGCGGAAGACAAAAAGTGGTCCAACACATTCCACTGGTGGAAGTGCACTCCAATTAGAATTATGCGAGTGTATGGACATAGAACAATGCCAGGAACCAAGCTATCGCGCAAAGCCTATGCCGAGATCCGATCGGGTCGTTTGTCCCTTTGGGAGGCGAAGAGGAACTACCACATATCACAAGCCAGATATAAGTGAATCTGGGGCAGCCCCAACCCCGAGACACAAACGGAGACAACTTCCGACATGGCAGAGGTCTTAGAGACCCTGCTAGAGAAGTCTCCCTATGTTTTGCTTAACAAATCCTGGAGCAATTGGGACACACCTTCTACGAGCGATACCAGATCCCTTAACAGTTTCTCAAACTCTATTTGCTGTGTTTCGCCAATTTGTAGAAGACGACAGAATAGTCGATTTTGTCTACCTCTACCTGCCCAACCAATTTTGACCAGCAGCGGGCAAACTCTGAATCGTTTTCGACGACTGCCCGGAAACACGGGACAGACACAACCGATGCACAGACTGTCTCACCGCTATATCGGAACTACCCACCCTATTCGAACTGGACAACTCTACTTGCAAGTGCGGCGATGTGTGGGTTGGTATGCAGTGCTTCGAGGTCAAGTGGACAACCTTCAAGAGAATACGGCAGCCAGCGAAAGATAGATCCTACCATCTGCCCCACCTTCTGGATATCCAGACGGGTCTCTTCTTGTTCCTCCTCTTCGCTTTCTATTTCCTTGTGGAGCTTGTCGAGAGTGGAATGGTCATCCTCGTTGTCCAGCCAAGACAAGATATCTTCCCTGGACGATTGTAGAAGTCCAGGATGGTGTGACGTCGGAGTTATCTCGCTTGCGGGCAAGAGGGTGTTGGTCGATGGTTCTGCAGCGGGCAACGTCAGATTTGGAGCTATCTCGCTGGGGGGCAAGAGGGTTGACGGTTCTGTGGCATGCTCTTGCCTTAGCTCATAGAGCCTTGTGGACCCAATACCAAAGCGCTTTTTTACCTCGTTTGCCGGGAGCACACCGCGAAGGGAGCGTATTTCTTTGATCTGGCCTGGAGACAAATCTCTTTTAGGTGGCATGATTGTTTTTCCTGTATAGAATACCACTGTGATAAACTTGTCATAATATAATGTATAGAATGCCACTGTGATAAACTTGTCATAATATACTGTATAGAATACCAGTGTGATAAACTTGTCATAATATACTGTATAGAATACCAGTGATATAAACTTGTCATAATATACCGTATAGAATACCAGTGATATAAACTTGTCATAATATACTGTATAGAATACCAGTGATATAAACTTGTCATAATATACTGTATAGAATACCACTGTGATAAACTTGTCATAATATACTGTATAGAATACCAGTGATATAAACTTGTCATAATATACTGTATAGAATACCACTGTGATAAACTTGTCATAATATACTGTATAGAATACCACTGTGATAAACTTGTCATAATATACTGTATAGAATACCACTGTGATATAAACTTGTCATAATATACTGTATAGAATACCACTGATGATAAACTTGTCATAATATACTGTATAGAATACCACTGTGATAAACTTGTCATAATATACTGTATAGAATACCAGTGATATAAACTTGTCATAATATACTGTATAGAATACCACTGTGATAAACTTGTCATAATATACTGTATAGAATACCACTGTGATAAACTTGTCATAATATACTGTATAGAATACCAGTGATATAAACTTGTCATAATATACTGTATAGAATACCAGTGATATAAACTTGTCATAATATACTGTATAGAATACCACTGTGATAAACTTGTCATAATATACTGTATAGAATACCAGTGATATAAACTTGTCATAATATACTGTATAGAATACCACTGTGATATAAACTTGTCATAATATACTGTATAGAATACCAGTGATATAAACTTGTCATAACATACTGTATAGAATACCACTGTGATGTAAACTTGTCATAACATACTGTATAGAATACCAGTGATATAAACTTGTCATAATATACTGTGTAGAATACCACTGTGATAAACTTGTCATAACATACTGTATAGAATACCAGTGATAAACTTGTCATAATATACTGTATAGAATACCACTGTGATAAACTTGTCATAATATACTGTGTAGAATACCACTGTGATAAACTTGTCATAACATACTGTATAGAATACCAGTGATAAACTTGTCATAACATACTGTGTAGAATACCACTGTGATATAAACTTGTCATAATATACTGTATAGAATACCACTGTGATATAAACTTGTCATAATATACTGTATAGAATACCAGTGATATAAACTTGTCATAATACCAGTGATATAAACTTGTCATAACATACTGTATAGAATACCAGTGATATAAACTTGTCATAATATACTGTAAAGAATACCACTGTGATATAAACTTGTCATAATATACTGTATAGAATACAACTTTGATTAACTTGATATGCAATGATGTGCTCACTCTATGGAACTCTCACTTTCCCAGAAGGCCAGCAGACTACATACACTTGGGACAGGTTTTCTGGATATCCTGAAGCAAATTATCAGGCTCCTTTCCAACACAACATGACTTCCACACAGTGCGTTGCCATGGCTACAGATACTTCTACTTAAAGTGTTGGCATTGCTTGGACCCCATGATGAACAGTAAGTGTAGAGATGTGACATTGGGTATCTTTGCCTGTTTTTAGAGTGTTATGTATAATTGCATTACAGTGTAAACATTGTCAGTGTTGATGAACTATCTAGATGTAAGTGTCATCAGGAATGCTACATTGATTATAAAAACTGAATGATCAGGTAATAGTTGATTTTCTGGAAAAGTTCATCTCTGAATTTGTTTTTTCTAAACTATTAAACACTTAAAACAGTTATGCTTTCTAGTTTTTGAAAGGAAATACAACTGTCAAGATGATTTTGGTTAACATTTGCAGTTTTGTTTACTTTTCCAGTTGTGTTTTGCATGGATTCAAACTATTGCTGGAACATTTCATGCATATTTATGGAACAGCTGTATTTATTGATCAGTTGTATCGCTGTATATATAGATCAGCAATTTGCAATGAGGTTTGATTTGATAGTTTGCACAGAAGGAATTATTTAAAGGTCACATGCAACGTAAAACACACCTTTGCAGATTCTAATACCTTTCGGTATGGACTTACCGAAACAAATCATCAACTTATAAAGTTGAAAAATAACGCGATGAAAAAAAACGCGAAATCGCAGTTCAAACGATTCACCTATTTTGCCCCGACTTTTCGGGGGGAAAACTGGTTTCAACAACTGGGCTGCGCTCATAGCACGCGCGCGTCTATTTCACCCACCGCGTTCTTCTTAGTGAAATAGGTTAAAAGCAACTTGGAAGCGGGCTGTCCGGGTGAATACACCAGACAAAGCTCGGTGAAGGCTTTGGTGTGAGCTATTTTCCTAATGTTTTGTTGATATTTCACAGGCGCGATTTCGGTGTCTGTCACATTATGTAATTACACAGACAGGCAGGTGTCATACTTGAACACATGACAAGTTATGATGTCTGTTGATTGCAAAATGTTATACACAAAAAATGAGCATGTATTTACAAAACCCAACATCTCTATATATACACACACAATGAGCCGTGAGGGCATCTGCAAATGAACCAGCCGTTACACCCACCCGCTCTGACTGGGTTCGGTATCCCGGCTGCTTCGTTTCTTGGGAAGTAAACCCAAGTACACAATATTGCACTTTTGATTTGCGATTGTACGCTTATAATTTTGTTTATATGTTTTTTCATAACCAGCAATGTATATTATATGTCATGAATAAGTGATAATTGTGTTTTAATTATGTTTGATTTTTTGGTTGCATGTGACCTTTAACTCTGAAATGTCCTATTGTGGAGGTATATCCACATCAGTCAGCACATATTAAAAACCTTGGAGTCAACTTTGTGTGCAGACTCTTTGAGTGTTGTCACAACCCCTAGTGTACAGTACACAACCCTGTGCACTTAAAAGAACCCACGAATCCATTAGTAAATGACCAGATGGTGGCCACATGAATACGTGCAAACACCTAGTTGCGGGTACAGCAAACACCTAGTTGCGGGTACAGCAAACACCTAGTTCCGGGTACAGCAAACACCTAGTTGCGGGTACAGCAAACACCTAGTTGCGGGTACAGCAACGTACAGTAAAACCTGGACAAAGGACTGTGACTGTGCCCCAGTCCACCCAGCTGTGAATGGGTACCTCGTAAGGATGCGCCTAGTGGCTGCACAAGTTGTATGATCCCCAGGGAGTTGATATTGAAAATAAGATGTACGCCTCTTCGTGGTGGGCTTAGATAGGGGAATTTTATTCCCTGAACTAAACGTACATCAACCAGTTAGGGCTGACCCCCCAAAGCTGCTTTATCTTACTGGGTACACAGACAATCAAGGAGCAAACCATCTTTCAACTCCGCAGCCTAGTCAGCCTCCGGTAGTGACACCAACCACACTGGAGATGGGCCTTTCTACAGGAAAAGGCACAGCACCCGATCAAGAATATCTTGGCTAAACCATCTAAAACCCACACTACTTGAGTGTGAGAAAGCGACAGGATGGCCTGCAAATTCACGCATCAATGGCAAGTCGCTTAAGCTGCATTGGGACAATGCCATGCCCATGTATGCTTACCTGACGAAGCAAAATGTCCGAGACCAATTCTGGTGGCTTAAGAATCTCATGCGCTGTGAGCCAGTTCAACCCACAACTGGTGCCCGTCAGGAACCTTTGCATGAGCAGAATGCTCAAGTGGCAGCAGACCCCAAACTGGTAATGGATGTCCACGTCAACCTCTTTCCTGTTCTTGATAGAAACTCTTCCGGCATAGAGTCAATTGGCCCTAAAATTTCTGACCCTCACTCTTCCTCTTCTTCAGTTGCCAATTTTTTTCAAAAATCCTGTGTATATTTTGTTTTATTCTATTTATGATGAAATATCTTACATACCTTTAAAAAAACCGGAGGCCAATCAAACGAACAAATGAATCTTTTCCAAAAACATGAAATTAATTTATTAAATGACATTATTTCTATGAAACTTTCCGTGGACCGTTCATTACATGTTGTGTCTATGCTGCCGCTCGAACCTTGGAGGAGCTAAAAAAGGGTTTCCAAAGAAAAATCATCTAATACTAAGAACAGTACACCAAAGAAAAAACAGTTTCAAGTTAAAGTGACGGAAACTAGAAAATACATTTCCTGGATAGAGCTGTGCCATAAGTTAAGATCATCAGGGAATCGCATGTCAAAATGACAAAAGTCAATTTGGAGAAAATGAAAACTGAAATACAAAACAACGAAAGAAAAGATATTTCTCCAAATTATCGATTCCCTTAAGGTCAAAATAAAGGTTTCGACTGAAAGAAAGAAAAATCAAGCAGAATAAACTTTTGAGAAATAATGAAAAACACTTCTACTGGCAACTGAAAACAAACGGTGATGGTGAGCATGATAAATGGCCTCCCATTGATGCCAGTGAAAGGTTCTGGAGACAGTTGTGGTCTGTACCCGGCGACTGTAACCTGGAGGCACCATGGGTGAGTGATTATGACCATGAAATGCATGAGAAAATAACTGGGTCGTTTGTCTGTTACATCTCACCAGATTGCCTGAAAAGTGTCATCAAAAAGTCAAAGTCTAATACAGCTCCAGGGCCTGATGGCATTCGAAACCGTTATTGGAAACTGTTCCCCTGTGTCCAAACACCATTACTTCACTGCTTCAATACTCTCGTGGACACAGGTGATAGTCCTCCATGGTTCTGCAAAGGTCGCACAATACTCCTTCCAAAAAAAGGAGACTTGACTGATCCCAAAAACTTCCGCCCTATCACATGTTTGAATACTCAGTATAAAATATTCACAGGGTGTTTGACAAACCTTGTGTCATCATACTGCTCTTCCAATGATAAAATTTACAGAGAGCAAAAGGGGGCGAGAAAGGGATGTTGGGGGTGCAAGGATCAACTTCTTGTACAGAAAATGATTTTGGAAGAGGCTAAAACATATCACCGCAACCTCTCAATGTGCTGGATTGACTACAAGAATATGACTCTGTCCCTGATGAATGGATTCTGAAGTCTCTTCATTGTATTGACCTCCCGGAGCGACTACTTGATTTACTCAAGTCTTTAATGAGTTGCTGGTCGACTCAGCTTGAGATGTACTCGCAAGGGCAGGTGCAGACTTCGGAATCTATTCCAATCAGAAGGGGAATATTTCAGGGGATGCCTTTAGCCCTTTGCTTTTTTGTTTGTCTTTAAATGCTTTGAGCTTTTTGCTTAACATAGGGGAGGGTTACCATCCCGGACCACCTCAGCACAGATCCCCAACACCGCTTACTCATCTCCTTTACATGGATGACATGGAGCTCCTTGCCAAAGGAGATACCAATCTGAAAGAGCAGGTTCTCCTTGTCAAGTCCTTTTCTAATGATATTGGCATGGCATTTGGACTCGACAAATGTAATACTCTCCATTTGAAACATGGCAAGGTAACTAATGATGGATCAGTCAGGTTACAAGGGGGAGGAGTTACTGAGCATCTTGTGGAAGATCAGGCCTACACCTATCTTGGAATGCAAGTTTGAGCCAAGCTCCAGAATGCCCTAATTCAAGACAAACTTCAGGCCGTGTATAAATCTCGGATAAAGAAAATCTGGAGCTTGGAGATAAATGCTCAAAACAAGGTCAAAGCCACCAGTACCTTTGCTGTGCCAGTCCTTTCCAATGCTTTTGGAGTAATTCATTATACGAAACAAAAAATCCAGAGTCTTGACCAACACCTTGTCAGTGGATGCCCTTCCTTGGCACAATCAGCATATCTTAAAAGACATGATGGCATGGCTCGCTGCTTTTATTACGGTCTCCTTATATGCCTGTTGCTTTGACTCCGAGGTCCATCCATGGTATGACCCTGAACATGTCCAGGGCATCATGTAAAATGATGCTTTCAAACTTTTGTGGAATAGGCCCACATACAGCCTCAGAAGAATTCCAGCCAACAAACCTAATCTTGTCCTTTTTGATTAAGCCAACGAATTTATTTACATCATTAAATTTTCTGTCCCTTTTGACAGCAATGTGATTGGCAAGATTCAGGAAAAGCATACTAAATATGCGGACCACGCCTTTGAAATGTCTTGCTTGCATCCCAAGTACACTGTTGTCAGGCTTCCAATTGTTCTCGGTGCCCTTGGTTTGGTACCTCCTGATTTCTTGGCGCAGATCAGGAGAGTGCCCGGGTTCTCCACCGGGAGTACAGCCCTTCTGACACTCTGGGTAATGCACTCTGGCAGCAGGTTTAACCAGCTCTCTGATTTTCATCAAATTACTGAAGTTATGCTACCACTATCACTGTGTAATCTGTCACAGAGATTTGGAGTTATATCAAGAACAGTTTCACAGAAATAACTTTCTTCTACCATAGACCTGTGAAGATCCGGGGTAGAATAGGTCTTCAGCAACCCATGCTTGCCACAAAAGGCGACTATGCTTGTTGTAAGAGGCGACTAACGGGATCGGGTGGTCAGGCTCGCTGACTTTGTCGACACATGTCATCGGTTCCCAATTGCGCAGATCAATGCTCATGCTGTTGATCACTGGATTGTCTGGTCCAGACTCGATTATTTACGGACAGCCGCCATAGCTGGAATATTGGTGAGTGCAAAGTAAAACTAAACTCAGACTGGAATATTGAGGGGGTGAGTAGCGGTGTGGTTAAACTAAACTCACTGACTCACTCACTTTCTGGTGTCTACCATATTTGAATATGCTTATATTTGAAATATGCTTATTTTGATGATTTGTGTATCTATATGTTGTTCAAATTGTTTATTTGAACCATGAGTTTCTACTCACTAGCCACTTGACTTCTGCAGAGACAATACGATACGTACGACCAGCCGAGCAATCAGTACAGGCAACTGTGTTGCACAAGTAACAATGGAGCAACAATCAGATCATGCTACAACAGGGGCGACCTGTGCAGCTTCAACAATGGGAAATCTCACAGTGATGTAATGTCACTCATCAGAAGCCTTGGGATAAGTGGAACTAAGCCAGCTCAGAGAGGAACAAGGAGTGGAAAGCAGAAACGGAAAAACAATCAACTGAATTCAATTATTTCTGTGAGGAATTGTAGATACCTAAGGATGGTTCTGTGGAACGCACAATCCATTAGGAACAAATCTGTGGAAATAAGTGATATGATACTTGATAAGAATCTGGATATTCTTGTCATCACCGAGACTTGGCTGAAGGATACAGGTGATGAATCCAAGATAGCTGGCTGAAGGATACAGGTGATGAATCCAAGATAGCTGGCTGAAGGATACAGGTGATGAATCCAAGATAGCTGGCTGAGATGATGCCACCTGGCTACCTATTCGTGAGTGTGCCCCGGAAACACACACGTGGAGGTGGGATTGATATCATGTTCACAAAGCATTATGAATTCCAAGCTGAATCATTTGAGGTTGTGAGTATGATTGTTTCTCATGACAATATTTGTTCCAGGACAATATGTGTGTACCGTCCTCCTCCATCAAAAGCAAATGGTGCAAGTGTTTCTGGCTTTATCGACGACTTTAACAAACTTCTATCACAATTGCATCACAAATATGCCATTATCATAGGGGACTTTAACATCCACTATGATTCACATGACAAGCCAGACTTGAAACGTGTCATGAAGCTCCTTAAAACACATGAGCTAGTACAACATGTGCAAAGTACTAGACACAGGTGTGGACATATCATTGATTGGGTTCTTACTAGGGAGAATTCATCATTGATACAGAGAATTCCAGTAGATGATGTGTCGTTGTCGGACCACTATCCTGTAACAATCGAACTAAAGCACAAACAGAACTAATCTCCTGTAGGAATACTCGGAAGATGGACAAGAATGTCTTCCGTCAAGATCTAGAAGAGTCCAATCTTGTACACAGTGATTCAACTGACCTGGACGGGTTAAGTTATCTAACTGACCTACTCTCCCAGCACAGTCCTGTGAGAACATTAAGATCAGGAAATCTTCATCTTCTGGAGATACCAAAACGTCATCTGAAGTCATTTGGCTACCGCTCATTCAGCTATGCTGCACCTTCTCTCTACAAATGTCATTTAAAGACATTCCTTTTCCGAAAATACTATCACTGCTAGATTTCTGTGTTCGTACTCATTTTACATACTGTGTATATACTCATCATAGCGCTTAGAGCAGACACTTAGTGCCTGGAGTATTTTAGCGCTTTATAAATTCACTAATTATTATTATTATGATTGGACCAGTAAAGAAGGCAAAGACTGTTCCCTCTGGTATGCAGAAGGTGTCGTCATGCTGGACTATCTGATGAAAGGAGAGAATACAGAGAGCACGTTGTGTTCCACAGTTTAGGCAATTCTGGTATGAAAATAAGATAAGACTCAAGATATGTTGGAAGTTGAGAAAAGGTGTGCTCATCAGAACAAATACGCCATCATCATGGCTACAATACAATCCAGGACTAGTTGATCAATTTGGCTTGATCAACACAAGTTGATCTGTCTATTTAGGCAACATGTCTTGGGCAAGTCTGAACTCAAGCTGAACTCCCCAGATCTGCTGTCTGGTCACTTATATTTTCAGGTTGTCAATTGTTTAATTGAACAGTATATATGAATGCAAAATGGGTCGCTGAGCCACCACCTGTCCATTGGATTCTAGCAAATAATGTGAGTCAACATAAGGAAAAATGTGTATTTTGTTGGATAAAAATGGTATTTTATACTTATCATGAATCATAGATGCAATTCCCTCCCAACAGTCCCCACTCTCCACTATCTTGGCATAAAACATCTATTTGGCTTTGAAAATGGTGAGAGTGAGAGTCACCGCACAGTCACGGGGCCGCTGGTGAGCATGCACGGGAGGAGGTGCGTGCGGGCGAGATGTTTTTACTGTTTAGACTGTTCATGGGAACATAGAAACAGAGACTTCCACTACACCTCAGGCAGAAAGGGGACAGAAGCAAATGATATGAGTCATTTAAGTATAAAATATCATTCTTATCCAAATAAATACATATTTTAAGAGTTGGTAGGTCAACGATCCCTGAGCCAAGCTCAGATGATGTGGATCAGTTTATAATGTTGTGTACGTAGATGATGTGGATCAGTTTATAATGTTGTGTACGTAGATGATGCAGATGTGATTTCAAGAGTGAATTTAGAAGGTCCACCTGTGTGTCCACTCAGCCAATACCCTGTAATATGCAGCAGCCCATATATGTGGATGACACCTTGTGACATGTTTCAGTTTAAGATCCGAGATGTGGCCTGTCCTGAGAGATATCATCCAGAGGTCCACAGTCAAACAACACATTGCATTTGGTGGGTAACATCACTTCTGGGATACATATTACGTTGTTGACCATTAGGCATTTGTTTTCCCAGAACAAAATAGATCATGACTTTATAGGTTCTACAGGATTGTCATCATGTGTGTCTACAGCTGTGTATCTTGACCATATGTGACCGACATGTTTGTGTCTACAGCTGTGATCTACGAGTGTAGCCTCACCATGTCTGACCAACATGTTTGTGTCTACAACTGTGATCTACGAGTGTATCCTGACCATGTGTGACTGACATGTTTGTGTCTACAACTGTGATCTACGAGTGTATCCTGACCATGTGTGACTGACATGTTTGTGTCTACAACTGTGATCTACGAGTGTATCCAGACCATGTGTGACTGACATGTTTGTGTCTACAACTGTGATCTACGAGTGTATCCTGACCATGTGTGACTGACATGTTTGTGTCTACAGCTGTGATCTACGAGTGTATCCTCACCATGTGTGACTGACATGTTTGTGTCTACAGCTGTGATCTACGAGTGTAGCCTAACCATGTGTGACCGACATGTTTGTGTCTACAGCTGTGATCTATGAGTGTATCCTGACCATGTGTGACTGACATGTTTGTGTCTACAGCTGTGATCTACGAGTGTATCCTGACCATGTGTGACTGACATGTTTGTGTCTACAGCTGTGCTCTATGAGTGTATCCTGACCATGTGTGACTGACATGTTTGTGTCTACAGCTGTGATCTACGAGTGTAGCCTAACCATGTGTGACCGACATGTTTGTGTCTACAGCTGTGATCTATGAGTGTATCCTGACCATGTGTGACTGACATGTTTGTGTCTACAGCTGTGATCTACGAGTGTATCCTGACCATGTGTGACTGACATGTTTGTGTCTAAAACTGTGATCTACGAGTGTATCCTCACCATGTGTGACCAACATGTTTGTGTCTATAGCTGTGATCTACGAGTGTATCTTGACCATGTGTGACTGACATGTTTGTGTCTACAGCTGTGATCTACGAGTGTATCTTGACCATGTGTGACTGACATGTTTGTGTTTACAGCTGTGATCTATGAGTGTATCGTCACCATGTGTGACTGACATGTTTGTGCTACAGCTGTGATCTATGAGTGTGTATCGCCACCATGTGTGACTGACATGTTTGTGTCTACAGCTGTGATCTATGAGTGTATCGTCACCATGTGTGACTGACATGTTTGTGTCTGGCTGTGATCTATGAGTGTATCATCACCATGTGTGACTGACATGTTTGTGTTTACAGCTGTGATCTATGAGTGTATCGTCAGTCACCATATGTGACTGACATGTTTGTGTCTACAGCTGTGATCTCACATGAGTGTATCCTGACCATATTGTGACTGACATGTTTGTGTTTACAGCTGTGATCTATGAGTGTATCGTCACCATGTGTGACTGACATGTTTGTGTCTACAGCTGTGATCTGGTGTATCCTGACCATGTGTGACTGACATGTTTGTGTGTTAACAGCTGTGATCTGTGAGTGTATCGTCACCATGTGTGACTGACATGTTTGTGTCTACAGCTGTGATCTACGAGTGTATCCTGACCATGTGTGACCAACATGTTTGTGTCTACAGCTGTGATCTATGAGTGTATCGTCACCATGTGTGACTGACATGTTTGTGTCTACAACTGTGATCTACGAGTGTATCCTGACCATGTGTGACTGACATGTTTGTGTCTACAACTGTGATCCAGATGAGTGTATCCTGACCATGTAATGACCGATCTATGTTTGTGTCTACAACTGTGATCTCTGAGTGTATCCAGACCATGTGTGACCGACATGTTTGTGTCTACAGCTGTGATCTACGAGTGTATCCTGACCATGTGTGACTGACATGTTTGTGTCTACAGCTGTGATCTACGAGTGTATCCTGACCATGTGTGACTGACATGTTTGTGTCTACAGCTGAGTGATCATGTGTGATACGAGTGTAGCCTCACCATGTGTGACTGACATGTTTGTGTCTACAGCTGTGCTCTATGAGTGTATCCTGACCATGTGTGACTGACATGTTTGTGTCTACAACTGTGATCTACGAGTGTATCCTCACCATGTGTGACCAACATGTTTGTGTCTATAGCTGTGATCTACGAGTGTATCTTGACCATGTGTGACTGACATGTTTGTGTCTACAGCTGTGATCTACGAGTGTATCTTGACCATGTGTGACTGACATGTTTGTGTTTACAGCTGTGATCTATGAGTGTATCGTCACCATGTGTGACTGACATGTTTGTGTCTACAGCTGTGATCTATGAGTGTATCGTCACCATGTGTGACTGACATGTTTGTGTCTACAGCTGTGATCTATGAGTGTATCATCACCATGTGTGACTGACATGTTTGTGTCTACAGCTGTGATCTATGAGTGTATCATCACCATGTGTGACTGACATGTTTGTGTTTACAGCTGTGATCTATGAGTGTATCGTCACCATGTGTGACTGACATGTTTGTGTCTACAGCTGTGATCTACGAGTGTATCCTCACCATGTGTGACTGACATGTTTGTGTTTACAGCTGTGATCTATGAGTGTATCGTCACCATGTGTGACTGACATGTTTGTGTCTACAGCTGTGATCTACGAGTGTATCCTGACCATGTGTGACTGACATGTTTGTGTTAACAGCTGTGATCTATGAGTGTATCGTCACCATGTGTGACTGACATGTTTGTGTCTACAGCTGTGATCTATGAGTGTATCGTCACCATATGTGACTGACATGTTTGTGTCTACAACTGTGATCTATGAGTGTATCCTGACCATGTGTGACCGACATGTTTGTGTCTACAACTGTGATCTACGAGTGTATCCAGACCATGTGTGACCGACATGTTTGTGTCTACAGCTGTGATCTACGAGTGTATCCTGACTGTGTCATGTGTCCCTGGCGACCCAGAGCTGATGAAGGAGGCATCTACCTGTGTTTCAAGATATCTGCAGTCCAACAGCAACACCCTTAAATATCTAGGTGAGTCCCAAGTTAGTCCTCACAGCTCTTGTTGGTGTAAGTGTGTCCTACAGACACTATATACATGTATCTGTGTGTCTGTTGCAGGTATTAAGGCACTGACAACTCTAGTTGGTGTAAGTGTGTCCTACAGACAGCTATATACATGTATCTGAGTGTGTCTGTTGCAGGTATTAAGGCACTGACAACTCTAGTTGGTGTAAGTGTGTCCTACAGACAGGATATCTATGTATCTGTGTGTGTCTGTTGCAGGTATTAAGGCACTGACAACTCTAGTTGGTGTAAGTGTGTCCTACAGACACTATATACATGTATCTGTGTGTCTGTTGCAGGTATTAAGGCACTGACAACTCTAGTTGGTGTAAGTGTGTCCAACAGACAGGATATCTATGTATCTGTGTGTCTGTTGCAGGTATTAAGGCACTGACAACTCTAGTTGGTGTAAGTGTGTCCTACAGACAGGATATACATGTATCTGTGTGTCTGTTGCAGGTATTAAGGCACTGACAACTCTAGTTGGTGTAAGTGTCCAACAGACAGGATATCTATGTATCTGTGTGTCTGTTGCAGGTATTAAGGCACTGACAACTCTAGTTGGTGTAAGTGTGTCCTACAGACAGGATATACATGTATCTGTGTGTGTCTGTTGCAGGTATTAAGGCACTGACAGCTCCTAGTTGGTGTAAGTGTGTCCAACAGACAGGATATACATGTATCTGTGTGTCTGTTGCAGGTATTAAGGCACTGACAGCTCTAGTTGGTGTAAAGTGTGTCCAACAGACAGGATATACATGTATCTGTGTGTCTGTTGCAGGTATTAAGGCACTGACAACTCTAGTTGGTGTAAGTGTGTCCTACAGACACTATATACATGTATCTGTGTGTCTGTTGCAGGTATTAAGGCACTGACAACTCTAGTTGGTGTAAGTGTGTCCAACAGACAGGATATACATGTATCTGTGTGTCTGTTGCAGGTATTAAGGCACTGACAGCTCTAGTTGGTGTAAGTGTGTCCAACAGACAGGATATCTATGTATCTGTGTGTCTGTTGCAGGTATTAAGGCACTGACAGCTCTAGTTGGTGTAAGTGTGTCCAACAGACAGGATAAGCATGTATCTGTGTGTCTGTTGCGGAGGTATTAAGGCACTGACAGCTCTAGTTGGTGTAAGTGTGTCCAACAGACAGGATATACATGTATCTGTGTGTCTGTTGCAGGTATTAAGGCACTGACAGCTCTAGTTGGTGTAAGTGTGTCCAACAGACAGGATATACATGTATCTGTGTGTCTGTTGCAGGTATTAAGGCACTGACAACTCTAGTTGGTGTAAGTGTGTCCAACAGACAGGATATACATGTATCTGTGTGTCTGTTGCAGGTATTAAGGCACTGACAACTCTAGTTGGTGTAAGTGTGTCCAACAGACAGGATATACATGTATCTGTGTGTCTGTTGCAGGTATTAAGGCACTGACAGCTCTAGTTGGTGTAAGTGTGTCCAACAGACAGGATATACATGTATCTGTGTGTCTGTTGCAGGTATTAAGGCACTGACAGCTCTAGTTGGTGTAAGTGTGTCCAACAGACAGGATATCTATGTATCTGTGTGTGTCTGTTGCAGGTATTAAGGCACTGACAAGCTCTAGTTGGTGTAAGTGTGTCCTACAGACAGGATATACATGTATCTGTGTGTCTGTTGCAGGTATTAAGGCACTGACAGCTCTAGTTGGTGTAAGTGTGTCCTACAGACAGGATATCTATGTATCTGTGTGTGTCTGTTGCAGGTATTAAGGCACTGACAGCTCTAGTTGGTGTAAGTGTGTCCTACAGACAGGATATATATGTATCTGTGTGTCTGTTGCAGGTATTAAGGCACTGACAAGCTCTAGTTGGTGTAAGTGTGTCCAACAGACAGGATATACATGTATCTGTGTGTGTCTGTTGCAGGTATTAAGGCACTGACAACTCTAGTTGGTGTAAGTGTGTCCAACAGACAGGATATATATGTATCTGTGTGTCTGTTGCAGGTATTAAGGCACTGACAGCTCTAGTTGGTGTAAGTGTGTCCTACAGACAGGATATACATGTATCTGTGTGTCTGTTGCAGGTATTAAGGCACTGACAACTCTAGTTGGTGTAAGTGTGTCCTACAGACAGGATATACATGTATCTGTGTGTCTGTTGCAGGTATTAAGGCACTGACAGCTCTAGTTGGTGTAAGTGTGTCCTACAGACAGGATATACATGTATCTGTGTGTGTCTGTTGCAGGTATTAAGGCACTGACAACTCTAGTTGGTGTAAGTGTGTCCTACAGACAGGATATACATGTATCTGTGTGTCTGTTGCAGGTATTAAGGCACTGACAGCTCTAGTTGGTGTAAGTGTGTCCAACAGACAGGATATACATGTATCTGTGTGTCTGTTGCAGGTATTAAGGCACTGACAGCTCTAGTTGGTGTAAGTGTGTCCTACAGACAGGATATATATGTATCTGTGTGTCTGTTGCAGGTATTAAGGCACTGACAGCTCTAGTTGGTGTAAGTGTGTCCTACAGACAGGATATCTATGTATCTGTGTGTGTCTGTTGCAGGTATTAAGGCACTGACAACTCTAGTTGGTGTAAGTGTGTCCTACAGACAGGATATACATGTATCTGTGTGTGTCTGTTGCAGGTATTAAAGCACTGACAGCTCTAGTTGGTGTAAGTGTGTCCTACAGACAGGATATATATGTATCTGTGTGTGTCTGTTGCAGGTATTAAGGCACTGACAACTCTAGTTGGTGTAAGTGTGTCCTACAGACAGGATATACATGTATCTGTGTGTCTGTTGCAGGTATTAAGGCACTGACAGCTCTAGTTGGTGTAAGTGTGTCCAACAGACAGGATATCTATGTATCTGTGTGTGTCTGTTGCAGGTATTAAGGCACTGACAGCTCTAGTTGGTGTAAGTGTGTCCAACAGACAGGATATATACATGTATCTGTGTGTGTCTGTTGCAGGTATTAAGGCACTGACAACTCTAGTTGGTGTAAGTGTGTCCAACAGACAGGATATACATGTATCTGTGTGTGTCTGTTGCAGGTATTAAGGCACTGACAGCTCTAGTTGGTGTAAGTGTGTCCAACAGACAGGATATACATGTATCTGTGTGTGTCTGTTGCAGGTATTAAGGCACTGACAACTCTAGTTGGTGTAAGTGTGTCCAACAGACAGGATATACATGTATCTGTGTGTGTCTGTTGCAGGTATTAAGGCACTGACAGCTCTAGTTGGTGTAAGTGTGTCCAACAGACAGGATATACATGTATCTGTGTGTCTGTTGCAGGTATTAAGGCACTGACAGCTCTAGTTGGTGTAAGTGTGTCCAACAGACAGGATATACATGTATCTGTGTGTCTGTTGCAGGTATTAAGGCACTGACAGCTCTAGTTGGTGTAAGTGTGTCCAACAGACAGGATATCTATGTATCTGTGTGTGTCTGTTGCAGGTATTAAGGCACTGACAACTCTAGTTGGTGTAAGTGTGTCCTACAGACACTATATACATGTATCTGTGTGTCTGTTGCAGGTATTAAGGCACTGACAGCTCTAGTTGGTGTAAGTGTGTCCTACAGACAGGATATCTATGTATCTGTGTGTGTCTGTTGCAGGTATTAAGGCACTGACAACTCTAGTTGGTGTAAGTGTGTCCTACAGACAGGATATACATGTATCTGTGTGTCTGTTGCAGGTATTAAGGCACTGACAGCTCTAGTTGGTGTAAGTGTGTCCAACAGACAGGATATATATGTATCTGTGTGTCTGTTGCAGGTATTAAGGCACTGACAACTCTAGTTGGTGTAAGTGTGTCCAACAGACAGGATATATATGTATCTGTGTGTCTGTTGCAGGTATTAAGGCACTGACAGCTCTAGTTGGTGTAAGTGTGTCCTACAGACAGGATATCTATGTATCTGTGTGTCTGTTGCAGGTATTAAGGCACTGACAACTCTAGTTGGTGTAAGTGTGTCCAACAGACAGGATATACATGTATCTGTGTGTGTCTGTTGCAGGTATTAAGGCACTGACAGCTCTAGTTGGTGTAAGTGTGTCCAACAGACAGGATATACATGTATCTGTGTGTCTGTTGCAGGTATTAAGGCACTGACAGCTCTAGTTGGTGTAAGTGTGTCCAACAGACAGGATATCTATGTATCTGTGTGTGTCTGTTGCAGGTATTAAGGCACTAACAACTCTAGTTGGTGTAAGTGTGTCCTACAGACAGGATATACATGTATCTGTGTGTCTGTTGCAGGTATTAAGGCACTGACAGCTCTAGTTGGTGTAAGTGTGTCCTACAGACAGGATATCTATGTATCTGTGTGTGTCTGTTGCAGGTATTAAGGCACTGACAACTCTAGTTGGTGTAAGTGTGTCCTACAGACAGGATATACATGTATCTGTGTGTCTGTTGCAGGTATTAAGGCACTGACAACTCTAGTTGGTGTAAGTGTGTCCAACAGACAGGATATATATGTATCTGTGTGTCTGTTGCAGGTATTAAGGCACTGACAGCTCTAGTTGGTGTAAGTGTGTCCAACAGACAGGATATATATGTATCTGTGTGTCTGTTGCAGGTATTAAGGCACTGACAGCTCTAGTTGGTGTAAGTGTGTCCTACAGACAGGATATCTATGTATCTGTGTGTGTCTGTTGCAGGTATTAAGGCACTGACAACTCTAGTTGGTGTAAGTGTGTCCTACAGACAGGATATACATGTATCTGTGTGTCTGTTGCAGGTATTAAGGCACTGACAGCTCTAGTTGGTGTAAGTGTGTCCTACAGACAGGATATCATGTATGTATCTGTGTGTGTCTGTTGCAGGTATTAAGGCACTGACAACTCTAGTTGGTGTAAGTGTGTCCTACAGACAGGATATACATGTATCTGTGTGTCTGTTGCAGGTATTAAGGCACTGACAACTCTAGTTGGTGTAAGTGTGTCCAACAGACAGGATATATATGTATCTGTGTGTGTCTGTTGCAGGTATTAAGGCACTGACAGCTCTAGTTGGTGTAAGTGTGTCCTACAGACAGGATATCTATGTATCTGTGTGTCTGTTGCAGGTATTAAGGCACTGACAACTCTAGTTGGTGTAAGTGTGTCCTACAGACAGGATATACATGTATCTGTGTGTCTGTTGCAGGTATTAAGGCACTGACAACTCTAGTTGGTGTAAGTGTGTCCTACAGACAGGATATACATGTATCTGTGTGTGTCTGTTGCAGGTATTAAAGCACTGAAAACTCTAGTTGGTGTAAGTGTGTCCTACAGACAGGATATCTATGTATCTGTGTGTGTCTGTTGCAGGTATTAAGGCACTGACAGCTCTAGTTGGTGTAAGTGTGTCCTACAGACACTATATACATGTATCTGTGTGTCTGTTGCAGGTATTAAGGCACTGACAACTCTAGTTGGTGTAAGTGTGTCCTACAGACAGGATATACATGTATCTGTGTGTCTGTTGCAGGTATTAAGGCACTGACAACTCTAGTTGGTGTAAGTGTGTCCTACAGACAGGATATACATGTATCTGTGTGTCTGTTGCAGGTATTAAGGCACTGACAGCTCTAGTTGGTGTAAGTCCGGAATATGCAGTACAGCACCAGATTATAGTAGTAAAGTGTTTGGATGGGGACGAGCTGGCTACCCAGAGAAAGGTAAGCTATAGCCTATTGGATGTATTTTATCTCACTGAATATAACAGTTACACATAGAACCGAACTGTTTCAGCTGGATGACGATAGTCTGCAACTGGGATATGAAAACATGCACCAACCTTGTCCATAAACCTGACCATTGTATGATATTAGTTACCTCTGATAGCAAGCATGGCTTGCTGAAAACTTAAAGCTGGTGACATCTAGCTACTGGAGGAAATAAGGACATGATAAAGTCCATGTGATCCGAACTTTGCATCTTGGCCTGTAGGTCATTATTTCCATATGAAGGGCCACAGGTTGACTGGGCCGACTTGGCCTGTAGTACATTATTTCCATATGAAGGGCCACAGGTTGACTGGGCCGACTTGGCCTGTAGGTCATTATTTCCATATGAAGGGCCACAGGTTGACTGGGCTCTAACTTGGCCTGTAGGTCATTATTTCCATATGAAGGGCCACAGGTTGACTGGGCCGACTTGGCCTGTAGTACATTATTTCCATATGAAGGGCCACAGGTTGACTGGGCCGACTTGGCCTGTAGGTCATTATTTCCATATGAAGGGCCACAGGTTGACTGGGCCGACTTGGCCTGTAGGTCATTATTTCCATATGAAGGGCCACAGGTTGACTGGGCCGACTTGGCCTGTAGGTCATTATTTCCATGTGAAGGGCCACAGGTTGACTGGGCCGAGATGGCCTGTAGGTCAATATTTCCATATGAAGGGCCAAAGGTTGACTGGGCCGAGATGGCCTGTAGGTCATTATTTCCATATGAAGGGCCACAGGTTGACTGGGCCGACTTGGCCTGTAGGTCATTATTTCCATATGAAGGGCCACAGGTTGACTGGGCCGACTTGGCCTGTAGGTCATTATTTCCATATGAAGGGCCAAAGGTTGACTGGACCAACTTGGCCTGTAGTAAATTATTTCCATATGAAGGGCCACAGGTTGACTGGGCCGACTTGGCCTGTAGGTCATAATTTCCATATGAAGGGCCACAGGTTGACTGGGCCGACTTGGCCTGTAGGTCATTATTTCAATATGAAGGGAGACAGGTTGACTGGGCCGACTTGGCCTGTCGCGTCATTATTTCCATATGAAGGGCCAAAGGTTGACTGGACCAACTTGGCCTGTAGTAAATTATTTCCATATGAAGGGCCACAGGTTGACTGGGCCGACTTGGCCTGTAGGTCATAATTTCCATATGAAGGGCCACAGGTTGACTGGGCCGACTTGGCCTGTAGGTCATTATTTCCATATGAAGGGCCACAGGTTGACTGGGCCGACTTGGCCTGTAGGTCATTATTTCCATATGAAGGGCCACAGGTTGACTGGGCCGACTTGGCCTGTAGGTCATTATTTCCATATGAAGGGCCAAAGGTTGACTGGACCAACTTGGCCTGTAGTAAATTATTTCCATATGAAGGGCCACAGGTTGACTGGGCCGACTTGGCCTGTAGGTCATAATTTCCATATGAAGGGCCACAGGTTGACTGGGCCGACTTGGCCTGTAGGTCATTATTTCAATATGAAGGGAGACAGGTTGACTGGACCAACTTGGCCTGTAGGTCATTATTTCCATATGAAGGGCCACAGGTTGACTGGGCCGACTTGGCCTGTAGGTCATTATTTCCATATGAAGGGCCACAGGTTGACTGGGCCGACTTGGCCTGTAGGTCGTTATTTCCATATGAAGGGCCACAGGTTGACTGGGCCGACTTGGCCTGTAGGTCATTATTTCCATATGAAGGGCCACAGGTTGACTACGCCCACTTAGTTAACAACAATTTGGTCTGGTTGCATATACATTGGTATAATCAGACACCTCAATGTGCTCCATAGGACATTGGTATAATCACACACCTCAATATGCTCCATAGGACATTGGTATAATCACACACCTCAATATGCTCCACATCAACTTCTTTGTTTGCCCCCACAGATTTCAGATGGAATTGATAAAGAAGCACAGAAAGTCTGTCATTAGGCTGGGCTGTCATTCAGCACTCTCAGGTTATGTGGCTATCACCTGGCCTAGTGGCTACATTTCAGGATGCATATCTGAATGTTTCCATCCATCCAAGGTGCCTTCATAGTTATGCTCCATGGTCATTAATCACAGATATGAATCTCTTGCCCTCTATTTGGAATTTCCATAGCACACACATGCACAGGTCATCATCCCGTCATCATGTGTGTCATCTGTGGCAAGTACAACTTCATAGAGACAAAGAAGACTTCTTCTCAACAGACCATATCATCATGTCTGTCCTCTGTGTCAAGTACGACTTCATAGAGACACAGAAGACTTCTTCTCAACAGACCATATCATCATGTCTGTCCTCTGTGTCAAGTTCGACTTCATAGAGACACAGAAGACTTCTTCTCAACAGACCATATCATCATGTGTGTCCTCTGTGTCAAGTACGACTTCATAGAGACACAGAAGACTTCTTCTCAACAGACCATATCATCATGTCTGTCCTCTGTGTCAAGTACGACTTCATAGAGACACAGAAGACTTCTTCTCAACAGACCATATCATCATGTCTGTCCTCTGTGTCAAGTACGACTTCATAGATACAAAGAAGACTTCTTCTCAACAGACCATATCGTCATGTGTGTCATCTGTGTCAAGTACGACTTCATAGAGACACAGAAGACTTCTTCTCAACAGACCATATCATCATGTGTGTCCTCTGTGTCAAGTACGACTTCATGCACACAGAGAAGACTTTCTCTCAGCAGACCGTCATGAACTGAATTCATCTTGCTCAGTTTTAATCTTACCAGAGAATTCTAGTCCATCCGACAGCATTGTTAGATCCAGTCCAGGACATTATTGATATAGGAGCCAGACTCCAACTTTACAGGGGACCACCAGAGGTCAGATACAAGCCAAGGTCATGATTAAATGAGTGTTCCTTCTTCAGGTATCTACACGGTTGATGTCATGTTAACATCTCTACTGAACCTTTCCTTCAGGGTAAGGCTCACATTGTAGATGTCATGTCAACATCTCTACTGAACCTTTCTTTCAGGGTAAGGCTCACATTGTAGATGTCATGTTAACATCTCTACTGAACCTTTCCTTCAGGGTAAGGCTCACATTGTAGATGTCATGTCAACATCTCTACTGAACCTTTCCTTCAGGATAAGGCTCACATTGTAGATGTCATGTCAACATCTCTGCTCAACCTTTCCTTCAGGGTAAGGCTCACATTGTAGATGTCATGTCAACATCTTTACTGAACCTTTCCTTCAGGGTAAGGCTCACATTGTAGATGTCATATCAACATCTTTACTGAACCTTTCCTTCAGGGTAAGGCTCACATTGTAGATGTCATGTTAACATCTCTACTGAACCTTTCCTTCACGGTAAGGCTCACATTGTAGATGTCATGTCAACATCTCTGCTCAACCTTTCCTTCAGGGTAAGGCTCACATTGTAGATGTCATGTCAACATCTCTACTCAACCTTTCCTTCAGGGTAAGGCTCACATTGTAGATGTCATGTCAACATCTCTACTCAACCTTTCCTTCAGGGTAAGGCTCACATTGTAGATGTCATGTTAACATCTCTACTGAACCTTTCCTTCAGGGTAAGGCTCACATTGTAGATGTCATGTTAACATCTCTACTGAACCTTTTTCTTCAGGGTAAGGCTCACATTGTAGATGTCATGTTAAGATCTTTACTGAACCTTTCCTTCAGGGTAAGGCTCACATTGTAGATGTCATGTTAACATCTCTGCTCAACCTTTCCTTCAGGGTAAGGCTCACATTGTTGATGTTTTGCAAAGGCATTCTCGGCAGTGTACAATCTCGGGGTTTGATGCGTGATTCAGACTACATTCGGGATTTATGTTGATGCTGTAATAGAGAAAGTATTCTGAGGACCATCAGAATGATTGATTACATCAAGATTGATTTTTTTCATTTATTGATATTTTTCTTAATTGTTTAATGATGGTCATGTAAAGGTGGTTTAAAAACTGTGTAAAAATTCACTGTATAAAAACAGTTATTGATCAATCATTGATTAAGATTGATTATCAATATTTGTATAAATATTGATTATTTCATGATTGATTGTGTGACAGACGCTGCACCTCCTGTACAAGATGGCCAATGAGTCCAATGTCAAGGCCATCTGCAGCAAGTTGTTTGAACACCTGAAGAAGACTGATGACTATTTCTTTAAGAAAGACATGGCAGAGAAGATAGCACAACTGGCAGAAAAATATCCTTTGTGATATGTAGAGCATGCAGTGTAATGGGGTCAGGCATGTTGGGGAGAGTGTAAGGGTTGTTGGGATGTTTCAGACAGTGTGAGGGTTGCTGGGATGTTTCAGACAGTGTGAGGGTTGGTGGGATGTTTCAGACAGTGTAAGGGTTGGTGGGATGTTTCAGACAGTGTGAAGGTTGGTGGGATGTTTCAGACAGTGTAAGGGTTGGTGGGATGTTCCAGACAGTGTTAGGGTTGGTGGGTTGTTCCAGACAGTGTGAGGGTTGGTGGGATGTTTCAGACAGTGTGAGGGTTGGTGGGGTGTTTCAGACAGTGTGAGGGTTGGTAGGATGTTTCAGACAGTGTGAGGGTTGGTGGGATGTTTCAGACAGTGTGAGGGTTGGTGGGTTGTTCCAGACAATGTGAGGGTTGATGGGATGTTTCAGACAGTGTGAGGGTTGGTGGGATGTTTCCAGACAGTGTGAGGGTTGTTGGGATGTTCCAGACAGTGTGAAGGTTGGTGGGATGTTTCAGACAGTGTGAAGGTTGGTGGGATGTTCCAGACTGTGTGAGGGTTGGTGGGATGTTTCAGACAGTGTGAGGGTTGGCGGGATGTTTCAGACAGTGAAGGTTGGTGGGATGTTCCAGACAGTGAAGGTTGGTTGGATGTTTCAGACAGTGTGAGGGTTGGTGGGATGTTTCAGACAGTGTGAAGGTTGGTGGGATGTCTCAGACAGTGAAGGTTGTTGGGATGTTTCAGACAGTGTGAGGGTTGGTGGGATGTTTCAGACAGTGTGAGTGTTTGTGGGATGTTTCAGACAGTGAGGGTTGGTGGGATGTTTCAGACAGTGAAAGGTGGTGGGATGTTTCAGACAGTGTGAGGGTTGGTGGGATGTTTCAGATAGTGTGAGGGTTGGTGGGTTGTTCCAGACAGTGTGAAGGTTGGTGGGATGTTTCAGACAGTGTGAGGGTTGGTGGGATGTTCCAGACAGTGAAGTTTGGTGGGATGTTTCAGACAGTGTGAGGATTGGTGGGTTGTTCCAGACAGTGTGAAGGTTGGTGGCATGTTTCAGACAGTGAAAGGTGGTGGGATGTTTCAGACAGTGTGAGGGTTGGTGGGTTGTTCCAGACAATGTGAGGGTTGGTGGGTTGTTCCAGACAATGTGAGGGTTGGTGGGTTGTTCCAGACAGTGTGAGGGTTGGTGGGTTGTTCCAGACAGTGTGAGGGTTGATGGGTTGTTCCAGACAGTGTGAGGGTTGGTGGGATGTTCCTGACAGTGTGAGGGTTGGTGGGTTGTTTCAGACAGTGTGAGGGTTGGTGGGATGTTTCAGACAGTGTGAGGGTTGGTGGGATGGTTCAGGTATCCTGTGGACTAAGGCGTACCAATTCCGGGGAACGATTCTTCAGTTGCATGTGGCACTGACCCTGAATTTGGTTTTAAAACTAGATAATAATTTTGGTTTGCTAGCACCATTCGCATGCTCACCCAGCTTGACTTGCATGTGACACCAACATGCCTTGATATGACTGAAGATCATTGGTTATATAGACAGTAGACCCCAACTCTGCCACTGAAGATCATTGGTTATGTAGACAGCAGACCCCAATTCTGCCACTGTAGGTCATTAGTTATGTAGACAGTAGACCCCAAATTTGCCACTGAAGATCATTGGTTATATAGACAGTAGACCCCAACTCTGCCACTGTAGATCACTGTATATATAGACAGTAGACCCCAACTCTGCCACTGTAGGTCATTGGTTATATAGACAGTAGACCCCAATTCTGCCACTGTAGGTCATTGGTTATATAGACAGTAGACCCCAACTCTGCCACTGTAGATCACTGGTTATATAGACAGTAGACCCCAACTCTGCCACTGAAGATCATTGGTTATGTAGACAGTAGACCCCAATTCTGCCACTGTAGATCACTGGTTATATAGACAGTAGACCCCAACTCTGCCACTGTAGATCACTGGTTATGTAGACAGTAGACCCCAACTCTGCCACTGTAGATCATTGGTTATGTAGACAGCAGACCCCAATTCTGCCACTGTAGGTCACTGGTTATGTAGACAGTAGACCCCAACTCTGCCACTGTAGGTCACTGGTTATATAGACAGTAGACCCCAACTCTGCCACTGTAGGTCACTGGTTATATAGACAGTAGACCCCAACTCTGCCACTGTAGGTCACTGGTTATGTAGACAGTAGACCCCAACTCTGCCACTGTAGGTCACTGGTTATGTAGACAGTAGACCCCAACTAGACCCTGCCACTGTAGGTCACTGGTTATGTAGACAGTAGACCCCAACTCTGCCACTGTAGATCACTGGTTATATAGACAGTAGACCCCAACTGGTTATATAGACAGTAGACCCCAACTCTGCCACTGTAGGTCACTGGTTATGTAGACAGTAGACCCCAACTCTGCCACTGTAGGTCACTGGTTATGTAGACAGTAGACCCCAACTCTGCCACTGTAGGTCACTGGTTATGTAGACAGTAGACCCCAACTCTGCCACTGTAGGTCACTGGTTATGTAGACAGTAGACCCCAACTCTGCCACTGTAGGTCACTGGTTATGTAGACAGTAGACCCCAACTCTGCCACTGTAGGTCACTGGTTATGTAGACAGTAGACCCCAACTCTGCCACTGTAGGTCACTGGTTATGTAGACAGTAGACCCCAACTCTGCCACTGTAGGTCACTGGTTATGTAGACAGTAGACCCCAACTTTGCCACTGTAGGTCAATGGTTATTAGACATATGTAGACTGGTTATGTAGACAGTAGACCCCAACTTTGCCACTGTAGGTCATTGGTTATGTAGACTGTAGACCCCAACTTTGCCACTGTAGGTCACTGGTTATGTAGACAGTAGACCCCAACTCTGCCACTGTAGGTCTTCATGCATAGAGAAAGTATATGTCAGACAGTGTAAATCTTCTGTTTTACCTCTGAAACCAGATTCTCATGATTCTCCATTACTTTTCTTAACCCTGGTCATGTGGTCCCCTGACATTCAGTGGTACGTGCAGACTGTCAACACTGTTCTGTTGGAGGATAGAGACAACAGTGCTCTTGCTGACAAACTCATGGATAAGCTGGACAAAGGTTTGTCTCGCATGCAGAATTATTCCCAGAACTGGGTACATGGGTAGGCTTCAATCACTGTAACAGCAAGAACTGGGTAAATGGATAGGGCACAGTTGTTTGGTTGAAGCATGGTTGTGTCGCAGGAGAGTCAGGTGTGTGGTAGGAGACTCAGGTGTGTGGTAGGAGACTCAGTGTGTGTGGTAGGAGACTCAGGTATGTCTCAGGCCCAGGTGTGTGGTAGGAGACTCAGGTATGTCTCAGGCCCAGGTGTGTGGTAGGAGACTCAGGCATGTCTCAGGCCCAGGTGTATGGTAGGAGACTCAGGTGTGTGGTAGGAGACTCAGGTGTGTGGTAGGGGGCTCAGGTATGTCTCAGGCCCAGGTGTATGGTAGGAGACTCAGGTGTGTGGTAGGAGACTCAGGTGTGTCGTAGGATACTCAGGTGTATGGTAGGAGACTCAGGTGTGTGGTAGGAGACTCAGGTATGTCTCAGGCCCAGGTGTGTGGTAGGAGACTCAGCTGTGTGGTAAGAGACTCAGGTGGTGTGTGGTAGGAGACTCAGGTGTGTGGTAGGAGACTCAGGTGTGTGGTAGGAGACTCAGGTGTGTGGTAGGAGACTCAGGTGTATGGTAGGAGACTCAGGTGTGTGGTAGGAGACTCAGGTGTGTGGTAGGGGGCTCTTTTGAACCAGTGTCTGGGATAGGGGTGTTACACTTGGAGCCTATTTCCTTTCCTCCCCCACACAAGCTGACACACGTTCAAAGCAGCAGCATCCATGCAGCAGGCAACCCACCCAGCTGACCACCCTTCACCATTCACTATAATCTGCACCAAAATTATGAATGTTAAATGAATGTTTCAGAATTAAATCAGAAGGAGGACAAGGAATTTGAGCAGTTTCTTATCCAGAGTTACCTCCCTTACTTGGAGAGTACCGCAAGTCCTGATGCCTTGTTGCACCTGGCTGTTTGGGTAGGACATCAGTCATTGCCAACATAGATATATAGTTCTATATTAGGTTACACTGATGAGCCTGTACAATACCTGGGATCAGCTTTTTATAAAGTCGAGGAATAAAATGGAATAAATCTCCAAAGCAATTTATATTTAGTCACTAATTTGAAGTTTTTTGTGATATTGGGGGGTTTCAGAACAATGTTTGTCAAAAAACAGGATCTCATGGTCAGGCTCACTGACTTGACATCAGGCTCACTGACTTGACATCAGGCTCACTGGACATCAGGCTCACTGACTTGACAGGCTCACTGACTTGACATCACGCTCACTGACTTGACAGGCTCACTGACTTGACATATAGCCCATTTGTGTGTCAATCACTGGATTGTCTTATCTAGATGTATGTCCAGACTACATATATTTAGTTGTAATATGGCAGTAGTAGAGGGGTGCCATTACTGTAAGTCAACTTAGTAAGGGAGGCAAGCCCAAATTCAGGTTGATTTGAAAGATGACATACTGCAATGGTTTGCAGTTGTTGAAACAAATAATCTTAAAGCTGAACATATATGAGAAGATAGTTGTATGTCTCGAAGGAGCAAAGCTAAAAGGTGTACATCTTTTACACACAAGTTCCACCCACTGTGGCTAAGCAGAACAAATGTGTCCAGGTTCTAGGTGAGATAAAGATGGGTCTTGGATCTCTGAAGCCATCACGAGTTCTGTCTGCTCTGTGTAACCCCCTCCCCTATGATGCTGATGCCCACCTGCAGGGGTTAGTCTTCTCCTCCCTCATCAAGCTGCTGGGGAAGGGTATCGTCGACGCTGCAGCTGTGAGAGACTGGTTCAGCTTCAACAGCTACACATTTAGCCAGCCACAGCTTCACCAGGTGAGTGATGTTTGCTTGTACAGTCAACAGGTGAGTGATGTTTGGCTTGTACAGTCAACAGGTGAGTGATGTTTGCTTGTACAGTCACCAGGTGAGTGATGTTTGCTTGTACAGTCAACAGGTGAGTGATGTTTGCTTGTACAGTCACAGGTGAGTGATGTTTGCTTGTACAGTCAACAGGTGAGTGATGTTTGCTTGTACAGTCACCAGGTGAGTGATGTTTGCTTGTACAGTCAACAGGTGAGTGATGTTTGCTTGTACAGTCAACAGGTGAGTGATGTTTGAGTCAAGTTTGATGTTTGTACAGTCAACACGAGTTGTGGGTGAGTGATGTTTGCTTGTTGTACAGTCTACAAAGGGAGTGATGTTTGCTTGTACAGTCAACAGGTGAGTGATGTTTGCTTGTACAGTCAACAGGCGAGTGATGTTTGCTTGTGCAGTCAACAGGTGTGCAGTCAACAGGAGTGATGTTTGCTTGTACAGTCAACAGACAGTGCAACAGACGAGTTGATGTTTGCTTGTACAGTCAACAGGAGTGATGTTTGCTTGTACAGTCAACAGACGAGTTGTGTTTGCTTGTACAGTCAACAGGGGAGTAATGTTGGCAACAGGTACTGTGATATATAGTGTTGCCATGTAGTACTGGCGTTCATGACGTTGTCTCCTGGTACTTGGGTATGTAAAATGTTGTCATGTGGTACTGGTGTGTGTGTGTGATGTTGCTATGTAGTACTGACATATGAGGGGCATTCAAAAAGAAGTCAGCCTCACCTAGAAAATGATGCAAATGCAGTTGTTTTTATGTTTTATTTTTATACATAATATCTGTCAACCCCAATCAAATTGCATCACAACTTCAGGACAACTGCAAGACACATTTTGTGTGTTTGAGATAGGCAGGAGTCCTCTGGAATCAAAGTTATATACACCTCGTCAAAAGTATCACACAACCCATTGGAAAGTCAAAGTAGAAATATAAGTTTTGTACTTTTTACACTACACATACATATGTAATATACGACACCATCTGAGAACATAATATCACAAACACACCCTGTCCCGAGCTGCACGTACATGCTTGCCTTAAAGGGCCACTGATCCAGAGCAATTTCCGTGGACTGGTTGTTGCTTTTAATATTGTTTTTCTCCCGTGAGTACCCGGATGATATCCCAGAATTCATGACTGGTTCATTACCTCTGCTGCGCCACCCTCATGCGCTATTGATAGTATGAGTATAGACTAATCAACAAAGATGAAATCTTTTTTACTCGATAATATTTCCATCTTATGTTGATTTTGTTGTAAAATAATGTAGACTTTGTTGAATAATTTGGTTTCTTATAAAAAAATATTCACTTTGATAAAAATGCTGATTTTGATGTAAAATTTTGATTTCATAGTAATGTTGACTTTATAAAAATGTTAATGTAAATGGATGTAGAATTTGATATAAGAAATAGTTTGACCTTGAATTTGGTAAGAAGCCTGATATAATAGCATTGTTTTGAAAGTGGGCTAACTAAGTACATAGTCTTGGGGAGAGTAGTGAGCTTGGGTTCACTACTAGTCAATCTGAATATAAATGTTGTATTAAATGGCATTATTTTGATAAAAAATGAAAACATTTTAAGTTTAACCATCTGCCCATGGTAAAAAATGTTAGGACTGAAATACTTAAGTCAATGTACATCTTTATTGTTTTGTCTTATAATCCTAAATAGTTTATTATCATAATTGTATGCATATTGAAACTAAATGCACACGATCTGCTTATACTTAGTAAAATTTATAACATGACTGTAATATCTAGACATCTTATAGATTGCCAACATGAATCATATTTCACACACACACACCCTCAGTGCGACCTAGTGTATGTTGTCTGTCTCATTACACTTCACGGCAAAAAAACAATGATTCTGTTGATAAAATAAAAACAAAATGCAAATATTAAAATTAAAACAGACTAAAGTTATAGCAACAATATTAGGCTATTACCTTGTTCAGGGAATGTATCCATCAATACCCACATAAAGTAATGAGATGCCATTCATCTGCAGCTGACAAAGAATCCTGTTCCATGTCATGTGTCTTTTAACAGTCTAATATGCTAAAAAGTGATCTATCGTTTCAGGTTTTTTAAATTGGTGTACAGTCCCATTGGTCACCCAAGATAGCATACCTGGCAACTAATTGCATGATGTCCGCCATTCTTTAAAAAAGTAATTTAGTTAGCCAATAATGAGCAATCAATCAATGTATTGGCGGTTAATCCTTTGAAGGAAGGGGCGTTGTTTTTACAAAGAGACTTTACAACAGGGTGTATTCATGTAACATATGTTATATTTGGGATTAGACTTTCTTAGTAAAGAACAGATTTTAGTACTTTTGTTGGGTTGAGTCCCATTCGGATTTGAACCCACACCCTCAGAGTCAGGCACCTAATCGCCAGCGCACAAAGTTAGATGCCTAGACCGCTCAGCCACCACGGCTTCCACAAAAATGGAAGTCGGACAACTGGTAGTGTAGAATGCGGACTTTGTGTACCCCTCTGATAAGAGATAATTGCCCCTTTTTGCGTATGTTGTGTTGGCAGACAAAGCTAAAATTTGATTGTAGACATACATACATACACACACACACACACACACACATACATACATACACACACATACATACATACATACATACATACATACATACATACACATACATACACATACATACATACATGTACATAGTCACAGTACTTTGTCCAAGTTTACTGCATACATACATGCTGTACACGCATAACTACTTTGGGTGTTTGCAACTAGGTGTTTGCACGTATTCTTGTGGCCACCATCTGGTCATATACCAACTGATTCGGGGTTCTTTTAAGTGCACAGGGTTGTGTACTGTACACTAGGGGTTGTGAAAGAGTCTGCACACAAAGTTGACTCCAAGGTTTTTACACCCGGTCACAGGTGGGCTCGATCCTGTCACCTCAAGCACGCTGGATCAGTAGCCTGGCGCTTTAGCCAGTTCGCCATTATTTTGAACAACCAGTGAAATGCCCAAGCTTCCAGTGTCTCTGAACCAAAGAGATGCACCAGACTGGTATATTATGTGGTGCTATTGGAGCACAACCAAACATTAATCACACTGTCATCAGCAGGCTGATACATACTGCTACCGGTGAAGTGAAGGATGCACCGAGGTCTGGACGTCCCAGAAAAACTAATAACGGGGAAGATCATGCTCTCGTTCCTGTAACCTTTACCTCATCACAGTTCCCGGGACACTGAATGGACAGAAGTACCAGAACTTGATCCTGGACGGTGCTGCCGCATTTCGATAACCATGCTCTCACCACACGTCCAGTCTTCATGGACAAAATGCCAGACCACATCGTGCTCGAGCTGTTGTTCAGCATCTCCAACACAACGCCATTGAGACACTACCATGGCCAGCCAGAAGTCCAGACATGAATCCTATTGAGCATTTGTGGGACGTTGGGTGAGAGCAGGGGATCCTCCAGTTCAGAACCTTCTGGAATTAACCCATACATTGCATGATGAGTGGCAGCAGATCCCCCAACAGACGTCTGGTGGTCAGTATGAGACGGCGTGTAGAAAATGTTATCCAAGTGCGAGGTGGCTACACCAGATACTGAGTTAGCCAGTCATTGTGGACCTTACTAGTGTGTTCAACATAAATGTGAACTGTGCTGTAACGACCCCAGCAGCCATACTTCTTTCACCTTGATTTTAGTGAACTTTAGTTTGCTACAATTAAACCTTCAATTAGTGCTCAAATTTGGTCTTATGTTGTCAATTTTCTGACTGAACGCTCACACGAGGCCATCTAAACAGTTTAATGTGCTTTTCTAAGCACAATTTTTATGAGGTTGTAGATCCAGTTTTACTTAGTGAAAAAAAGTGTGTTGTGCGATATTCATGACGTGGTACATATATTAAAGTGCATAAACAAGCAATTTGAAACTACAATCGGTTGTTAAAGTGAATCCCCTCCTCATGATGTTTACTGAAAGAGCTTGTTTTGGAGACACTACCCAAAACCCTTTCAGATGAAGTAACCATATGAAAATAACGTATTCTAATCTTTTCACTTATTCATACATGATGCCAAGGGTTCAAACTTAATACTAAATGGTCACATTTAGTGACAAACTTAATACTAAATGGTCACATTTAGTGACAAACTTAATACTAAATGGTCACTAAAGTGTCAGCTCTCAATATATTGTAAACAGTGCCAGTTTGAATATCTGGACACAGTGTTTTTGAAAGATTAAAATGGGGGTGTCCTTGAAAAACAGCCCCCGTCTAAATATAAATCAAGCAATCCAAATCTTTGACTGCTGATTATTACGGGAAGTCATCCAATACTATACTGAACATATTTTATGTGATATTCCTTGAGGGCATACCATTATCCAAGAGGTACCAAATGACAAATCGCTTTTCATTTTCTGCAATATTTTAAGAAATATCATACCCCAATATGTTGTGATGACAAATATCTCCTTAACCACATTACCTACATATGTGAAATTGTGGATATGGTTTTGCTAATGATTCCTTCAAAATAAAATGGAAGCTTTTGAAACATTGGACATGGAGAATATAGTTAGGCTGAGTACTTTTTGAACGTCGCTCTTACATGATGTTGCCACTGAGTAATCTGACACATCTGTTTCTGACTGCAGAAGTTCCAAGAAGTACAAGCCCTACTGGCCCAACCAGAGAAAACCAACAAACCCCGCAGTTGCCAAAATGGAGGGAGGGTAAAACAGGTAAGGATGGGACACTGCAGAGTAGTCATCTAAGGAAGGGAGGTGGAGGAACACTGCAGTGAAGTCATGTAAGGTAGGGAGGTGGAGGAACACTGCAGTGTAGTCATGTAAGGTAGGGAGGTGGAGGAACACTGCAGTGTGGTCATGTAAGGTAGGGAGGTGGAGGAACACTGCAGTGTAGTCATGTAAGGTAGGGAGCTGGAGGAACACTGCAGTGTAGTCATGTAAGGAAGGTAGGTGGAGGAACACTGCAGTGTGGTCATGTAAGGTAGGGAGGTGGAGGAACACTGCAGTGTGGTCATGTAAGGTAGGGAGGTGGAGGAACACTGCAGTGTAGTCATGTAAAGGGAGGTGGGGAGGTGGAGGAACACTGCAGTGTGGTCATGTAAGGTAGGGAGGTGGAGGAACACTGCAGTGTAGTCATGTAAGGTAGGGAGGTGGAGGAACACTGCAGTGTAGTCATGTAAGGTAGGGAGGTGGAGGAACACTGCAGTGTGGTCATGTAAGGTAGGGAGGTGGAGGAACACTGCAGTGTAGTCATGTAAGGTAGGGAGGTGGAGGAACACTGCAGTGTAGTCATGTAAGGAAGGTAGGTGGAGGAACACTGCAGTGTAGTCATGTCATGTAAGGTAGGTAGGTGGAGGAACACTGCAGTGTAGTCATGTGGAGGAACAGGCAGTGGGAGGTGGAGGAACACTGCAGTGTGGTCATGTAAGGTAGGGAGGAAGGTAGGCGAGGAACACTGCAGTGTAGTCATGTAAGGTAGGGAGGTGGAGGAACACTGCAGTGTAGTCATGTAAGGAAGGTAGGTGGAGGAACACTGCAGTGTAGTCATGTAAGGTAGGGAGGTGGAGGAACACTGCAGTGTAGTCATGTAAGGTAAAGGCAGGGAGGTGTAAGGGAGGAACACTGCAGTGTAGTCATGTAAGGTAGGGAGGTGGAGGAACACTGCAGTGTAGTCATGTAAGGTAGGGAGGTGGAGGAACACTGCAGTGTGGTCATGTAAGGTAGGGAGGTGGAGGAACACTGCAGTGTGGTCATGTAAGGTAGGGAGGTGGAGGAACACTGCACTGTGGTCATGTAAGGTAGGAAAGTGGAGGAACACTGCACTGTGGTCATGTAAGGTAGGGAGGTGGAGGAACACTGCACTGTGGTCATGTAAGGTAGAGAGGTGGAGGAACACTGCAATGCAGTCATGTAAGGTAGGGAGGTGGAGGAAAACTGCAGTGTAGTCATGTAAGGAAGGTAGGTGGAGGAACACTGCAGTGTGGTCATGTAAGGTAGGGAAGTGGAGGAACACTGCAGTGCAGTCATGTAAGGAAGGGAGGTGGAGGAACACTGCAGTGTAGTCATGTAAGGTAGGGAGGTGGAGGAACACTGCAGTGTAGTCATGTAAGGAAGGTAGGTGGAGGAACACTGCAGCATGGTCATGTAAGGTAGGGAGGTGGAGGAACACTGCAGTGTAGTCATGTAAGGAAGGTAGGTGGAGGAACACTGCAGTGTGGTCATGTAAGGTAGGGAGGTGGAGGAACACTGCAGTGTAGTCATGTGAGGAAGGGAGGTGGAGGAACACTGCAGAGTAGTTGTTTGTGAAGTTAGTGTCCTTTATGGAACAGAATATTGATCAGAGCAGAGGAACAGCTGATTCTCTGAATTATTGTGCCTTGATTTACTGCATTCCTGACTGGAAGGAACAGCTGATTCTCTAGAATTATTGTGCCTTGATTTACTGCACTCCTGACTGGAGGAACAGCTGATTCTCAGAATTATTGTGCCTTGATTTACTGCACTCCTGACTGGAGGAACAGCTGATTCTCTGAATTATTGTGCCTTGATTTACTGCACTCCTGACTGGAGGAACAGCTGATTCTCTGAATTATTGTGCCTTAATATACTGCACGCCTGGCTAGAGGAACATGTTGCCCACAGATTTATGTGATATTTCATGTACTATGTTCCAGATGGACTTTACGTTGTCATTCCTTGATGACTATGTCTGTGCATCCCTCGAGTCCAGCGGCAACCCCTACAAACCCCTGGGTAGTCGCCTTGCAACATCTACATCTGCACAAGGTTAGTATGGTGATTCAAATGACAATTTCCCGACAAATGTACAGCTTGCAGCCTGTGTGACAGATTCCTGACAGAGACGAGGGTGGGTGCCCATGGCAACCGCACAAAACCTCAAGGCTGGGATGCCCTATGACAACAGAATGTGAGCATGATAGTGTGTTTCTTCTGCGGGACTCAGTGTTCAACATGTTGGCAGGCTGTTCAGTAAAAGTAATCAGGGATGCAATTTACTGTGACAGTCATGTACAGGTCAAAATTCTGACAACATGGTCATTGCCCCAAACATTGTACATTAGGACCACCTTTAGCATGAAACCAGCAGAGAGTCTAGCATGCTACGGTGCAGTCCTGGCAAGGAACCTATGTGAATTACAGGTTAGAAGTTCATGGTACAAAGTAACATAACAGAGAGTCTAGCATGCTACGGTGCAGTCCTGGCAAGGAACCTATGTGAATTACAGGTTAGAAGTTCATGGTACAAAGTAACATAACAGAGAGTCTAGCATGCTACGGTGCAGTCCTGGCAAGGAACCTATGTGAATTACAGGTTAGAAGTTCATGGTACAAAGTAACATAACAGATCTAGTTGTCATAGTAACATAACAGAGAGTCTAGCATGCTACTGTGATTTAGTAAATGTCAGTGTGACATGACAGCTTCTATTGTACCATCAGTTAAATACAGGTCACCATCAGTTATATACAGGTCACCATCAGTTGCATAAAGGTCACCATCAGTTATATGCAGGTCACCATCAGTTGCATACAGGTCACCATCAGTTATATGCAGGTCACCATCAGTTATATACAGGTCACCATCAGTTATATGCAGGTCAGGTTAGAATCAGTTATACAAGGTCACCATCAGTTATATACATGTCACCATCAGTTATATGCAGGTCACCATCGGATATAGAATTACAGGTTAGAGGTCACCATAACAGGATATATACAAGGTCACCATAGAAGTTATGGTACAAAGCATCACCATCAGTTATATACAGGTCACCATCAGTTGCAGGTCACCATCAGTTATATACAGGTCACCATCAAGGTCACCATCAGTTATATGCAGGTCACCATCAGTTGCATACAGGTCACCATCAGTTATATGCAGGTCACCATCAGTTATATACAAGTCACCATCAGTTATATGCAGGTCACCATCAGTTATATACAGGTCACCATCAGTTATATACATGTCACATCAGTTATATGCAGGTCACCATCAGTGATATATACAGGTCACCATCGGATATAGACAGGTCACCATCGGATATATACAGGTCACCATCAGTTATATGCATGTCACCATCAGTTATATACAGGTCACCATCAGTTATATGCAGGTCACTATCAGTTACATACAGGTCACCATCAGTTACATACAGGTCATCATTAGTTACATACCGGTCACCATCACTAATATACATGTCACCATCAGTTATATGCACCATCAGTTACATACAGGTCATCATCAGGTTATATGCACCTTCAGTTACATACATGTCATCATCAGTTACATACAGGTCACCATCTGATATAGACAAGTCACCATCGGATATATACAGGTCACCGTCACTTATATACAGGTCACCATCAGTTATAAACAGGTCACCATCAGTTACATACAGGTCACCATCAGTTATATGCATGTCACCATCAGTTATATACAGGTCACCATCGGATATATACAGGTCACGATCAGTTATATGCATGTCACCATCAGTTATATACAGGTCACCATCAGTAATATACAGGTCACCATCAGTTATATACAGGTCACCATCAGCCATGTACAGGTCGCCATCAGATATATACAGGTCACCATCATATGCATCAGGTCACCATTGGTTATATACAGGTCACCATCACTTAAATACAGGTCACGATCAAATATATACAGTTCACTATCAGGTATATATGGGTCACCATAAGTTATATACAGGTTAATATCAGTAATATACAGTGAGTGAGTTTAGTTTTACGCTGCACTCAGCAATATTACAGCTATATGGCGGAGTTATATACAGGTCACCATCAGGTATATACAGGCCACCATCAGTTATTTACAGGTCACCATCAGTCTTACAAGTCACTATCAGTTGCATACAGGTGACATCAGATATATTCGGGTCACCATCAGTTATATCCTGGTCACCACATAAAAGAAGGCTGTTTGTTTCTGTTCCAGATGCTACCGCCGAAGAAGGGTACAGCTCCCTCTACCATGGGATTGTCTCCCCTGCCAAGTATGACTCCCCAAGGTCTTCACTGAGAGGGGACAGTTTCACTTCCAATCTGTCCGAGGGATCTGACAAGACAGGGTAAGAGGCAGCATGAGGTGCCGTGGGTCACGTTCAACAAAGAAAACACTGCATGTATCTCTACTGATTCATTAACATGGATGTACAACCACTGTTGCTTTGTTTGTGGGGGGAGCCTAGGATAGAAAGAAAGTGTGGGAAGAAGACATTTTGTAATCGTCCTTTGCTCAATCTATTAATTGATGTCTCATGACAAGTTGTGTTGTGAAAAAATATAGAAAACATCTACCTTGAAGCTGTCACCAAAAATAATTCTCTATCTGACAAAAATCTGTCTACTCTCATTAATGTTGATAATATTTTTGCTCTTCATTAAAACTTGAGACTTGGTTCACTGTGGAGTGTTGAGGAAGCCTGTACTACCTCTGTGTTCCAGAGAGGCTGGCCTGAAGATGTCCGGCGTAAGGCGGGTGTGGGGAAGGGAGGGGTACCTTGAGGCGGACCCCACCCAGGCTGTCAGACACCAGCAAGCAGAACATAGAACAAAGGTATCATCAGCATCCCATCCTGTCAGTGACTGACTGTCTGTCTGTCTGTCTATTGGTCTATGTCCGTCTGCTTTGTATGTCTATCTTTCTGTCTTTGCCTATGTGTTTCTGTCTGCGCCTGTGTATGTCTATCTTTCTGTCTTTGCCTATGTGTGTCTGTCTATGCGTCTGTGTATGTCTATCTTTCTGTCTTTGCCTAAATTCCTCCAATCCAAGCTGTTCCTCTTTTATCATGAGTCATCCATCAAAATTGATGCTGGGTCTTCTTCATATATCCTTTGTACATCATAACTGTGAATTATTTTTCAAAATTTTTACTTAATTAGCCATATTTTTCAGACTTGTGAAAGTTTTGTGGGTCTCATGAAAACGTACTCAGCATGTAAATTCAGAATTTCCAACTGTGACCCACACCCTACTTGTTCTTCTTGCATCATGCTAATTTCAGTTTAAGTTCTAAATGTAGTTTCTGTTCCCCTCTAACCCTAACCCTAACCCTAACCCAGACGCTATTGGCATGGACCGTTGATACGCCTAGCAATATCCTGGGAATGTCTTCACGCATATACGTCCCCTCCACCAGCGTTAATACTTAAAGTCATAGAAAATATTGACAAACAATGAACTTGAGACGATTTTGTAGCGCCTTTCGTGCCATTGAGAATGTGGTTTGCAGACCTGAAGGCAGTAACCGGAAAACCAAGTCTAAAACTTTGAACTGGCCAAACTTTCTTCTACATCCACACACAAGGCAACCACACAGGAATCCGGAGAGTTTCGAGTTTCACATATGGAACATATTACGAACGGCCTTACTTGAAGAGGGTACTCAGCTAGAGCAGCCAAAGCTGTCTCTTTAGCATTGAGAAGATATACCATGATATATGATGATAAATGGAAGAATTTGGGCCAGTTTGCATCGCTGAAGGAGTTCTCAGCAACTGAGGCCACTCATCCTCAAGTTGTAGAATATTTATGTCACCTGAGAAGTACCAGATATCTTGATGGTTCGACTTTACTAGTGATGTATACAAGCAGATTTTGAGTTCCTCACTCAGAACACATTGTTTCTCACTAGCCACAGCAGCTAGAATGTCCGAGATTCATGCTGTTGAATTCGGTTGAACAAGGATTGACATGGGTGAACATGCTGCAGTCCATCTTGGTCTCAGATGGCACTTAGTAGCAAGAACCAACTTCCAAGACAGCCTGACAGACAGTTTGATATCCCTGCTCTATCATCAATACTTGGGACAGACGATATACGACATAAATAAATCAGAGCAGTTATATGATTCAGTTAAGTTTATGCTCAATGCTTAATATATGGATCGACCTAAGACAAGCGGAATATTATCAGTTACACAGTGTTCTGGAACTGTGTAAAGGACTGTAAGACCCTTGTAAATTCCGTGTTTCGTGAGGCTGTTTTTTGCCTTACATTCCCGTACACCCTTTCAAAACACTGTGTGACGAATTTATTACCCTTAAGATCTCTTTATGTAGCATATCATTAAAAACCAACATTCAATAGAAAATAACAAAAAACGAGAAACAAAAATGTGAGACGCAAAGCATTCCGCCTTTATTTTTCTGTGATCCCTCATGAAGGGAGATAACTCGTGATTTATGATAAAATGATCGAATTTGAGGTTTTTGTTAAACGGCAAGCGAAATACAGAAACATATTTTTTTGACACAAATAATGTAATTTTCTGAATAAAATTGATATTTTATACTTATCCTGACTCATGCTTAATTGCTTGTCTCCTTCCTCTTGCGAACTTAGTGGAACACTTGTATCTCCTATTGAAGCTTCAATAAAAAAGAGACGTAAAATCACCACTCACCAAGAGTTATCTGTGTGGCCGTTTTGGCAGGAAAGCGGCGCCACCGTAATCCCATGCTTCACTCTCTCCGAATTACTAGCCCGACACTTGAATTTACAGGGAAATCCAAAGTGTCTAGCAGGGAGGTTGGGAGGGCTTACCTCATGAGTCAGGATAAGTATAAAATATCAATTTTATTCAGAAAATTACATATTTTCCCTTATCCTGACTCATGCTTAATTGCTTGTAGAATCCGACGGAGTTGGTGGTGGGTCAAGCCACTTCTGGATTCCATGTAGTGATTTACGTCTTACATACCCCCCTATGGGAACTTCCTGGTAGCACTTCTTTTACTGTTAGGCTCTGCTGCTGCTGTAACCTTTCACTTCCAGCTTTCTCTGATGGGGGGACCACAATAGTTAACTTTTGGTCCTTTCTTCTGTTAACATTTTATGTGGATTTTTGCGACTCCATTTCTTGATGCAAGCACCAAGTGGAGAAGCGACCCTTTTCTGTACGAGTATCCTTACAAGTACTGGGTCATATCACTTATGCTAGTCGTTAGACGTGCATTGAGACTTAAGCAGAACTCTGCTGAGTGTAGGCTTTGTAAGTCATGTGATAAAAGGGCGAGACTCCGTCTCAGCGCCTTTGTGGGACTGTCAATTGTTGTGCTACAACAAGTGGCCCGATATGGTGAATGCCAGAGCCGTCCTCAGTGGCGATGTCCCTCAGGTAGTGGTTGGCAAACACCATGTCCCATTTCCAGAAGCAGCCCTCCATTATCGTCCTGATAGAGTGATTCCCATGTAGAGCGTGCGTTGACGGCAGAGCTCTAACTTCATGTGGGTTAGAGGCTCTTGGAGGATCAAGTCCTGCTGCTTTGTAGGCCCGTAGTATGACAGTTCTGATCCAGCCTGATATCTTAGTGTGAAAGACCTCCGTCTGTGTCGCTGTCGATATCGAGACGAAAAGACGCTTGAATCCCGGTTCCTGGACCTGGATCGTTGTAGGTAGACTTTCAATGCTCTCACTGGGCACAAGGATAGGACCTGCGTATCCTGTGGTCCAAGGACTGATGATAGTGTTGGGACGTGGAACTGTCTGTCTGGCTGACCTGGCAGTTGATTCTTTGCTATGAAGTCATATCTCCGTCCCATATGCACGATGTTTTGATTTGCATCAAATCGTGTTCTCTCGAAGTCCAGAGCATGTATTTCCGACATCCTTGCTGCTGTTGCTAAAGTTATCAGGAACAGCGTCTTCTGCGTCAAGAACTCGAATGATGTTCTCTGTAATGGCTCTTAGATGTCACTAGTGAGGTGTCGTAGAACTACGTTGAGGTCCCACGCCGGAGCTTTAAATCTCTGTTGTTGGTCCTCCAATTAAAAAGACGTAGTAAGGCCAGTAACTCTGGTACTTTCGTCCGTTGCACTCGTCATCATGGCGATAACTGAGCTGAATGCTGCTAGGTATGTTGAGAGTGTTGACCCTTTTAACCGCTTCGTTTGTCTAGTTGACAAAGGTAGTCCGCCACTTGAGGATGTGTCACTTTCATGGCTGTGAAGTCAGTCCTCGAAGCGTAAATCTCGAAGTGTCGCCACTTGCCGTCATACAAGTTGTGTGTAGACTTGCGTAAAGCTAGTGTGACTGCTTTCGCTGCCCTGGTGAAATATCCTCTCTTGTTCAAGCATGCCTTGATACAGTCCACACGTGTAACCGGAACACCTCTGGGTTGCCGTGCGCCTGCTTTGTGTGAGGATGTACTAGTAGATTCGTCCACTCTGGTAGTTGCAGTTGAGGCAGTCCTAGGTCTTGTATGAGAATAGGGAACCATATTCTCGCTGGCCAGTAAGGTGTGCCCCAAGTAGTGGTAGGTCTCTCGTCTGACTGATTTTCTGCAACACCCTCGGTATTAGAGCTGGTGGTGGAAACGCGTAAGCGTTTAGTCCTTGCCAGGAGATGCTTAGCGTGTCCGTTGCCCATGCCCATGGATCTGGTATTGGTGAGACGAATGTTATCAGTTGACCCTTGTTGCGAAGAGGTCTATTAATGGTGCTCCCATCTCTCGTATGATCTGCTTGAAGATCTCTGGATGTAGCATCCAGTCTGTTGAGAATGGCTGCTTTGGACAGGATAGTGCATCTGCTATCACATTCTTGGTTCTTGGAATGTGGCATACTCTGCTGTGGACAGTCAGGTTGACTGTTATGCTGGCCAGTTGAAAGCAGAGGTCCAGAAGGTTCGCCGACCTTATTGATCCTTCTGTGGATGTAGAACGCCACTGAGGAGGTGACTGTATATACCGTCAGATGAGCATTCTTCAAAATGCTGGTCCAGTGGAGTATGGCGTTTATCACTGCTTTCATTCCAGTGTAGTTACCTAGCCTTAGCAAGGCTGCTGTTGAACCATGCCAGTGAGAATATCTGCAGATTTGTACGGAAGTGAAGATCTCTATATGGCCATGAGTCTTCTAAAGTAGATATATCAATCTATGTGAAGGCATTTGACATCTGCAGGAGCACCTGGAAGCAGACTGCATGAAATTGAGGGAAGAATCTAGCTTCTGTTCTCATGGGTGCGAAAACCTGCCAGCGACAGCAGCAGCTGAACATCCATCCATCATCTGCTTATTTAGGTTGCAGAAATTATTAACTCATGCTCTTTGATATGGGAATATGCATATAAACATTATCTCCGAGTTTCTGTCCTCAGTTCATACATGCAGCAAGTGAGACCTAGGTGACTTTGGCTGCTTGGTTGAAACCATATATCCGTGTTAGGGTTAGAGTTAGGTCAGACAGATCAGTGTTCGTTTAAGATTAACAGAAGGGCCTGTTAATTCAAATGCATATATTTACAACTGTACATTTTAATGGTTTCAGATTGGTCACAACCCAGAAGGTCAAAAACAACAAGATCTTGCTTCTGCCCTGTTCCAGGGTATCAGTGTAAGTAGATACTTCAGGAACAGAATCAAGTGTGTTGAGCCATTTCTGAAGATGTCTATAGTCCCAGGGTATCAGTGAATGTAGGTAGTCCTGGGGTATCAGTGTATGTAGATACTTCAGGAACAGAATTAAGTGTGTTGAGCCATGTCTGAAGTGTCTATAGTCCCAGGGTATCAGTGTATGTAGATACTTCAGGAACAGAATCAAGTGTGTTGAGCCATGTCTGAAGATGTCTATAGTCCCGGGGTATCAGTGTATGTAGATACTTCAGGAACAGAATCAATGTGTTGAGCCATGTCTGAAGATGTCTATTGTCCCAGGGTATCAGTGTATGTAGATACTGCAAGAACAGAATCAAGTGTGTTGAGCCATGTCTGAAGATGTCTATAGTCCCAGGGTATCAGTGTATGTAGATACTTCAGGAACAGAATCAAGTGTGTTGAGCCATGTCTGAAGATGTCTATAGTCCCAGGGTATCAGTGTATGTAGATACTTCAGGAACAGAATCAATGTGTTGAGCCATGTCTGAAGATGTCTATAGTCCCAGGGTATCAGTGTATGTAGATACTTCAAGAACAGAATCAAGTGTGTTGAGCCATGTCTGAAGATGTCTATAGTCCCAGGGTATCAGTGAATGTAGATACTTCAGGAACAGAATCAAGTGTGTTGAGCCATGTCTGAAGATGTCTATAGTCCCAGGGTATCAGTGTATGTAGATACTTCAGGAACAGAATCAAGTGTGTTGAGCCATGTCTGAAGATGTCTATAGTCCCAGGGTATCAGTGTATGTAGATACTTCAGGAACAGAATCAAGTGTGTTGAGCCATGTCTGAAGATGTCTATAGTCCCAGGGTATCAGTGTATGTAGATACTTCAGGAACAGAATCAAGTGTGTTGAGCCATGTCTGAAGATGTCTATAGTCCCAGGGTATCAGTGTATGTAGATACTTCAGGAACAGAATCAAGTGTGTTGAGCCATGTCTGAAGATGTCTGTAGTCCCAGGGTATCAGTGTATGTAGATACTTCAGGAACAGAATCAAGTGTGTTGAGCCATGTCTGAAGATGTGGGTAGTCCCAGGGTATCAGTGTATGTAGATACTTCAGGAACAGAATCAAGTGTGTTGAGCCATGTCTGAAGATGTCTGTAGTCCCAGGGTATCAGTGTATGTAGATACTGCAAGAACAGAATCAAGTGTGTTGAGCCATGTCTGAAGATGTCTATAGTCCCAGGGTATCAGTGTATGTAGATACTTCAGGAACAGAATCAAGTGTGTTGAGCCATGTCTGAAGATGTGGGTAGTCCCAGGGTATCAGTGTATGTAGATACTTCAGGAACAGAATCAAGTGTGTTGAGCCATGTCTGAAGATGTCTGTAGTCCTGGGGTATCAGTGTATGTAGATACTTCAGGAACAGAATCAAGTGTGTTGAGCCATGTCTGAAGATGTCTATAGTCCCAGGGTATCAGTGTATGTAGATACTTCAGGAACAGAATCAAGTGTGTTGAGCCATGTCTGAAGATGTCTATAGTCCCAGGGTATCAGTGTATGTAGATACTTCAGGAACAGAATCAATGTGTTGAGCCATGTCTGAAGATGTCTATAGTCCCAGGGTATCAGTGTATGTAGATACTTCAGGAACAGAATCAAGTGTGTTGAGCCATGTCTGAAGATGTGGGTAGTCCCAGGGTATCAGTGTATGTAGATACTTCAGGAACAGAATCAATGTGTTGAGCCATGTCTGAAGATGTCTATAGTCCTGGGGTATCAGTGTATGTAGATACTTCAGGAACAGAATCAATGTGTTGAGCCATGTCTGAAGATGTCTGTAGTCCCAGGGTATCAGTGTATGTAGATACTTCAGGAACAGAATCAAGTGTGTTGAGCCATGTCTGAAGATGTGGGTAGTCCCAGGGTATCAGTGTATGTAGATACTTCAGGAACAGAATCAAGTGTGTTGAGCCATGTCTGAAGATGTCTGTAGTCCCAGGGTATCAGTGTATGTAGATACTTCAGGAACAGAATCAAGTGTGTTGAGCCATGTCTGAAGATGTCTATAGTCCCAGGGTATCAGTGTATGTAGATACTGCAAGAACAGAATCAAGTGTGTTGAGCCATGTCTGAAGATGTCTGTAGTCCTGGGGTATCAGTGTATGTAGATACTTCAGGAACAGAATCAAGTGTGTTGAGCCATGTCTGAAGATGTCTGTAGTCCCAGGGTATCAGTGTATGTAGATACTGCAAGAACAGAATCAAGTGTGTTGAGCCATGTCTGAAGATGTGGGTAGTCCCAGGGTATCAGTGTGTGTAGATACTGCAAGAACAGAATCAAGTGTGTTGAGCCATGTCTGAAGATGTGGGTAGTCCCAGGGTATCAGTGAATGTAGATACTTCAGGAACAGAATCAAGTGTGTTGAGCCACGTCTGAAGATTTGGGTTGTCCTATCATTTGTAACCTCCATAAACAATTGATGATGCACCTCTGAATTACTGAAAATTGTATCAATTCTTGTTTTTAACTTGTCCAGATTTGATTCATTCACCAACTAACAATCAACTCTTGTTGTTCAGGGAAGCTCAGAAATACGACCCACATTAGATGATGAAGAGTCCAGTGGAAGTACAGGATGGTTGGCGGACAGCAGCAACCTACCAACATCAGACACATCGGGATGGAGGGCCTTCAGCGCCACACACCAGCAGAGCTGCCCTGGAGACAACTCCCTTGGGGTCTTAAGCTGGGGGCAGGATCCCTCCATAAAACATCTACCATCACAACCAGAGGTGTCCGATGTCAGAGCAGCAACAACCAATCAGGATGAGGCATCCCTTACCTCCAGCCAATCAGAGCGTAGGGAAATCTGGTTGGCCAATGAGAGCTCACCTCAGCATGTGCAATATGAGTCATTATACAGTGGCGAGGCTGATGCTGTGTCAGGGGAAGTCACACATTCCAGTATTTATGATGAGTTTACTGAAAAGGAGCAGGATGTCTTTGGTTGTGACACAGAGTCCCCCACAAAGGGAAGCGAGAAGGGGAGTAGTTTATACAGCAGTTACTACACATCTGACAGCTGATACTGACTGAAACACCACCAGCTCCTGGGGTGCTCAAGGCCTTCCCCTGTCAGGAATGTTTGGACCCCCTCTATCTTTGTACATTAAACATAGGAGTAATAGGACCTACTGACTTCAGTTGTTGCTTCATACACTAAACCCTTTCTTCAGGAATTATTGTCTACTTAATGGTGTATGACCCTCTATGGTGAGGCAATGAAAAATGATATATGATGTACTGGTGTGGTAATTACTGAGTGAGTATTTGAGAAATGTGAGACCAAGCATTCTGACATCCCTTGTCTCCTCACAAGGCTTCTGGTTATTTTATTTCTTTAAGCCTTTCTTATCCAAAATGACAACGGAACAAAAGTCAGGTTTGTTTCTTCAGATTGTTTGAAATCGGTATTGCATTTGTAACAGATGTCACTAAAATGGTGAATGGATTTACACAAGTATTACTTTGGTTGAAACATCATTGGTCTGTGAAAGTAGCTGCCTGTTAGATACAAGATTATTCACAAAACCATCTCCTCCTGCCGGATACTCAATATACAACATAATCCTGCCTCATGTAAGAATGTCGATTTTTATTGGTTCACGTGACTCTGATAAAATATCATGTACACCCGTCACGATCCGCGAGCAGGGAGTACAAAAGTCATATTATCCTGCCACGCCTCGGTGACCACGCGAAGTGAGAAAAGCGTGCATGGCCAAGCCTTCAGTAACGTGCGCTGCATTGAGGTCAATCGATCAGCTGGTGTCAACATGGCAGCAAGGAAACGTTTTGCCACAACAACTGAGAATGAAATTGATGCGTATTGTTCTCTTTTGATTTAGTAAAAACATTCGGCTAGATAAATGCGTTATCACATCGTGTCTCGGGAAATACGGGGTTTTATCAGTCCCTCGTAAGGTTGTATTTTTACAACCTTACAACCTTACAACTTACAACCTTACGAGGGACTGATAAAACCCCGTATTTCCCTCGACACGACGTGATAACTTATAATGGCCAGTGATAACACTCCGGCGCAGGGATGACTTAGCATAATATCATTGCCACAGGCTAATTTGCATATCACGTGACCGGACTTTTCTCTTGTTTGTAAACAAACGCGCATATTCATAATAAGAAGAGACTGGCCTTACGCAAACTTTTCGGCGCGATCTTCACATTGTTTTAAATTGTTACATATATATTCTTCTACAACTGCGGCAGTAAGGTTTATGACTACATATTTAGATATCAAACTGGCTGCATCGTTTGCTCTCCGTCGGCTTCGATGACAGCACGTGGAGCCGTACAACCTATGGAAACAAAGGATCGCTACGCAAATCGAAATAGTGTTACACGTTTTAGGATATTTTCTCAGTGAAACTAAACCATTCTATCAAAGATGATTAATTAGATGTGCAGACTCGTCAAAAATAAAAGAGTTAAGAAATACCTGTATGTACATTATATTGAATGGACGGTGCAAGATGTGACGAATCGTCACATCTTTTTGGCCTGTGGCAGAGGTACTATGCTGGCTGGCCGCATGAACTCTGGGTAGGAGAGTGGCCAGTGATATGTTGAAGCCATCTTCAAGCTGACTACTGTTTATGCTGGTGTCAATGTACTGGCCAATCAGTCGTCCGGTCCGGGTAAGAATATTGGCCTTCAGTAATCCATGTTTGTCGTAAGAGGCGACTAACGGGATCGGGTGGTCAGGCTCGCTGACTTGGTTGACACATGTCATTGGTTCCCAATTGCGCAGATCGATGCTCATGCTGATGATCACTGGATTGTCTGGTCCAGACTCGAGTATCTACAGACCGCCGCCATAATGCTGGAATATTGCTGAGTGCGGCGTAAAACTCAACTCACTCACTCACTCACTTTAAATGTAACATGAGGTTCAGTGCTGTCACGAAGGAGGCAAATGTTAGCAGAGGGTCAGACTTACTGACTTCCTTGATGCACGTCACTGTATCACATAGATCGATGCTCATGCTGTCAATCACTTGGGTGTATGCTCTATATTTGATGACTTACAGACTGCAGTCACACAGCAAACATACATGCTGATATCAGTGGTGTTCACCTTAACCTTAACTCTACCCACAGTACATCTGCCTCAACTACAAGATTACCTCTCATAAAATTATCTATGCATCTTCAACGATCCAACACTTATCTGCATCTTGTCACTGGAACATACTCTGCTCTTGATCTATCACTCACGGATTCTAATATTTTAAGTGCGTTTGAATGGTCGGTCAACGATGACCTTTGTGGAAGTGACCACTTCCTAACAATTCTTACTCCTATCAATCGCCGGAATTTTCCTGATCCCATGGAACATGTTCAGACCTTTTAAATGCTGATGGCGGCGAACCCATTCATAACCGTTTGGTTTGATACAACCAGCAAACAAGCTAGATAAAATGGGCAGAAAGCAGAAAATACTTCCGCCAACATCCTACCATGCATTTACCTGAATGCAGTCGAAATGACAAATGGCAGGATAAGACGAACCTTGAAATAAACTAAAGGTCAGTCATGGAAGAAATACGTATCCAACATCAATTCCCGCACTCCACACCCATGTCCACGTTGTGGAACATGATTCAAAAGATTAAGGGCAAAAGAAAAATATCTGGTGCTCGCCATCTCAAAGATTTTAAGTATCTATTAACGAATAAATCTGAAATTGCAAACTGACTTGGCAAACCATTCCTCATCGTCAAATCACAACCCTCAGTTCAAGAAATACGAAACCCAAAAAGAAAAGAAACCGGTCAATTTTAGCTCCGATTATGGTGAGGATTACAATGAAACGTTTTTCTATGAATTACGCACGGTCCTTTGGCAGGCTCACGACACTGCGGCAGAAGGTGATGGTATTCATTATCAGCTTCTGAAACCCCTTCCTGGTTCATGTTTAGAAACACTATTCAATATATTTGATGAAAATTGGACAACCGGAAACTTTCCTCCTTTATGGCGTTATGCCATTGGCATCCCAATAGCAAAGCTTGGCCTGGACCACCCTGATCCCTCAGATTACCGCCCTATATCATTAACAAGCTGTGTTTGTAAAACCATGGAGCGCAACTTGTATTCACTTTTGTCGTAAATACAAACCGCACAAGGATCCAAAGTTATTTTTAGATGGTACTCCCATCAAGGTAGTAAGATCGGCCAAGTTCTTGGGACCCCTATTTGACCGTCACATAAAATACTTGAAAACAAAGTGACTGAAGGCCCTTGAGGTTCAGTAAATTGTAAATAAATATATGTTGAAGCAAAAGATGTATTACATTAGGAAAATTATGAAAAATGGTGGCTAAAAATGTTAACATATTAATAAATAGGTAAAGACTATAACCCTTAAACAAAGGCTCACGCTTCAGTGGTTAATGCTGATTACCCGGCTCGCATCTCTCACCGAGCCATAGTGCAATGTTGTCTTAACTATACCTTTTTCGGTAGACTCTGGCTAAGTGAGTGAGAACCCTATCCACCACCAAGTCCTCGGAGCTATTAGGACCTCTCCGGTTGACAGTCTTGAACACCGCCACATTAAACTTTCACTGCAGTATATCATTTAATTACGTTCAAATCAGCATCGCAGGAGGAGCATCACAGCATGAGGTGGCAAAGCACTTCGGTGTGTCCAGACAGATCATCTCAAACCTATGGCACCGATACAACAATACTTGGAGTGTTAATGACAGACCCAGGTCAGGTCGACCTTGAGTTACCACTGCCGCCCATGAGGATCGCTACATCCGGTTGAGACATCTTCGTTCATGCACCACGGCCGCAACATCCACAACAACCCAAATCCCTGGACTGTGCCGAATCTCCGACCAGACAGTGCGCAATCGTTTACGGGAAGCCGGACACTTTTTGCCAGAAGACACCAGTTCGACATAACATCTTGACACAACGTCACCGGGCCGAATGTCTACAATGGTGCAGACAACGAGTGAAATGGCCGCGGGCAAGATGGAGGACAATTTTGTTTTCGGATGGGTCTCAGTTTCTTAAAGGACGTGCTGATAGACGTTCACGTGTATACAGACGTCGGAACGAACGTTACGCCGATACCTGTGTACAGCAGGTCGATAGATTTGGTGGTGGAAGTGTCATGGTGTGGTTAAGTATCCATCATAATGGCCAGACAGCTCTTGTGCACGTGGCAGGTGAATTGAATGGGTTCGCTATTGAGACGAGATTTTGCCAGCTCACCTCGTTTCCTTCAACGTCAGTGGTGGATCTTTCCGGCATGACAATGTTCAACCTCACGTTGCACGTGTTTGCCAGGACTTCCTCCAGCAAAACAACGTTCAGGTGTTACCTTGACCTTCTTGATCACCCACTTTGCCCCCCAATGAACATCTATGATCGACGCTTGCGCCAGCGTAATCCGCCACCTCAGACACTACAAGAACTGCACGCATTACTTCAGCAAGTCTATCAAACATTCCTCAAGACAGCATTCGGCATCTCCTTTCTTCTATGGGTCACCGCTGCCAAGCTGTTATCGATGCTCATGGTGGTCACACCAGATACTGACATTTTACTATGACCAAGTGGCTTTAATAGCCCTCTGTGGTTTTACCAAACACTTTCTGGATAATCATGTTTTTGAAATTCGTAAAGTGATGATTTTACTGTAATGATGTCATGATTGAATCAGTTATATGCAACTGCAATGTCTGAGAGGTTATGTACTGACAATGTCTGAGAGGTTATGTACTGACAATGTCTGAGAGGTTATGTACTGACAATGTCTGAGAGGTTATGTACTGACAATGTCTGAGAGGTTATGTACTGACAATGTCTGAGAGGTTATGTACTGACAATGTCTGAGAGGTTATGTACTGACAATGTCTGAGAGGTTATGTACTGACAATGTCTGAGAGGTTATGTACTGACAATGTCTGAGAGGTTATGTACTGAGAGGTTATGTACTGACAATGTCTGAGAGGTTATGTACTGACAATGTCTGAGAGGTTATGTACTGACAATGTCTGAGAGGTTATGTACTGACAATGTCTGAGAGGTTATGTACTGACAATGTCTGAGAGGTTATGTACTGACAATGTCTGAGAGGTTATGTACTGACAATGTCTGAGAGGTTATGTACTGACAATGTCTGAGAGGTTATGTACTGACAATGTCTGAGAGGTTATGTACTGACAATGTCTGAGAGGTTATGTACTGACAATGTCTGAGAGGTTATGTTATGTACTGACAATATCTGAGAGGTTATGTACTGACAATGTCTGAGAGGTTATGTACTGACAATGTCTGAGAGGTTATGTACTGACAATGTCTGAGAGGTTATGTACTGACAATGTCTGAGAGGTTATGTACTGACAATGTCTGAGAGGTTATGTACTGACAATGTCTGAGAGGTTATGTACTGACAATGTCTGAGAGGTTATGTACTGACAATGTCTGAGAGGTTATGTACTGACAATGTCTGAGAGGTTATGTACTGACAATGTCTGAGAGGTTATGTACCGACAATGTCTGAGAGGTTATGTACTGACAATGTCTGAGAGAGGTTATGTACTGACAATGTCTGAGAGGTTATGTACTGACAATGTACTGACAAGAGGTTATGTACTGACAATGTCTGAGAGGTTATGTACTGACAATGTCTGAGAGGTTATGTACTGACAATGTCTGAGAGGTTATGTACTGACAATGTCTGAGAGGTTATGTACTGACAATGTCTGAGAGGTTATGTACTGACAATGTCTGAGAGGTTATGTACTGACAATGTCTGAGAGGTTATGTACTGACAATGTCTGAGAGGTTATGTACTGACAATGTCTGAGAGGTTATGTACTGACAATGTCTGAGAGGTTATGTACTGACAATGTCTGAGAGGTTATGTACTGACAATGTCTGAGAGGTTATGTACTGACAATGTCTGAGAGGTTATGTACTGACAATGTCTGAGAGGTTATGTACTGACAATGTCTGAGAGGTTATGTACTGACAATATCTGAGAGGTTATGTACTGACAATGTCTGAGAGGTTATGTACTGACAATGTCTCTGAGGTTATGTACTGACAATGTCTGAGAGGTTATGTACTGACAATGTCTGAGAGGTTATGTACTGACAATGTCTGAGAGGTTATGTACTGACAATGTCTGAGAGGTTATGTACTGACAATGTCTGAGAGGTTATGTACTGACAATGTCTGAGAGGTTATGTACTGACAATGTCTGAGAGGTTATGTACTGACAATGTGTGAGAGGTTATGTACTGACAATGTCTGAGAGGTTATGTACTGACAATGTCTGAGAGGTTATGTACTGACAATGTCTGAGAGGTTATGTACTGACAATGTCTGAGAGGTTATGTACTGACAATGTCTGAGAGGTTATGTACTGACAATGTCTGAGAGGTTATGTACTGACAATGTCTGAGAGGTTATGTACTGACAATGTCTGAGAGGTTATGTACTGACAATGTCTGAGAGGTTATGTACTGACAATGTCTGAGAGGTTATGTACTGACAATGTCTGAGAGGTTATGTACTGACAATGTCTGAGAGGTTATGTACTGACAATTTCTGAGAGGTTATGTACTGACAATGTCTGAGAAGTTATGTACTCACGGATAAAATAACTGTGCATAGCATAAAATTGCATAAAATAAAATGTATGTGAAATTTTCAAAAAAGCCCTAAATAAACGTGTAGCAAAGCACTTTGCGTGAAATTTGATGTCACGTATCGCGCGTGGCACATGGACTTTGTGCACAATGAATTTACTCATTTCTTGCATGCATTTTGATACATGAAGTTCATACACTTGATATTGAAAATTGAAGAACGGGTTATTATTATCTAGTCTCTGAATGTTGTGGAGAACACATTAAATTCGACCTAAACCGCGCGTACCTGCGCGTACTTCAGTTTCTTATCTAGGAGTATGTATGTATGTATGTATGTGCGTGCGTGCGTGCGTACGTGCGTGTGTGTGTAAGCAGAATGTCAGGACAGGATTTCTTGTAATTCTTTATGATATGCCAGTATATTTCATTTCTTGTTTCTTTAACTGTGTGCCTGGTGTTCTGTTCATTACATAAAGACCCAAACCGTTTCCCTAACCTGTCCAAATATCTGCTTGATACAGAATGCGAGTAAAATCTGTTTATGAATCACTGTCCAATAGTAATGATACCAGCCTCTCCAGGCCCCCGACTATGACAGATTGATACCATTTCTACATGCGACCCACATGCCCCCTTCTCGTGTTTCACGTCAGTCAGCCTCCTCCTCCTCGAGTCACGCTGTGCTGGGGAGGGACCGACACCACCATGGACCACAGGATCATCAAATGGACTCTTGTTTTACTCACAGTGCAATTTGCAACTGTGCAAGGTGGTATTACTAATTGCGTTTCTGGTATTATATGATTACATCAGGTTACATCGTCTCCAGCCTTTGTGTAGTAAATTGCAACCAGTCTAGTCTCTCGTAATGTGCAGATTATATCGACTCCCATCTCTCATATTGTGCAGATTATATCTTCTTCCATCTCTCATATTGTGCAGATTATATCGACTCCCATCTCTCATATTGTGCAGATTACATCTACTTCCATCTCTCATATTGTGAAGATTATATCTACTCCCATCTCTCATATTGTGCAGATTATATCTACTTCCATCTCTCATATTGTGCAGATTATATCTACTTCCATCTCATATTGTCAGATTATATCTACTCCCATCTCATATTGTGCAGATTATATCTACTCCATCTCTCATATTGTGCCATCTCACTTCCATCTCATATTGTGCAGATTCACATATCTTCTCCATCTCTCATATTGTGCAGATTATATCTACTCCCATCTCATCATATTGTGCAGATTTATATCTGCAGATTATATCTATCATCTCTCATATTGTGCAGATTATATCTACTTCCATCTCTCATATTGTGCAGATTATATCTACTCCATCTCTCATATTGTGCAGATTATATCTCCCATCTCTCATATTGTGCAGATTATATCTACTTCCATCTCTCATATTGTGCAGATTATATCTACTTCCATCTCTCATATTGTGCAGATTATATCTACTTCCATCTCTCATATTGTGCAGATTATATCTACTTCCATCTCTCATATTGTGCAGATTATATCTACTTCCATCTCTCATATTGTGCAGATTATATCTACTTCCATCTCACATATTGTGCAGATTATATCTACTTCCATCTCTCATATTGTGCAGATTATATCTACTTCCATCTCTCATATTGTGCAGATTATATCTACTTCCATCTCTCATATTGTGCAGATTACATCTACTTCCATCTCACATATTGTGCAGATTATATCTACTTCCATCTCACATATTGTGCAGATTACATCTACTTCCATCTCACATATTGTGCAGATTATATCTACTTCCATCTCTCATATTGTGCAGATTATATCTACTTCCATCTCTCATATTGTGCAGATTATATCATCTACTTCATATTGTGCAGATTATATCTCTCATCTCTCATATTGTGCAGATTACATCTACTTCCATCTCTCATATTGTGCAGATTATATCTACTTCCATCTCTCATATTGTGCAGATTATATCTACTCCCCATCTCACATATTGTGCAGATTATATCTACTCCCCCATCTCTACTCATATTATTGCAGATTATATCTACTCCCCATCTCTCATATTGTGCAGATTAGATCTACTCCCATCTCTCATATTGTGCAGATATATCTACTTCCATCTTCATCTACTTCCATCTCTCATATTGTGCAGATTATATCTACTTCCATCTCTCATATTGTGCAGATTATATCTACTCCCATCTCTCATATTGTGCAGATTATATCTACTTCCATATTGTGCAGATTACATCATATTGTCATATTGCAGATTATATCTACTTCCATCTCACATATTGTGCAGATTATATCTACTCCATCTTATATCTACATCATTGTGCAGATTATATCTACTTCCATCTCTCATATTGTGCAGATTATATCTACTTCCATCTGACATATCTCATATTGTGCAGATTTATCCATCTCATATTGTGCAGATTATATCCATCATCTCTCATATTGTGCAGATTATATCTACTCCCATCTCACATATTGTGCAGATTATATCTACTTCCATCTCACATATTGTGCAGATTATATCTACTTCCATCTCCCATATTGTGCAGATTATATCTACTTCCATCTCCCATATTGTGCAGATTATATCTACTCCCATCTCCCATATTGTGCAGATTATATCTACTCCCATCTCCCATGTTGTGCAGATTATATCGACTCCCATCTCACATATTGTGCAGATTATATCGACTCCCATCTCACATATTGTGCAGATTATATCGACTCCCATCTCACATATTGTGCAGATTATATCGACTCCCATCTCACATATTGTGCAGATTATATCGACTCCCATCTCTTGGTGTGTTGTAGGTTGCAGCACTTCCCACTTCCAGTGCACCTCTGGTGAATGTATTGTGTCTGCGTGGGTCTGTGACGGGGAGGCTGACTGCCAAGATGGATCCGATGAGGTTTGTTCAGGTCAGGGCTATTCCATCATTTGTCTCACAATTTTAAGAGCATACACTTGCTATTTAAGAAGCATGAATCTGTGACGCATCTCGATGATGAATCTCGAAGTTCACATACAACAAAAACATTTTTAGTAATGTCATGTGACAGATCTGCATGCTGTCAGCGATGTGTTGTTACAGAACTACATGCTGTCAGCGATGTGTTGTTACAGTGATGTCCATGTGACTCTGTGTGTTCAGTGATGTCATGGTTCAGTGACAGAACTGTGTGTTCAGTGATGTCTGATCTACTCTGTGTGTTCAGTGATGTCTTGTGAGAGATCTACTCTGTGTTACAGTGTGTTCAGTGATGTCTTGTGAGAGATCTACTCTGTGTGTTCAGTGATGTCTTGTGAGAGATCTACTCTGTGTGTTCCAGTTTCCTGTAAGAAGGACCAGTTCCAGTGTTTGGACACACAGTGTATACCCAGTAGGTGGCGCTGTGACGGAGAGAGTGATTGTAGAGATGGGACAGATGAACTGGAATGTGGTAAGTGCACGGGCATGGTGCATCACTCTCGACCAGAGAGTGGTCTCTGTGATGTACTGGTTCCCTGGCTGTATGAGTGGCCTAGAGTGTGATGTACTGGTTACCTGGCTGTATGAGTGGCCTAGAGTGTGATGCTCTGACGTTCTGGCGTGGAACAACGTGCATCAACATCAAATAACACGTCTAGTGAGTGTGAGTGAGTGACTTTAGTTTTACATGTGTCAAACAAGTCAGCGAGCCGAACCACCCGATCCCGTTAGTCGCCTCTTACGACAAGCACGGGTAACTGAAGATCAAGTCTAACCCGGATCTTCACGGGTTTCGTCATTTCGTCTTAGTCAGTGTACACCTGCACATATTATAAACAATAGCATTTGTTTGGACAGAAAAAGAGACATCACAAACATTTAAAAAAAAGCGATAAAATACTTTCCACATTAATTAGAAATCCCTTCTAAAGCAGAGATGTTTCTATGATTCCGACTACTTCACGAGCACGTGTCTATGAATCACTTTCACATGACACCAGGTGTTCGAGTAAACTAGTCCTGTCCTTTCCTGCCCAGAAAATAGGGGCGTACCCTGTCCTTTCCTGCCCAGAAAATAGGGGCGTACCCTGTCCTTTCCTGCCCAGAAAATAGGGACGTACCCTGTCCTTTCCTTCCCAGAAAATAGGGCGTACTCTGTCCTTTCCTGCCCAGAAAATAGGGACGTACCCTGTCCTTTCCTGCCCAGAAAATAAGGACGTACCCTGTCCTTTCCTGCCCTGAAAATAGGGACGCACCCTGTCCTTTCCTGCCCAGAAAATAGGGACGTACCCTGTCCTTTCCTGCCCAGAAAATAGGGACGTACCCTGTCCTTTCCTGCCCAGAAAATAGGTACGTACACTGTCCATTCCTGCCCAGAAAATAGGGACGTACCCTGTCCTTTCCTGCCCAGAAAATAGGTACGTACACTGTCCATTCCTGCCCAGAAAATAGGGACGTACCCTGTCCATTGCTGCCCAGAAAATAGGGACGTACCCTGTCCTTTCCTACCCTGAAAATAGGGGCGACCCTGTCCTTTCGATGGCATTTGTCATAAACAAATGCAAAAGCTCCTCAATTGGTTGCCGGGAACCTACACGGGAACCTATGCCACAAGAAACATAAAGGAATCATTGTTACCACTGGCGCGTGAACATTCGAATCTCTTATACGTCCCTCTGACACTTGATTGCCTTATTTCCTGAAATTTATTTCTGATACCCCGAGTTAACTGAATAGAAAGAATTAAAACATGCCTTGAGTTGTAATGTCCTACCTCATAGCGGTCTTCCCAAGCGATGTCCACGAGAGTTGTCTTCCCTGACAAGCGCGGGAAACTTCGTAATTTTTCTAGTGGCGCACATGGTCACACGTGGTTACTTGTTCTATGTTAAATTTCCAGGTGTAAGTTTTATGTTCTGATTATATAATGAATAGCGCTACGATTGTCGTAACTCCCATACTTTAACAAAGGCTTACGACAATCGTAGCGCTATGGTCACTTTGAGGAACGGGGCCCTGGACAACATCTCTGAGTCACCACGACTTCACAGACTTCACCTGTCACACGGACCATACCAGTCGTCCGGGCCAGGCTAACCATACGGTCATCACGTGCCGAACGGATCTTACCAGCCGCAAGGACCAGCCTAGCAATACGAGCGACACGGGCCAGTCTAGCCGCATGGGCGACACCAGCCTAGCAATACGAGCGACACGGGCCAGTCTAGCCGCATGGGCGACACCAGCCTAGCAATACGAGCCGTCTCAGGCTAACCATACAGCGATGACCAGCTGGACCTACAATTACCGTTATCACACGGGACTGTATAGCGACACGGGCACTAGCAGTGGAGACACGGGCCACCTGGACGACCCACAAGGGTTCTTCAGAGACGGATCGTACGACAGGTAAGCTCACGGAGACATCCGTTACACAGACTGAATGGACCACAACACATACCAGACCATCCGTACAGACCACAGTACGGGCGACACCACCCCAGGTTAACCCTACGGTCCACACCAGCAGCAGGGAGGATGCACAATGGTCCTGGGGTAATGCGAGTCCATATCAGTTTATCAACAATATCCAACTACTGGCTTATCTCTGCCATCAGGAAGATACCACCTGCCACGGAGGCTGATGCAGCCGATGACCCATCCTTAGTTAAACAAGAGATTGCTGATGTCACAGCCCATATGCTACACGGCTCCCTGGAAAATATGTCAAGGCGATGTCTGACTTTAGACACACTTGGCAAAGCTTGCAGCGTAGTTCATCTCCTTCGCAGAGGCCATCACTTTCATCAATTTTGATATCTCTTGACATACATAACATTATCTATTCCCAGGCTATGGAGAACCAGCTGTTTAGCGGTTACGGCCAATCAAGACTTCTCGCAAGGGGCCAAGAAGGGTGTAAACCGCGCGAGGCCAACAGAAGAGGTTTGGACGAGTCAACCTCGGATAGAACACCAGTAGCAATGTGAAGACATCGGCCAGAGGATACAGCAAGTCCTTCTCGTTGCAGAAATGTGCCAAGTCTGGTCCCAAGTCGACAGCGATCACAATCACCTCATAGTGGAAACAGATCTCAGGCTTCCCAGGGTCCCGTGGGCGATGTTTGTCACAATTACGGGAAACTGGAAGATCATTACAGCCGACCAATGGATCCTAAAGGTCATCGTCCGACTTCTGATCACAAGGTCCGTGGTTCGAAAACCAGCAAGAGACTCGGACAGTTTATGGCTGCTACACTTGCAACACAGCCTCAAAGGTGTCCCAGTTGCATGCAAGGGGTGTCAGGTCCATTACATTCCCAAACAATCCCTCCAGAATCACGATTAGAGAATCACCTGAGTTCCTGACCAAGAATCAGAAGTCTGCTTTGAGACCTCTAGAACAAGGAGTGTTTACTGTCCCTTCTCTGGCTCCTACTCTAGAACAAGGAGTGTTTACTGTCCCTTCTCTGGCTCCTACTCTAGAACAAAGAGTGTTTACTGTCCCTTCTCTGGCTCCTACTCTAGAACAAGGAGTGTTTACTGTCCTTTCTCTGGCTCCTACCCTGGAACAAGGAGTGTTTACTGTCCCTTCTCTGGCTCATTCTCTAGAACAAGGAGTGTTTACTGTCCTTTCTCTGGCTCCTACTGCAGAACAAGGAGTGTTTACTGTCCCTTCTCTGGCTCCTACTCTAGAACAAGGAGTGTTTACTGTCCCTTCTCTGGCTCATTCTCTAGAACAAGGAGTGTTTACTGTCCTTTCTCTGGCTCCTACTGTAGAACAAGGAGTGATTACTGTCCTTTCTCTGGCTCCTACTGTAGAACAAGGAGTGTTTACTGTCCTTTCTCTGGCTCCTACTGTAGAACAAGGAGTGTTTACTGTCCCTTCTCTGGCTCCTACTCTAGAACAAGGAGTGTTTACTGTCCCTTCTCTGGCTCCTACTCTAGAACAAGGAGTGTTTACTGTCCTTTCTCTGGCTCCTACTCTAGAACAAGGAGTGTTTACTGTCCTTTCTCTGGCTCCTACCCTAGAACAAGGAGTGTTTACTGTCCCTTCTCTGGCTCCTACTCTAGAACAAGGAGTGTTTACTGTCCTTTCTCTGGCTCCTGCAGAACAAGGAGTGTTTACTGTCCCTTCTCTGGCTCCTACTCTAGAACAAGGAGTGTTTACTGTCCCTTCTCTGGCTCCTACTCTAGAACAAGGAGTGTTTACTGTCCTTTCTCTGGCTCCTACTCTAGAACAAGGAGTGTTTACTGTCCTTTCTCTGGCTCCTACTGTAGAACAAGGAGTGTTTACTGTCCTTTCTCTGGCTCCTACTGTAGAACAAGGAGTGTTTACTGTCCCTTCTCTGGCTCCTACTCTAGAACAAGGAGTGTTTACTGTCCTTTCTCTGGCTCCTACTGTAGAACAAGGAGTGTTTACTGTCCTTTCTCTGGCTCCTACTGTAGAACAAGGAGTGTTTACTGTCCTTTCTCTGGCTCCTCTAGAACAAGGAGTGTTTACTGTCCTTTCTCTGGCTCCTACTCTAGAACAAGGAGTGTTTACTGTCCTTTCTCTGGCTCCTACTGTAGAACAAGGAGTGTTTACTGTCCTTTCTCTGGCTCCTACTCTAGAACAAGGAGTGTTTACTGTCCCTTCTCTGGCTCCTACTCTAGAACAAGGAGTGTTTACTGTCCTTTCTCTGGCTCCTACTCTAGAACAAGGAGTGTTTATTGTCCCTTCTCTGGCTCCTACCCTACACAGGTTTACCCGACACAGTTTTATGCCCAGTTAGTATCTTGACAAAACAGAGGTTTTTCGCCAAGGACGTCACAGGCTATGGTTATCTTGCCAGGATCAGCCCGATAGAGATATAACCAAAGGTACAGTGGCAGCGGAGATCAACGAAACTATTAAGCTTGCCATGGTAGTAGGGCAACCTCCCTCCTATTGGTGACTCCGGCCTCATGAGATTCGAGCCATCAGCCTGGTGGAAGATGGTGTCAAGATCATGTCAACATGTCAGTGGGTTCCACCTTTTGCCTGAGAGATGGGACCTAGGACTTGCAAGGACTGCACGAGTTGTTTCCCAATCTATCCTTACCGTTTAGCCTTCCTCTAGGGAGGAGAAAATGGAGAACATGCTTATGCCTGGACCCACAGGCCTGTTTGTCTTTTGAGAAGAGATACCAGGAACCAACAGATAACAGTCCGAGGATGATTCCACATTACGTTTGTACCAAAGGTTGATTATTGTGATCCTGATCATTGCTGCTCATAGTCGAATCTAACACCGGAAATGGTAGACTGCCACTAAAATTGGAAACACGTTATATTCAATCAGGGATAGCACGTGTTCATGGTGTGGACAATAAAAGTACTGGGAGTGACATCATTGTAAGGTCACCATGACGTCATTTGAGGTACCATTAACCGGTGACGTTATCAAATACATTGTTAGCTGAAGTGACGTCATAAAGAGTATCCACTATGACGTCATCAGCTCGTCATCAAAGATACGGTTAATTCAAAGTGTAGTTACTGTGTCGTCATGTGAGGTATCATTCCACACTCCGGCGCAGTGATGACTCAGCACAACATCACTGCAGACTAATTTGCATATCACGTAACCGGACTTTTTGTCTCTTTTGTAAACACACGTTCATATTCATAAATAAAAAGAGACTGGCATAACGCAAGCTTTTCGGTGCGCTCTTCGTGATATTTTACATTGTTACATAAATATTCTTCCACAACTGCGACAGTACGGTTTATGACGTTAGATACCAAACCATTCACTCGTTTCATAAATATGGTACTACACGGTACATCGTTTAGTATTTTCTATGTATCAAACTGGCTGCATCGTTTGCCCTCCGTCGGCTTCGATCACAACACGTGGAGGCGTACAACCTATGGAAACAAAGGATCGCTACGCAAATCGAAATAGTGTTACATGTTTTAGGATATTTTCTCAATGAAACTATACCATTCTATCAAAGATGTTTAATAAGATGTGTAGACTCGTCAAAAATAAAGAGTTGAGAAATATGTACATTATATTGAATGGACGGTGCAAGATGTGACAGAGGTACAGTACAACCAGAAATTATTGAGAATTTAAAGATTGTATTATTTTTTTTTCACTCATTCCTCACGTATTAAATGTGAATATTAGCAGAACATAACTCCAGATTCAAAGACAGGTGAACAGTTAGTATTTTGTCAAGTCACCATGGGCAACAATGCAGGCTTCAATGCGGCGGGGCATACTACTGATCAAAGAAGTTAGAAAGTCGTGGTCCATGCTGTCCAATATCGGACCACCTCTTCTTTCATTTCAGCAATATTTGTCAGATGTTTCTTATTGACACTTTCCTTCATAAGTCCCCAAACATTTTCTATTGGATTTAGGTCAGGGCTATAGCTTGGCCAATCTAATAATGTCATATTTTGGGTCCGAAACCAGGCCTGTGAATGCTTTGAACGATGTTTTGGGTCGTTGTCCTGCTTGAAAATCCAAACATTTCCATAAAAGACATGAGCAGATGGAAATAAATGTCCCTCGAGAATATCTGTGTACCGCTCACTGTTCATATTCCCTTAAAATACACAGAGGGGCGTTGACCCTAACAAAGATATGCCACCACACACGTTAAATTTCGGACTGTACTTTGGGCGTTAATACAAGGTTTTTCAGTTTGTTTGGTCCAGAATTTCAGTGTATTAGGAAACAGACACACAGAACTTTCATCTGAGAAAATCACTAATGAAAAAGGATTAACGGAGTTGTCTCTCTTGAATGAAACCAAACACTTGATAGCTGGTCAAGGTTGTTTATACTAGAAATCCAATTAAACATATTCCTAAAATTCTCAATAATTTATGGTCATACTATACTATGCTGATCGCATGGAACTCTGGGTAGGAGAGTGGTATCATTCACCAGGAATTACGTCATAGTCCACCAAATCATTAAGTACAGCCGCAGAGACGTTCTTAAGTGTTGTCATATCAACCAGACGCAGGTCTATATGTCGTCTTATCAGTAAACATCTAGATTTGTGCGTAGTGTGGTTGCCTTCCAAGCCTAGTCCGGGGTACTCTGGGCGCATCAAGCCTATGTGGGATTCGACAATCAAACGTTAGAAGGACGTATTTGTAAGAAGTTTGATGTATTATCAACAATGGTAATACTAGTACTTCTTAGAATACTACCTCTAACACTCAAGGTAAAGGACCGCCAATCCTTCCCCCGGAATCCCGGAATACTTTTCACTAAAGGTACCTTAGGAAAAGTTGTGAAGTTTCCCGCGCTTGTCATGGGTGACAACTCCTGGCGCTTTGAAAAACCGCTAGGAAGAAGGACATCACAAGTCAATGAATGTTGTCAGTTCTTGTATGAGGCAATCAAGTGTTAGAGTATTCTCAGTATCATTATACTTAAAAATGTCCTCCATAAACCCTTTTTCACAACTTTACTGAGGCCTTGAATGCTGTAGTCTGCAAGAGGCTTATGACGCTCTTTGAAATCTTGACAATGTTCGCTTCTACCTCAGTTATTCTGAAAGATTTCCAAATACGTCATTCAATGTCCTGGTAAGAACTTCCAGGTGTATGAATTAACCGTGCAGAAGATCTTGCGCATTTTGTTGCTAATTTGAGAAGAAATAACTGCTTTCATTCTGATTTAAAATACACCATGTAATCATACAGGTTGTCATAATGTTAGGGCAATACGTGAAGACTTAGAAAAGACCCCACCAGGTCGTGCAGACACAATAGTTGTATATGGATTAGTTAACCAGGGGCGCGCCATGACCTTGGTATTTCATATATAGATAACAGACATGGTCATCCCCGTACAGTGAGCTGTTGTGTTCGCAAGATAAAATACGCAGGACAAGAACAGCCTGCTACATCTCCACCTCCCACAACTCCATCTTATGGTGAGTAGGAAGCTGAGGCTGATGCTTTGATTCGATGCTTTGAGTGGTTTCCATTTTAGGGTTTTGTCCATTTTAGAGTGGTGTCCATCTTAGGATGGTGTCTATTTTACATTTCTGTCCAATTTACAGTGTGAGGCTCCGATCACCTTTGTTGGAAGCTGAGGCTGATGCTTTGATTCGATGGTTGAGTGGTTTCCATTTTAGGGTTTTGTCCATTTTACTTGTGTCCCTTAGGATGGTGTTTTTACATTTCTGTCCAATTCTACAGGTGGTTCACCTAGGTTGGGTTCAGGTTGGTCAGCACCATACTTGTGCCCTGGGTTTCATCAAGGTTTCATCAAGGTCTACAGGCCGCATACCTGTGCCCATGGGTTTCATCAAGGTCTAGAGGCCGCATACTTGTGCCCCTGGGTTTCACCAAGGTCTAGAGGCCGCATACTTGTGCCCCTGGATTTCACCAAGGTCTAGAGGCCGCATACTTGTGCCCCTGGGTTTCATAAAGGTCTAGAGGCCGCATACTTCTGCCCCTGGGTTTCATCAAGGTCTAGAGGCCGCATACTTCTGCCCCTGGGTTTCACCAAGGTCTAGAGGCCGCATACTTGTGCCCCTGGGTTTCACCAAGGTCTAGAGGCCTGCATACTTCTGCCTCTGGGTTTCACCAAGGTCTAGAGGCTGCATACCTGTGCCCATGGGTTTCATCAAGGTCTAGAGCCTGCATACCTGTGCCCCTGGGTTTCATCAAGGTCTAGAGGCCGCATACCTGTGCCCCTGGGTTTCATCAATGTCTAGAGCCTGCATACTTGTGCTCCTGGGTTCCACAAAGGTGTAGAGACCGCATACTTGTGCCCCTGGGTTTCATCAAGGTCTAGAGACTGCATACTTGTGCCCCTGGGTTTCATCAAGGTCTAGAGGCCGCATACTTGTGCCCCTGGGTTTCATCAAGGTCTAGAGGCCGCATAGCTGTGCCCCTGGGTTTCATCAAGGTCTAGAGCCTGCATACTTGTGCTCCTGGGTTTCACCAAGGTCTAGAGGCCGCATACTTGTGCCCCTGGGTTTCATCAAGGTCTAGAGCCTGCATACCTGTGCCCCTGGGTTTCATCAAGGTCTAGAGCCTGCATACCTGTGCCCCTGGGTTTCATCAAGGTCTAGAGGCCGCATACCTGTGCTCCTGGGTTTCATCAAGGTCTAGAGGCCGCATACTTGTGCCCCTGGGTTTCATCAAGGTCTAGAGACCGCATACTTGTGCCCCTGGGTTTCATCAAGGTCTAGAGCCTGCATACTTGTGCCCCTGGGTTTCATCAAGGTCTAGAGCCTGCATACTTGTGCTCCTGGGTTTCATCAAGGTCTAGAGCCTGCATACTTGTGCTCCTGGGTTTCATCAAGGTCTAGAGCCTGCATACTTGTGCTCCTGGGTTTCATCAAGATCTAGAGACCGCATACTTGTGCCCCTGGGTTTCATCAAGGTCTAGAGACCGCATACTTGTGCCCCTGGGTTTCATCAAGGTCTAGAGGCCTGCATACTTGTGCTCCTGGGTTTCATCAAGGTCTAGAGCCTGCATACTTGTGCCCCTGGGTTTCACCAAGGTCTAGAGGTTTCCAAGGCATACTTGTGCCCCTGGGTTTCATCAAGGTCTAGAGCCTGCATACTTGTGCTCCTGGGTTTCATCAAGGTCTAGAGCCTGCATACTTGTGCCCCTGGGTTTCATCAAGGTCTAGAGGCCTGCATACTTGTGCTCCTGGGTTTCATCAAGGTCTAGAGCCTGCATACTTGTGCCCCTGGGTTTCATCAAGGTCTAGAGGCCGCATACTTGTGCCCCTGGGTTTCATCAAGGTCTAGAGCCTGCATACTTGTGCCCATGGGTTTCATCAAGGTCTAGAGCCTGCATACTTGTGCCCCTGAGTTTCACCAAGGTCTAGAGCCGCATACTTGTGCCCTGGGTTTCATCAAGGTCTAGAGCCTGCATACTTGTGGGTTTCATCCTGGGTTTCATCAAGGTCTAGAGCCCGCATACTTGTGCTCCTGGGTTTCATCAAGGTCTAGAGACCGCATACTTGTCATCAAGGTCCCTGGGTTTCATCAAGGTCTAGAGACCGCATAGCCTTGTGCCCCTGGGTTTCATCAAGGTCTAGAGACCATGCATACTTGTACTTGTGCTCCTGGGTTTCATCCTGGGTTTTATCAAGGTCTAGAGACCGCATACTTGTGCCCCTGGGTTTCATCAAGGTCTAGAGCCTGCATACTTGTGCCCCTGGGTTTCATCAAGGTCTAGAGCCTGCATACTTGTGCCCCTGGGTTTCATCAAGGTCTAGAGCCTGCATACTTGTGCTCCTGGGTTTTACCGAGGTCTAGAGCCTGCATCACCATGGGCTCTCGTCCCATACCAAGACGCCATATGAAACAGCTGCTGCCCAACGTGATGATGAACCCTACTCAGCCTGGGCTGTCATAAATCTGAAAAAGCCTATAAATGTTTTTTACCATTAGATTAGATATGCTTTGAGATCAAATCATTTGACTACCAATATGATACAACTCACGGATTGACACGGATTGACACCATTACCATTGACACGTTTACCACTCTATATAGTACCATTGACATGTTTACCACTCTATATTTTACCATGGACACGTTTACCACTCTATATATTACCATTGACACGTTTACCACTCTATATATTACCATTGACACGTTTACCGCTCTATATATTACCATTGACATGTTAACCACTCTATATATTACCATGGACACCTTTACCATTCTATATATTACCATTGACACGTTAACCACTGTATATTTTACCATGGACATCGTTTACCACTCTATATATTACCATTGACACGTTTACCACTCTATATTTTACCATTGACACGTTTACCGCTCTATATATTACCATGGACACCTTTACCATTCTATATTTTACCATTGACACGTTAACCACTGTATATTTTACCATGGACATCGTTTACCACTCTATATATTACCATTAAAACGTTTACCACTCTATATATTACCATGGACACCTTAAGCATTCTATATATTACCATTGACACGTTTACCACTCTATATTTCACCATGGACACCTTTACCATTCTATATATTACCATTGACACGTTTACCACTGTATATTTTACCATGGACATCGTTTACCACTCTATATTTTACCATTGACACGTTTACCACTCTATACTTTACCATTGACACGTTTACCACTCTATACTTTACCATGGACATGTTTACCATTGTTATAGCAGGAGCACCTTCAGCCCATGATATGTATTTTCTCATTATAGGCTGCAAACACAACTTCTTCCGCTGTGACTCGGGGTACTGTATTCGAGCAGACTGGCGCTGCGACCTGGATGTGGACTGTAGTGATGGGTCGGACGAGCAGGGCTGCACTCAGTGTACTTACACTATTGTTGTACCAGTTGATGATGTTATGCTGTTTAACTTTGAATAGGAATACGTAGTTCAAGAAATGGTTTTCAACAAGAATATTAAAGCTGTGGCCCCAAGAAGCACAGGCTACAAATGTGTCCCATGTTGTTAAAGCGATATCTAACCAACTTCGGTTGCTTCACAGAGTATGTACATCCTAAGAAAACTCCCTGCATTGAAACCGTATCGTGATTCTCTTTCCGCTCCTGCTGTAAGGCTGTGTATATGTCCATATCTGGAAGAAGGTGCCCTAACGCGGAGAACGCGCATCCAGTACCGTTCACCTCTTATGGGGTAAAACATATTTAAAACTAGTAATATGTTATCATATACCATCGTAAATATATACATGTACACAAATGTTCTTGTTAAAATCACACATCGACACGGTTTATATTTTTTACCTGCCCCTCAGACCCGCGATGTAAAAAGACAGACTTCCAGTGTGCAGACTCCCAGTGTATTCCCGACAGGTGGCGCTGTGACGGGGAGTCTGACTGTGGCGATCACTCCGACGAATCAGACTGTGGTGAGGAAATCGCGCGTGAAATAGGTCCTGCGTTGAGTGCAGCAATAGTGGATGAGTTGAGTGTACCAGGGATTGGTGATGTGCTACGGGGCACAATGTACCGGGGAGCGACGATATGTTGGGGCACAATGTACCGGGGAGTGACGATATGTTGGGGCACAATGTACCGGTCAGTGACGATTTGATAGGGGTACAATGTACCTGGGGGTGACGATTTGATAGGGGCACAATGTACCAGAAGGTGACGATATGTTGGGGAACAATGTACCAGGGATTGGTGATGTGCTACGGGGCACAATGTACCAAGGAGTGACGATATGATGGGGGGCACAATGTACCAGGGACTGACGATATGATATGGAGCACAATGTACCAGGGAGTGACGATATGATAGGGGGCACAACGTACCGGGGAGTGACGATATGATGGGTTGCACAATGTACCAAGGAGTGACGATATGTTGGGGCACAATGTACCAGAAGTTGACGATATGATGGGGGGCACAATGTACGTGGCAGTGACGATATGTTGGGGGTCACAATGTACCGGGGAGTGACGATGTGTTGGGGAGCACAATGTACCGGGGAGTGACGATATGTTGGGGGCACAATGTACCAAGGAGCGGCGAAATGTTGGGGGCACAATGTACCAGGGAGTGGCGATATGATAGGGGCACAATGTACCAGGGAGCGGCGATATGATGGGGGCACGATGTACCAGGGAGTGGCGATATGTTGGGGGCACAATGTACCAGGGAGCGGCGATATGATGGGGGCACAATGTACCAAGGAGTGGCGATATGTTGGGGGGCACAATGTACCAGGGAGTGGCGATATGATGGGGGCACACTGTACCGGGGAGTGACGATATGTTGGGGCACAATGTACCAGGGAGTGACGATATGTTGGGGTGGGGGTGGGGGGGTGGTTCAGTGAGTGACGATGTGTGATGGGGCCACAATGTACCAGGCGGGGTGACGATGTGTTAGTTAGGCACATTGTTATTCTGGGTTGGCTGGCTGGTTGGTTTGTTCTTTAAAACTCAGCAACAGTCCAGCTATATGGCGGCCTTCTGTAAATAATATTGAGTTTGGAATATGAATATCAGTGAATAGCATCATGAACATCGATCTACGCAATTAGGATACCATGACATGTGTCAAGAAGTCAGCGAGCCTGACCACCCGATCCTGTCAGTCGCACGGGTCACTGAAGACCAAGTCTAACCCGGATCTTCACGTACTGTGTGTGTGTGTGTGTGTGTGTGTGTGTGTGTGTGTGTGTGTGTGTGTGTGTGTGTGAGAGAGAGACAGACAAAGAACATTGTTTAGTCACTGTTTTAAGTCATGATGCATGGCGTATATGTCACAATACATGTTGAGGACATCTTTACAATTGTGTCTTATGTAATTATCTGTCACGTGCTAAACAGATATAGAGGCTGTAATGTTTTCTCGTATTCCTTTCGTAGCTTGTCATTCTATCCTGTGGTCAGCGTAACGGCCGAGCTACTGAAGTGTTCTTTGAAAAACAACTGTCATTTTATTCTCTATAATATATGAAATCATTGCGAGAAGACATACCCACTCACTGACTTACTGTAATATAATTTCACATGGTTTGGTCATCCTATCCTGTAGATATCAGCGTGTCAGCACATGCCTGCTGTATTGTAAGGCTGAGGAGATAACGCCCAGTTCTGTTATATCCCATCAATATCGGGGGCTGTACTTTATCGAGTTTACCAGACAAACCAGTCGTTAGTCTTCGGGTGTTGTGACATTCAGTCAACCAGGTCCCCCAGCTGGTCATACAGCCTCCTCCCACTGCGCTTGTACATCTGTCAAAAACCCATCATGTATGTCCTCAGGGCAAGTGCATCAGTCTGACGTGGCAGCCTTAAACAGTTCCGGCAACTTCTCAGACTTTAGCAGAGACAACTCGTCTTTCATTGTCGACAACTCAAGCATTCACGATCTACCCACGAACATCACCAGAGACAACTCGTCTTTCATTGTCGACAACTCAAGCATTCACGATCTACCCACGAACATCACCAGAGACAACTCGTCTTTCATCGTCAACAACTCCAGCATTCACGATCTACCCACGAACATCACCAGAGACAACTCGTCTTTCATCGTCAACAACTCCAGCATTCACGATCTACCCACGAACATCACCAGACACAACTCGTCTTCACCCATAAACAGCCCAAATATTGACAGTGAAAACATAAATGTCTCTACACTTGTTTCTGAAGCTAATCAAACAGAAACAAACCGAACCAACGTGACTGGTAGGTGTACGAAACCACGTGAGATCCCGGGACTGGTAGGTGTACGAGAACCACGTGAGATCCCGTGACTGGTAGGTGTACGAGAACCACGTGAGATCCCGTGACTAGTAGGTGTACTAGAACCACATGAGATCCCGTGACTGGTAGGTGTACGAGAACTACGTGAGATCCCGTGACTGGTAGGTGTACGAGAACCACGTGAGATCCCGTGACTGGTAGGTGTACGAGAACCACGTGAGATCCCGGGACTGGTAGGTGTACGAGAACTACGTGAGATCCCGTGACTGGTAGGTGTACGAGAACCACGTGAGATCCCGTGACTGGTAGGTGTACGAGAACCACGTGAGATCCCGTGACTGGTAGGTGTACGAGAACCACGTGAGATCCCGTGACTGGTAGGTGTACGAGAACCACGTGAGATCCCGTGACTGGTAGGTGTACGAGAACCCCGTGTTGTCCCTTCACTAGTAGGGGACCGTTCATAATTTATGGCTAGAGGGGGTGATGATGATTTTTATGGAGCAGCATATACAATGTGATGACTCCCCCTCCTAAAATGTATGTAGAAAGTAACTGACCCCCCCTGCATGTCATGTACAAAATCAATGACCCCCCTTCCCTTCCTATCAGTTTTAAGCATAATTTTTCATATTTTTATGTACAAAATGGGTGACACCCCCAACCCCTTAAAAGCATCATCATCCCCCTAGCCATAATTTATTAACGGTCCCTAGGTGTATGAGAGCCACGCATGGTCCCTTAGGTTGTACATACATTGAAGCCAGGTGTTGAATTATATCTTTGGATGAATATAAAGCTATGTTAGGACAAGTTTATCTTCTGCAGCAGTGACGGCGGCCTCGCCCACCGTGACAACTCAGCTAACTTCCCCAGCATCATCTTTTCACGATGCTTGTCTTCACGGTCAGTTTGCCTGCTCGAGCAGAATCTGCATCTCGACGTCATGGGTGTGTGATGGCGAGAGGGACTGCCCAGATGGAAGTGATGAGTCACGTGCCACGTGTCCCTCTGGTGCTTCCCCGTGCGGCATTGGTGAACTGGCCTGCACGGATGGCACGTGCTACAACAAGGAGTGGCACTGTGATGGTGAATTTGACTGCGTGGACAGGAGTGATGAACAGCCCGCATTGTGTCGTGAGTACTGCTGAGATATTGGTAATCTGTGAGTTCTGAGACTGTGCGTGATGGCCAGTTGGTATGGAGAAATATGTAAGAGATGTCCACAAGTATGAAGTAAGTTGTATATCATATCCACTTAGCATGATGTAATATGTAAATATACAGTTAGTAAGATATAACATGCGATATCCTCTTCGTATTAGGTATAAGTTGTAGGTGACATCCATCCAGTATGAAATAATATGTAGTTGATATCCTCTCGGTATTAAATATGATGTATGTGATATTCACTCAGTATGAAGCAATATGCAGGTGATATCCTCTTAGTATGAAGTAATATGTAAGTGATATCTACCTAATTATAATATGATGTAAGTTGTAAGTGATATCCACTTAGTATGAAATAATATGTATACTGGGCACAGAAAGAAACTGTGCATACAAAAATATAAAAATATAAATTTATCAAACCTGTGTAGACACATAAGGATTTAAACTCAGAGATTAGTGACATGTATCCAACATGCATTCACGTGCCACGTTCCGTGACGTCAGTGGGTTCGTCCTTGAGACGTGCAATACGTTGTTGCACGTGCATTCCGGGAAAGAGAAACACAGCAAATGAATGCCACGCAATACTGTCACTTTGGATAGCTCAACCCCTGCCCTTGCGTTCGTTCAAAAAATTAAACGGCTATTGAAACGCAGAGCATGCCAAGGCTCACGTCTGCACAACGTCATGAGGCCATTGGGATGGTCCGTGGGGGAATATCTCAACGACAAGTGGCTGCACATTTCCACTGGCACCGGAACACCATTTCTGCACTGGTGAGACGCTACCAGAACACAAATGAGGTCATTGATCGGCCACGTTCTGGACGTCCACGTGTAACAATGCCAAGACAGGACAGATGGATAAGGGTGACCCATCTTCGCCACAGGTTTCAGACTGCAGTGATGACTGCCCGAACCATCCCAGGACTTCGCCATATCCACCCCAACACAGTTCGACAACGTTTACGTCATCACGGACGTATTAATTCATAGATATTATTTGGGATGGGGGAAAGGGGAGGAACAATATCCAATTTAAGATAATATATACAGAAGTCAGTTTCTAAAACATTAACTACATTGTATACGAAGTGGTACCGTCAAATGAATTCGTTAAACATATGAATTTTAGATCCAACGCCTGCGTCGGGGCACCGCAAAATCTGCACCGGTGGCGACTTTCAGTGCGATGAAGACAAATGTATTGAACGTGAGAGAATCTGCGACAGACAGAAGAACTGTGTAGACGGGAGCGACGAGGATCCGTCTCTGTGTTCTCCCTGCCAGGCAGGGGACGTAGCGTGCAGGAATGGGTCATGTTACTCCGTCTTACTGAGGTGTGACGGTGACAATGACTGTGTAGACGGGAGCGACGAGGATCCGTCTCTGTGTTCTCCATGCCAGGCAGGGGACGTAGCGTGCAGGAATGGGTCATGTTACTCCGCCTTACTGAGGTGTGACGGTCACCATGACTGTGTAGACGGGAGCGACGAGGATCCTGACGTCTGCCCTGAGTCAGTTCAATCACCGCACCGTGAGCCTGAAGGTGAGTAAAAGTCATGTAACCTCCTCTACACTCTACATAGATCAAGGACTGTGCCCATGTGCCCCTCCCCATGTGCCCCTCCCCATGTGCAGTGCTTTCTATTTGAGACATTTTCTTGAAGGGGGTGGGGAGTGAAAGGGGGGTATTCTGGTAAATTTACCACCCGTTTTTTATTAGGAATGATGACAGTTTTTATGGATATACAACATCTTTTATTCTGTGAAAGGCGACGTTTCGACATTCATTCTATTGTCGTTGTCTAGCAAGTGGTGACAACGACATCAGAATCTATGTCGAGACGTCGCCTTTCACAGAATAAAAGATGTTGTATATCCATAAAAATTCACCACCTCAACGTCTAAAATGCTCATCAAAGTAGCCGTTTTTGATTATGAAATATGTGCAGTATCTTGCCGTCATTAATAGTGGAAACACGCCGTGTTGTGCAGTATCTTGCCGTCATTAATAGTGGAAACACGGCGTGTTGTGCAGTTTCACCACCGACGTTAATAGCCGGAGTCTTCGGGAAGCAAACGCTGTACATGGTTGACCTGTCGAACCACACCGTGAAAACAGTCGTGGCGACTTTCCAAACTGGACACGTTGGATACGGTGTCCTGGACGTGGATGTCGCCAACAGACACCTGTACTGGTCTGATGAGCAGGGGAGGAACATTTACACGTGAGTTACCTGTACTGGTCTGATGAGCAGGGGAGGAACATTTACACGTGAGTTACCTGTACTGGTCTGATGAGCAAGGAAGGAACATTTACACGTGAGTTACCTGTACTGGTCTGATGAGCGAGGGAGGAACATTTACACGTGAGTTACCTGTACTGGTCTGATGAGCAGGAAGGAACATTTACACGTGAGTTACCTGTACTGGTCTGATGAGCAAGGGAGGAACATTTACACGTGAGTTACCTGTACTGGTCTGACGTGAGTTACCTGTACTGGTACCTGATGAGCAGGGAGGAACATTTACACGTGAGTTACCTGTACTGGTCTGATGAGCAGGGGAGGAACATTTACACGTGAGTTACCTGTACTGGTCTGATGAGCAGGGGAGGAACATTTACACGTGAGTTACCTGTACTGGTCTGATGAGCAGGGGGAGGAACATTTACACGTGAGTTACCTGTACTGGTCTGATGAGCAGGGGAGGAACATTTACACGTGAGTTACCTGTACTGGTCTGATGAGCAGGGGAGGAACATTTACACGTGAGTTACCTGTACTGGTCTGATGAGCAAGGGAGGAACATTTACACGTGAGTTACCTGTACTGGTCTGATGAGCAAGGAAGGAACATTTACACGTGAACATTACTGGTCTGAGTTACCTGTACTGGTCTGATGAGCAGGGGGAGGAACATTTACACGTGAGTTACCTGTACTGGTCTGATGAGCAGGGGAGGAACATTTACACGTGAGTTACCTGTACTGGTCTGATGAGCAGGGGAGGAACATTTACACGTGAGTTACCTGTACTGGTCTGATGAGCAGGGGAGGAACATTTACACGTGAGTTACCTGTACTGGTCTGATGAGCAGGGGAGGAACATTTACACGTGAGTTACCTGTACTGGTCTGATGAGCAGGGAGGAACATTTACACGTGAGTTACCTGTACTGGTCTGATGAGCAGGGGGAGGAACATTTACTGTACTGGTCTGATGAGCGGGGAGTTACCTGTACTGGTCTGATGAGCAGGGGAGGAACATTTACACGTGAGTTACCTGTACTGGTCTGATGAGCAAGGAAGGAACATTTACAGGTGAGTTACCTGTACTGGTCTGATGAGCAAGGAAGGAACATTTACACGTGAGTTACCTGTACTGGTCTGATGAGCAAGGAAGGAACATTTACACGTGAGTTACCTGTACTGGTCTGATGAGCAAGGGAGGAACATTTACACGTGAGTTACCTGTACTGGTCTGATGAGCAAGGAAGGAACATTTACACGTGAGTTACCTGTACTGGTCTGATGAGCAAGGAAGGAACATTTACACGTGAGTTACCTGTACTGGTCTGATGAGCAGGGGAGGAACATTTACACGTGAGTTACCTGTACTGGTCTGATGAGCAAGGAAGGAACATTTACACGTGAGTTACCTGTACTGGTCTGATGAGCAAGGAAGGAACATTTACACGTGAGTTACCTGTACTGGTCTGATGATCAGGGGAGGAACATTTACACGTGAGTTACCTGTACTGGTCTGATGAGCAGGGGAGGAATATTTACACGTGAGTTACCTGTACTGGTCTGATGAGCAGGGGAGGAACATTTACACGTGAGTTACCTGTACTGGTCTGATGAGCAAGGAAGGAACATTTACACGTGAGTTACCTGTACTGGTCTGATGAGCAGGGGAGGAACATTTACACGTGAGTTACCTGTACTGGTCTGATGAGCGGGGGGAGGAACATTTACACGTGAGTTACCTGTACTGGTCTGATGAGCGGGGGGGGAGGAACATTTACACGCTAGTTACCTGTACTGGTCTGGTGAGCAGGGGAGGAACATTTACACGTGAGTTACCTGTACTGGTCTGATGAGCAGGGGAGGAACATTTACACGTGAGTTACCTGTACTGGTCTGATGAGCAAGGAAGGAACATTTACACGTGAGTTACCTGTACTGGTCTGATGAGCAGGGGAGGAACATTACACGTGAGTTACCTGTACTGGTCTGATGAGCAAGGAAGGAACATTTACACGTGAGTTTCCTGTACTGGTCTGATGAGCAAGGAAGGAACATTTACACGTGAGTTACCTGTACTGGTCTGATGATCAGGGGAGGAACATTTACACGTGAGTTACCTGTACTGGTCTGATGAGCGGGGGAGGAATATTTACACGCTAGTTACCTGTACTGGTCTGATGAGCAGGGGAGGAACATTTACACGTGAGTTACCTGTACTGGTCTGATGAGCAAGGAAGGAACATTTACACGTGAGTTACCTGTACTGGTCTGATGAGCAGGGGAGGAACATTTACATGTGAGTTACCTGTACTGGTCTGATGAGCGGGGGGAGGAACATTTACACGCTAGTTACCTGTACTGGTCTGATGAGCGGGGGGGAGGAACATTTACACGCTAGTTACCTGTACTGGTCTGGTGAGCAGGGGAGGAACATTTACACGTGAGTTACCTGTACTGGTCTGATGAGCAGGGAGGAACATTTACGTGGGTTACCTGTACTGGTCTGATGAGCAAGGAAGGAACATTTACACGTGAGTTTCCTGTACTGGTCTGATGAGCAAGGAAGGAACATTTACGTGAGTTACCTGTACTGGTCTGATGAGCAGGGAGGAACATTACGTGAGTTACCTGTACTGGTCTGATGAGCAAGGAAGGAACATTTACACGTGAGTTTCCTGTACTGGTCTGATGATCAGGGGAGGAACATTTACACGTGAGTTACCTGTACTGGTCTGATGAGCGGGGGAGGAACATTTACACGCTAGTTACCTGTACTGGTCTGATGAGCAGGGGAGGAACATTTACACGTGAGTTACCTGTACTGGTCTGATGAGCAAGGAAGGAACATTTACACGTGAGTTACCTGTACTGGTCTGATGAGCAGGGGAGGAACATTTACACGTGAGTTACCTGTACTGGTCTGATGGGCGGGGGAGGAACATTTACACGCTAGTTACCTGTACTGGTCTGATGAGCAGGGGAGGAACATTTACACGTGAGTTACCTGTACTGGTCTGATGAGCAGGGGAGGAACATTTACACGTGAGTTACCTGTACTGGTCTGATAAGCAAAGGAGGAACATTTACACGTGAGTTACCTGTGCTGGTCTGATGAGCAGGGGAGGAACATTTACACGCTAGTTACCTGTACTGGTCTGATAAGCAAAGGAGGAACATTTACACGTGAGTTACCTGTACTGGTCTGATGAGCAAGGGAGGAACATTTACACGTGAGAGAACCCCGAAGGGTCGGGAGACATTTTGTTTTGGGTTGCCTTTTGGGGGTTTGAGGATGTGCCTTTTTTTCAAGTTGTTGTTTTTTTTTCAATTTCTTTCTGTTTCCAACGATTTGGACTTTGTCTTTTTGAAGGGTAAGGTTCGTTTCCGGATCAAAATTCTGAGACTATTTGACGCATCTTCACCTAATTTGGTATACTGCCTCTCCATATCATGTAGATGTGCCTTTTGGGGGTTTGATCTTTTCTTTCAATTTTATTTTTTTCTGTTTCAATGGCAACAATTTTGGACTTGGTCTTTTTGAAGGGTAGGGTTTGTGTTCGGAGCTTAACTCTAAAACCATTTCACCCAGCTTCACCGAATTTTGTACACTTATTACCAATAGCAACTATTAGTAAGCTTAGAAGCATCAACCATATACATGTACTACTGTAATGAATCTAATGAATTGTTTGAGGTCTCAACGTTGAACTGGGGGAAGGGGGAGACATCTGTTTTTACGAGTGAAAACACTATCTAGTGTTTCCCAGTATCAGTAGGTGCCTGCACACGGACTGAATGATTCCCAATGTAAGAAAGGTGCCTACAAATAGAAAAGATGCCTACATATGAGTTGAATGTCTCCCAGTATCAGTAGGCACCTGCAGACGGAATGTTTCCCAGTGTAAGAAAGGCGCCTGGAGACGGGTTGAATGATTTCCCAGTGTGAGAAAGGTGCAGCAAAAGGGTTGATGTTTCCCAATATAAGAACAGTGCCCACACACGCGTTGAATGTTTTCCAGTATACAAGCGGTGCCTACAGATAGGTTACATTTTTCTTAGTATAGAAAAGGTGCCTACAGAAGGGTTTAATGATTCCCATTATCAGTATGTAGGCTTGAATGATTTCCCAGTCTGATCTTTACCTCTTATCCCCAAATCCATAGGTTCACAGTGAATGATTGCTGGTGGGTATGTATTGTTGGTTTCTTACCTTTAATTTATTGTTTAGTAGGAAAATATCTCTCTATATTGTCCCCTCATTTATCACCATGCCCTCGTAAAGGTCGTAAGAGCAGCATGTTCTTTGCTAAGTGTTCATATTTGTTGAATGTGGAGAGAATGTGGAATAACTAATTGGAAACGAGATCTGACTTGCAGAGGATACATCAGTGAAGAATATGATGTTGAGAACCCACGGCTAATCCTATCTCAACTGCACATTACCCACCTGAAACTCGACTGGATACACCAGAATCTATTCTGGGTACACGGCAAGGATGCTACGATCAGAGTTTTGTCCTTAGACACTATGTCACAAAGAACATTCAACATGAGCTACGAACAGATCGGTGGCATAGCTGTGGACCCAAGACAAGGGTAGGTATAGTTGTACTGTTGGTGGGTGTATGGACGTAAATGCTGGTTGTTGTGAGTGTTTGGATCAGGGTTAGATACAGGGTCTGATTTACTAGTCACAGATGTGAAATCTTGTGATTTTCAGCATGATCTGGTATGTGTCATCTTTGACTATGCCATTATCAATACTGGTCATAGGTCGTGGTACTTGGTATGTTACATGGGGTATGATCTAGCACCCATTCAGGTGCAGGCACCAAGCCAAAGGTCTACCCACATGGTCAGGGCAGCTGCTTCTGCAGGTCCATACCGTATATTTCCATTGAAAGCATACGACAAAAGCACCAAATCCGGATTCAACTCTGTCGCGATGGGGAATGGAACTTCCAAAGGTTAATGCACCCCTAAAGAAATTATCGAAATGCTTAGATATTGTCTGGTGTGCAAGTTTCTCATTTAATATAATCGTGTCACATCATCGATCTTGGAGTGGTTTTATTGGTGTGTTGTCAAGGGAGACAAGCCTGATGAAAGTAAAAGTCAGTCAGATTCCACTATTTGTAAACAACGACCAAACCCAGCGCGACACAATCTATTGTGGTCAATCTGATCTGACTAGATTCTCTAAAACTGAGCAAGTAAACTACCGGGCAAAAGAAACTTATCACCGACGGCCCAAAAATAGAAGCAAAGAGATGTTACATTTATGATGATTATTTTACAAACAGAAATCATTTTTCCAATAATTTGACTGACAATTCATTGTAATGTTGGTCTTGCATGTGTCGTAATTCATGAAGTCAAGGGGTCAAAGTTAAAAACTACACAAATCAAATTTATTCAAAAAGTGAATAAAGAGTCCCATAATGAGAGTGTGACCACCTTGGGCTTCAATAGACGCCAACACAGGTCTCTTCATTGACGTCGTCAGTCGGAGGATGTCAGCAGGAATCCTGTTCCATAGGTCCAAGAGAGTCTGTTCAAGTTCCTGTCATTTAGTGGAGGTGGTACATGCTGTCTTAGATGACGAGCAAGATGATCCCAGAGATGTTCAATTGGGTTCATGACTGGAGAACGCGCTGTCTAAATCTTGGGTTCATTACTGGAGAACGAGCTGTCTAAATCTTGGGTTCATGACTGGAGAACGCGCTGTCTAGATCTTGGGTTCCTGACTGGAGAACGAGCTGTCTAAATCTTGAGATCATGACTGGAGAATGTGCTGTCTAGATCTTGGGATCATGACTGGAGAACGCGCTGTGTAAATCTTGAGATCATGACTGGAGAGCGCGCTGTCTAAATCCTGGGTTCATGACTGGAGAACGAGCTGTCTAGATCTTGGGATCATGACTGGAGAAGCAGCTGTCTAAATCTTGAGATCATGACTGGAGAATCGCTGTCTAGATCTTGGGTCATGACTGGAGAGCAGCTGTCTAAATCTTGAGATCATGACTGGAGAATGTGCTGTCTAGATCTTGGGATCATGATGAGCAGCTGTCTAAATCTTGAGATCATGACTGGAGAAGCGCTGTCTAAATCCTGGGTTTCATGACTGAGCAGCTGTCTAGATCTTGGGATCATGACTGGAGAAGCAGCTGTCTAAATCTTGAGCTGTACTGGAGAGTGCTGCTGTCTAAATCCTGGAGGGTTCATGACTGGAGAAGCAGCTGTCTAGATCTTGGGATCATGACTGGAGACTGGAGAAGCGCTGTCTAGATCTTGGGATCATGACTGGAGAACGCGCTGTCTAAATCTTGAGATCATGACTGGAGAATGCGCTGTCTAGATCTTGGGATCATGACTGGAGAACGCGCTGTCTAAATCTTGAGATCATGACTGGAGAACGCTGTCTAAATCTTGAGATCATGACTGGAGAACGCGCTGTCTAAATCCTGGGTTCATGACTGAGAACGCTGTCTAGATCTTGGGATCATGACTGGAGAACGCCGCTGTCTAAATCTTGAGATCATGACTGGAGAATGCGCTGTCTAGATCTTGGGATCCTGACTGGAGAACGCGCTGTCTAAATCTTGAGATCATGACTGAAGAACGTGCTGTCTAAATCCTGGGTTCATGACTGGAGAACGCGCTGTCTAGATCTTGGGATCATGACTGGAGAACGCGCTGTCTAGATCTTGGGTTCATGACTGGAGAACGCGCTGTCTAGATCTTGGGATCATGACTGGAGAACGCGCTGTCTGAATACGTTGATGATAACGTTGTTAAAGTATTCTCGAACAATTCTGGCGGTGTTTCAGGTGGATGTACACACTTACATTAAGAACTGCTTCAGGTGGATGTACACACTTACATTAAGTATTGTTTCAGGTGGATGTACACACTTTCATTAAGTATTGTTTCAGGTGGATGTACACACTTACATTAAGTACTGCTTCAGGTGGATGTACACACTTACATTAAGTACTGTTTCAGGTGGATGTACACACTTTCATTAAGTATTGTTTCAGGTGGATGTACACACTTACATTAAGTACTGCTTCAGGTGGATGTACACACTTACATTAAGTACTGTTTCAGGTGGATGTACACACTTACATTAAGTACTGTTTGAGGTGGATGTACACACTTTCATTAAGTACTGTTTGAGGTGGATGTACACACTTTCATTAAGTATTGTTTGAGGTGGTTGTACAGACTTACATTAAGAACTGCTTCAGGTTAATGTACAGACTTACATTAAGTACTGTTTCAGGTGGATGTACACACTTTCATTAAGTATTGTTTGAGGTTGATGTACACACTTACATAAAGTACTGTTTCAGGTGGATGTACACACTTACATTAAGTACTGTTTGAGGTGGATGTACACACTTTCATTAAGTACTGTTTCAGGTGGATGTACACACTTTCATTAAGTATTGTTTCAGGTGGATGTACACACTTACATTAAGAACTGCTTCAGGTGGATGTACACACTTACATTAAGTACTGTTTCTGTCGGATGTACACACTTACATTAAGTACTGTTTGAGGTGGATGTACATTTAGAACACAGGTTAATTACATTAAGTACTGTTTCAGGTGGATGTACACATTTACATTACACATTAACTACTGTTTGAGGTGGTTGTACACACTTACATTAAGAACTGCTTCAGGTTAATATACAGACTTACATTAAGTACTGTTTGAGGTGGATGTACACACTTACATTAAGTACTGTTTCAGGTGGAAGTACACACTTACATTAAGTACTGTTTGAGGTGGTTGTACACACTTACATTAAGTACTGCTTCAGGTTGGAATGGATTTACATTAAGTACTGTTTCAGGTGGATGTACACACTTTCATTAAGTATTGTTTGAGGTGGATGTACACACTTACATTAAGTACTGTTTCAGGTGGATGTACACACTTTCATTAAGTATTGTTTCAGGTGGATGTACACACTTACATTTAGAACTGCTTCAGGTGGATGTACACACTTACATTACTGTTTCAGGTGGATGTACACACTTACATTACTGTTTGAGGTGGTTTACATTAAGAACTGCTTCAGGTTAATGTACACACTTACATTAAGTACTGTTTCAGGTGGATGTACACACTTACATTAAGGACTGTTTGAGGTGGATGTACACACTTTACATTAAGATCTGTTTCAGGTGGATGTACACACTTAAGTACATTGAGGTGGATGTACATTTACATTAAGTGCTGTGTCAGGTGGATGCACACACTTTCATTAAGTACTGTTTCAGGTGGTGGTACACACTTACATTATGATCTGTTTCAATTGGATGTACACACTTACATTAAGTACTGCTTCAGGTGGATGTACACACTTACATTAAGGACTGTTTCAGGTGGATGTACACACTAACATTAAGATCTGTTTGAGGTGGATGTACACACTTACATTAAGTACTTTTGCAGGTAGATGTACAGACTTACATTAAGTACTGTTTCAGGTGGATGTACACACTTACATTAAGTACTGCTTCAGGTGGATGTGCACACTTACATTAAGTACTGTTTTAGGTCTATGTACACACTTAAATTAAGAACTGTATCAGGTGGATGTACACACTTACATTAAGAACTGCTTCAGGTTAATGTACTGACTTACATTAAGTACCGTTTCAGGCAGATGTACACACTTTCATTAAGTGCTGTTTCAGGCAGATGTACACACTTACATTAAGTGCTGTTTCAGGTGGTTGTACTGGTCAGGTTGGGATACAGACGGCATCAAGGTTGAGCGCTGTGGCATGGACGGCAGTAACAGACAGATTCTAGCACTCGACAAGATGGTATGGCCACAGGGCATGCTCATTGGTATGTCCTGATTTGTTTGGATCTAACTGATCGTAATGCACCAACTATGTTCATGAATGTATTCAAATGGGAAACATAATCTTGTGAGGATCACTTTCGATATATCATGTTAGTCAAAAGAGTCATGTCAGCATGTGCACAATTCATTCAGCAGTGACTATTAAGATATTAGATTGACAACAATATGCTTAGGTACCAAATGCCCTGCAGTATTGCAGTGTTGCAGTGTTGGGGTAAATGCCAAAAAGTCCACCGTGCTTCGTCAGAACACGCCAAGTGACAAATGAAGATCAACATACGTCCTGGATGAGCAACTGGCGCACAGCATGCCACCTAGGTTGGGAAGTGAAGAATAACATACCACATGGGTGGGGAAGTGAAGAATAACATACCATATGGGTGGGGAAGTGAAGAATAACATACCATATGGGTGGGGAAGTGAAGAATAACATACCATATGGGTGGGGAAGTGAAGAATAACATACCATATGGGTGGGGAAGTGAAGAATAACATACCATATGGGTGGGGAAGTGAAGAATAACATACCATATGGGTGGGGAAGTGAAGAATAACATACCATATGGGTGGGGAAGTGAAGAATAACATACCATATGGGTGGGGAAGTGAAGAATAACATACCACCATGGGTGGGGAAGTGAAGAATAACATACCATATGGGTGGGGAAGTGAAGAATAACATACCACATGGGTGGGGAAGTGAAGAATAACATACCACATGGGTGGGGAAGTGAAGAATAACATACCATATGGGTGAAGGGGAAGTGAAGAATAACATACCATATGGTGGGGAAGTGAAGAATAACATACCATATGGGTGGAGAAGTGAAGAATAACATACTATATGGGTGGGGAAGTGAAGAATAACATACCACATGGGTGGGGAAGTGAAGAATAACATACCACCATATGGGTGGGGAAGTGAAGAATAACATACCATATGGGTGGGGAAGTGAAGAATAACATACCATATGGGTGGGGAAGTGAAGAATAACATACCATATGGGTGGGGAAGTGAAGAATAACATACCATATGGGTGGGGAAGTGAAGAATAACATACCATATGGGTGGGGAAGTGAAGAATAACATACCATATGGGTGGGGAAGTGAAGAATAACATACCTATATGGGTGGGGAAGTGAAGAATAACATACCATATGGGTGGGGAAGTGAAGAATAACATACCACATGGGTGGGGAAGTGAAGAATAACATACCATATGGGTGGGGAAGTGAATAACATACCATATGGGTGGGGAAGTGAAGAATAACATACCATACGGGTTACTGACTGACTGAAGAATAACATACCATATGGGTGGGGAAGTGAAGAATAGCATACCATACATGGGTGGGGAAGTGAAGAATAACATACCATATTGGTGGGGAAGTGAAGAAGTAACCATACATACCATATGGGTGGGAAGTAAAAGAATAACATACCATGTGGGTGGGGAAGTGAAGAATAACATACCACCATATGGGTGGGGAAGTGAAGAATAACATACCACATGGGTGGGAAGTGAAGAATAACATACCACATGGGTGGGGAAGTGAAGAATAACATACCATATGGGTGGGGAAGTGAAGAATAACATACCATAATACCATATGGGTGGGGAAGTGAAGAATAACATACCATATGGGTGGGGAAGTGAAGAATAACATACCACCTGGGTGGGGAAGTGAAGAATAACATACCATACCATATGGGTGGGGGGAGTGAAGAATAACATACCACTTGGGTGGGGAAGTGAAGAATAACATACCATGTGGGTGGGGAAGTGAAGAATAACATACCATGTGGGTGGGGAAGTGAACAATAACATACCATGTGGGTGGGGAAGTGAAGAATAGCATACCACATGGGTGGGGAAGTGAAGAATAACATACCATATGGTCTGGGGAAGTGAATAACATACCATATGGGTGGGGAAGTGAAGAATAACATACCATACGGGTTACTGACTGACTGAAGAATAACATACCATACGGGTGGGGAAGTGGAGAATAGCATACCATACGGGAGGGGAAGTGAAGAATAACATACCATATTGGTGGGGAAGTGAAGAGTAGCATACCATACGGGTGGGGAAGTGAAGAATAACATACCATGTGGGTGGGGAAGTGAAGAATAACATACCACATGGGTGGGGAAGTGAAGAATAATATACCACATGGGTGGGGAAGTGAAGAATAACATACCACATGGGAGGGAAGTGAAGAATAACATACCATATGGGTGGGGAAGTGAAGAATAACATACCATGTGGGTGGGGAAGTGAAGAATAACATACCATATGGGTGGGGAAGTGAAGAATAACATACCATGTGGGTGGGGAAGTGAAGAATAATATACCACCTGGGTGGGGAAGTGAAGAATAACTTACCACGTGGGTGGGGAAGTGAAGAATAACATACCACCTGGGTGGGCTAGTGCTTTACATATCACATGTGGCAAGTCTCAAATTGAGTTTTGCATACGTTCGTTTGTTATGGCTAACGGTAACATATTGATACCGTGATAACTATAGGGTGTTGCGGTAGTTTATGTCCATGTGTATATACATAAAACTCCCGCGCCTCAGTTTCTGAAAGGAACACCCATATCACGCGCAGCGTAGGTTTCGCATAAAACATGCTTGTCACATGCGGACTTGGTTCTCTGAACACATTTGACGCCCGGACCAGGTGCTATGTATAACACCTGCATAACCAGCTTTTTAAAGGAAATGTGTAATATTTAGTCCAGTAAGAGTGTAGAACACTGCGGACCAGGCTCTATATATTACACTAGTATTACACGAGATGATGACGGTCTCCAACAGGCAATAGTCGCCCCGCATGTCATGTCCATCAGCTCTGACTGTGATGCCACTGATGAGACGCTCCCATCCGCACCTGGCTATTCCCGTTGCTGTCGTTCGCCCCTCCGCGCCAACTGTCAGCAATCAGGTTTATAATGATGATAGTTTGTTAAAGGTCACATGCAACCAAAAAATCAAACATAATTAAAACACAATATTGCTGGTTATGAAAAAACATATAAACAAAATTATAAGCGTACAATCGCAAATCAAAAGTGCAATATTTTGTACTTGGGTTTACTTCCCAAGAAACAAAGCAGCCGGGATACCGAACCCAGTCAGTGCGGGTGGGTGTGCACTCGAGTGTAACGGCTGGTTCATTTGCAGATGCCTTCACGGCTCATTGTGTGTGTATATATATAGAGATGTTGGGTTTTGTAAATACATGCTCATTTTTTGTGTATAACATTTTGCAATCAACAGACATCATAACATGTCATGTGTTCAAGTATCACACCTGCCTGTCTGTGTAATTACATAATGTGACAGAGACCGAACTCGGGCCATAAATCAATGCATTTTGTTTATGGTGTATTGCCTGATTGGGTTAAGTTCAAATTGCATGTGGTCAGTGATAACAGCTGTGTATTGAATATTGTCATTAGCAGACAGGCAGGCAGACACACAGGTGTCAATAAAACAAGACATTGAGTTTTGTCTGTGACAACGACATATCTATATCACAGTTAGAAATTCTGTCAATGCTAAATAATGACATTGCTTTTAAGTATCGAACTGAGAAAGTGATTCGGTAAGAAGAACGTGTGATGAAATAGACAAATGAAATTATATAAACAGTTAATTTACTGTCATAACATATAAAAAGCTCGCGCCTGTGAGATATCAACAAAACATTAGAAAAATAGCTCACACCAAAGCCTTCACCGAGTATTCACCGGACAACCCGCTTCCAAGCTCCGCGAACCTACTTCACTGCGCACGTGCTATGAGCGCAGCCCAGCTGTTGAAACCCGTTTTCCCCGGAAAAGTCGGGGGAAAATTAGTGAAACGTTTGAACTCTGATTTCGCGCGTTTTTTTTCATCGCGTTATTTTTCAACTTTATAAGTTGAATTTGCATTTTTGATGATTTGTTTCGGTAAGTCCATACCGAAAGGTATCAGAATCTGCAAAGTTGTATTTTACGTTGCATGTGACCTTTAAGCAACTTTTTCTGTGATGCATGACAATTTCTAATAGATGAAAAGGTGTTTGGGTGTAGGTTATTCATGAACATCTTGCCTCATAACATTTATTAACTACCTTTCTAAACTGATATACTTAGTAATTCATGGGGACACTTTCCAGACAAACAGACTGTAGGTACGATATGAAACTCTTGTTTAACATGGAGACTATGACCAAAATTTGTTGAGCAAAGTTTCTGAAACCTTTTGTTTTAAACTTGTTCCCAGATTTTACAAGAGATCGAATTTATCTTGAGGACGCTTGGCCAGACCGAGTGACCACCTGCAACCTGGACGGCAGCAACTTCGTCACTGTCTTTCATGCACAACGAACTAAAGGGGGTGCTGGCATAACGGCCATTCAGCTGTACAGGGTAGGGTCGCCGACGAAGAAAGCACGTACACAGAGGACTGATATACCACTACACAGAGGACTGATATACCACTACACAGAGGACTGATATACCACTACACAGAGGACTGATATACCACTACATAGAGGACTGATATACCACTACACAGAGGACTGATATACCACTACACAGAGGACTGATATACCACTACACAGAAGACTGATATACACTACTACACACTAGACTGTTATACCACTACACACTAGACTGATATACAACTACACTGATATACCGCTACACACTGGACTGATATACCACTACACACTGGACTGATATACCACTACACACTAGACTGATATACCACTACACACAGGACTGATATACCACTTCACACTGGACTGATACACCACTACACACTGGACTGATACACCACTACACACTGGACTGATACACCACTACACACTGGACTGATACACCACTACACACTGGACTGATACACCCCTACATACAGAACTGATACACCACTACACACTGGACTGATACACCACTACACACAGGACTGATACACCACTACACACTGGACTGATACACCACCACACACTGGACTGATACACCACCACACACTGGACTGATACACCACCACACACTGGACTGATACACCACCACACACTGGACTGATACACCACCACACACTGGACTGATACACCACCACACACTGGACTGATACACCACTACACATATACAGAAATATGCAATGTGAACTTCACGCTCACACTATAGACACGTGACAACAACACGTGTCTTCTTGGGCATGAAAACATGGCGGAAAACGCCAACCTGAAGTAGTATCCGTTGCTCAAGGAACGCTTATCCTATGTACTTGAATATTAAATCATGTGTTCGTTGTGGTGATGATCTCACTGATTTTTTCGACTGTCCCATGGGAGTTCGGCAAGGGTGTATTTTAAGCCCTGTATTGTTTTCCTTCTTTATAAGCGAACTGTATTATGATATTTCTAATGCAGGTAAACATGGTGTGCAAATGTTTCCAGATATGATTGAAATTTTTATCCTCCTTTTTGCCGATGATGTAATTTTAGTGTCAGATACTATCGTCGGTCTACAAAACCAACTGAATATTTTGGAACGTTATACAAATGAATGGAAATTATTTGTTAATTTTTGAAAAACAAACATAGTTATCTTTAGAAGAGGTGGGCCTGTCGCCTCTAAAGAAAAAATGGTTCTTGAGTGGCAAAATGTATCTATTGTTAATCAGTATACCTACCTCGGGCTATTGTTTTCCCATACCATGAACTTTAAAAAGAGTGTTATAGACCTGACATCACGAGCTAAGAAGGCTCTTATTAACGTTATGTCCGTTTCCCAGAATTTTGGAATTTTAACCCCGAAAATATATTTTAAATTGTTTGATGCACAAATCCAACCGAATATGCTTTATGGGTCTGAAATTTGGGGATATCAACGTCATGAATGTCTAGAGAAACTACACCTTTTAGCATGTAAAAGGTTTTTAAATGTAGCGCAAGCAGCACCAACTTGTATGGTTTATGGAGAATGGTAGATATCCGATATATATAAATTCACAAATCAGATGTTTAAAATATTGGTTAAAGATCCTTGGAATGCACGAACAAAGAATCCCCAAACTAGCTTATAACATGCTTGTACATTTAGATGATAGGGGTAAGACAACATGGGCGTCTCATATTAGAACTCTTTTATTTTCACATGGCTTTGGATTTGTGTGGCTAAATCAAACAGTTGGTAATATCAATCTATTTCTTAAGCAATTTCGAGAACAATCTGTTAACATGTATTATCAAGAATGGCATTCCTGTCTAGACAACAGTTCAAGATACCAGTTGTACAGATCACATAAGAGCTTAATTCAACCAGAACTATATCTATCTGTATTGACATCTAGAAATACAAGACGCACACTTGTCAATTTTCGATTGGGCTTGTTAGACTTATCAGTAAATAAGGGCAGACGATTTTCAATAGAGAGACGTTTAAGGATATGTCCATTATGTAACTCGGCTATAGAAGATGAAATTCACTTCGCTTTTGTATGCCCACATTATGCTGATTTAAGAAAAAAATATATCCCAAATAATTACCTGTTAAAATATCCTAAATCTGCTTTTGCTTCCATTCTATCTTCCAAAAATGAAAATGTAATACGTAATCTTGCGCTTTATGTAAAACATGCTGTTTTCCTTAGAAGCAATATCTTATCTGAACTGTAATTTCTTTGTAAAACTACACACATGGACTGTATATGTACTTGTACTATATGGGCCGGAGGCCTTAAGTACGATAAATATCTTTGACTTTGACTTGACTTGACTGATACACCACCACACACTGGACTGATACACCACCACACACTGGACTGATACACCACCACACACTGGACTGATACACCACCACACACTGGACTATACACCACTACACATATACAGAAATATGCAATGTGAACTTCACGCTCACACTATAGACACGTGACAACAACACGTGTCTTCTTGGGCATGAAAACATGGCGGAAAACGCCAACCTGAAGTAGTATCCGTTGCTCAAGGAACGCTTATCCAAGTTCTTACAGGGTCTGGGTTTGATTCATAAGCTGTCGCGCTGGTCTCACCATCACATCGCAAAAGTGTTTGATACGTTTTGTGAGTTGGGAACGGGAAGGCCAGTCCATGACATCAACACTGGCGTTGCGTGAGAATGTGCGCGTCCGAAGCCAGAGTGTGGACCCATCATAAACGTTGACCACGATGAAATTGCGCCAGAATAGGTAATGCGTCGCATACATGCGGTGCGTAGTCGATGATCTGAGCGGACGCTACCTTAAACAACTGTTTGGTTGTGTAGGTTATAATCACAAACCTGATGTAGAGATTACTTAATTTGATTTGTACTCCATCTGGGCGTGAAGTCACACTCCGGTTGCAAGGCCATGCTCATTGTCGTGTGTATGGCACAACAAACGTATTACTCCCCTCACAATTATTGCCAATTAGGGGATGTCAAGTTTCTAATGTTGTTGAGTATACAATCAGAGTCAGACATGTCTAACAAACTCAACGGCAACCATAACATACACTGGTATGCCAAGGACAACAAGTTATGTCCAGACTCCCATGTGCGGTAATGTACATGGTATAACCACACGTGTAGATCATCGCTATGCATTTGTCAATACACCACCCCGTGTGCTGTCACTCTGTCCAGTTGTACCTCCCTTTCACATTCTGTGCCTGACATGTAAACATGAATGTGTCTTGCCCACAGGATCGGTTGTACTTAGTGAACCCTGTCACCAATCAGCTGCAGCGCTTTGATCTGAATCAGACAGACGGAATAACGGTCCCGATCCCTGATGGCGACAGACTTGTCGGACTAGCTGTGCTCGCTTCAGACATACAGCCGAGAGGTACACAATTCCGAGCCAGTTCCAGAACTATACCTAGAAAAGTAGTACCAACCATGTCCACTCATCTGAACTATACACCCAGAAAAGTAGTACCAACATGTCCACTCATCTGAACTATACACCTAGAAAAGTAGTACCAACCATGTCCACTCATCTGAACTATACTTCCCATCAAAAGTTTAGACTCACTTAAAACACTCACTATATATTATGTATACATATACATGGTTATATCGAAGATAGATTTCTCCACTAACTTGGGGGAACCAACTGCAAACCTTATGCAGATGAACTGCACGAGGATCATGCATCAAATTGCTGAAAAACGTGCAAATATCGTGCATGTGAACAGCTGCGTTTTTGGTGTAAAGTTTTGTTGATTTTTATCATTTATTGAACTCATGACAATAAACTTTTCAACGTTATGAGTTTGTTTTACAATACATCAGTTGTAAACAGTACCTTTTAAACAATATGGAATATTTTGCAAAATGTAGTTTAGAACAGTTGCCTGAAGTAAGTGGCTATATTTACACTAGTGAGTCTAAACTCTAGTGAGTGATAGGAAGTATATATACCTAGAAAAGTAGTACCAAGATGTCTGAACTATACACCCGTTTACATGTCACCAAGTAGATGTCTGTCCATAAGAGTCACAATACGGTTACATGTCACCAAGTAGATGTCTGTCCATAAGAGTCACCATACGGTTACATGTCACCAAGTAGATGTCTGTCCATAAGAGTCACCGCCCGTTTACATGTAACCAAGTAGATGTCTGTCCATAAGGGTCACCGCCCGTTTACATGTCACCAAGTAGATGTCTGTCCATAAGAGTCACCGCCCGGTTAAATGTCACCAAGTAGATGTCTGTCCATAAGGGTCACCGCCCGTTTACATGTCACCAAGTAGATGTCTGTCCATAAGGGTCACCGCCCGTTTACATGTCACCAAGTAGATGTCTGTCCATAAGAGTCACCGCCCGTTTACATGTCACCAAGTAGATGTCTGTCCATAAGAGTCACCGCCCGTTTACATGTCACCAAGCAGATGTCTGTCCATAAGGGTCACCGCCCGTTTACATGTCACCAAGTAGATGTCTGTCCATAAGAGTCACCGCCCGTTTACATGTCACCAAGTAGATGTCTGTCCATAAGAGTCACCACCCGGTTAAATGTCACCAAGTAGATGTCTGTCCATAAGAGTCACCACCCAGTTACATGTCACAAAGTAGATGTCTGTCCATAAGAGTCACCGCCCGATTAAATGTCACCAAGTAGATGTCTGTCCATAAGAGTCACCACCCGGTTACATGTCACAAAGTAGATGTCCGTCCATAAGAGTCACCACCCGGTTACATGTCACCAAGTAGATGTCCGTCCATAAGAGTCACCACCCGGTTACATGTCACCAAGTAGATGTCTGTCCATAAGAGTCACCGCCCAGTTACATGTCACAAAGTAGATGTCTGTCCATAAGAGTCACCGCCCGGTTACATGTCACCAAGTAGATGTCTGTCCATAAGAGTCACCACCCGGTTACATGTCACAAAGTAGATGTCTGTCCATAAGAGTCACCGCCCGGTTAAATGTCACCAAGTAAATGTGTGTTTTTGGTGTGTCACCTCGCAATAATCTATCACTGATTAGTTTCCAGTCGCTGTGGTTCGATCAATGGTGGATGTGAGATTTGTCTGCCAACGCCGTCTGGGTTCAATACTACTCTTGGCTTCAAATGCGCATGCCCAGATCATCTGTATTTACAAAAGGATGGCAGGACATGCGGTGACACGGGTAAGCCGGAAAGAAGAGACGATGACAGCCAAGAGCAGTTATTGTTTGTAGTTCTTGAATGGGTTATCGTCTGGTTGATGAAACTCTGCAGCTTAATTCGTGTCACGTAACATCAGCATTTTGATTTGTGTTTTCTCTATATCTCGGTTATTTTGCACTCAGTTTTACACAGAAAACTACGCCCAATGGAAAACATTGCATGATTAAATATAAAGGCAGAGGCCATTTTAGAAGACCCAAATACATCTTCAACTTACGTCAAAGGTCCATGAACAAATACTGATTCTATGAAATGAGATGCCTTAACACCGCTTGATCACTTCCACTTCCTTTCACTAGAACGGTTTCAGAAGGACAAAGAATCGTAATTATTATTACATGTACATAAAACATAAAGTGTAGATGATAAGGCATCATTATTTCAAATAGCAACAGTGTCACAATGATGTAGACAGTGTCACCAGGATGTAGACACGGTGTCACTAGGGTGTAGACAGTGTCACTAGGGTGTAGACAGTGTCACTAGGGTGTAGACAGTGTCACCAGGATGTAGACAGTGTCACTAGGATGTAGACAGTGCTTCTGCAGTGTTCACTTTCCACAGATCCCGACCCCCCTGTGTGTTCGGATGGCTTCCGACTGGACATGGTCACGTGTGTGGATGTGGACGAGTGCTCGGTGTTCCCACCGCCATGTTCCCAGACCTGTGTGAACACCCCTGGAAGTTATCGGTGTTCATGTACCTACGGGTATACTCTCGTGAACGGAACCACGTGTAGAGTACAAGGTGAGCAGTTATAAATATAGATAGATCAAAGACGTCAATATACGTCTTTGGATAGATATAAAAGTCATACATATCTACAGATAGCACAGTCCTATATATACAGATGATACTCATGTAGGTCTACAGATAACTCATGTACAGTCCTAGATACAGATGATAAAGTCATGTAGGTCTACAAAAATATGTTCTCGTAGATAGGACAATCTGATGGCTGTATCGATGTTACAGTAAGACAGATGTACATGTATTGTAGTCCTATAGTTGTACAGATGATATAGTCCTATAGCTGTACAGATGATATAGTCCTATAGCTGTACAGATGATATAGTCCTATAGTTGTACAGATGATATAGACCTATAGTTGTACAGATGATATAGTCCTATAGCTGTACAGATGACATAGACCCATAGTTGTACAGATGATATAGTCCTATGGCTGTACAGATGATATAGTCCTATAGCTGTACAGATGACATAGACCCATAGTTGTACAGATGATATAGTCCTATAGCTGTACAGATGATATAGTCCTATAGTTGTACAGATGATATAGTCCTATAGTTGTACAGATGATATAGTCCTATAGTTGTACAGATGATATAGTCCTATAGTTGTACAGATGATATAGTCCTATAGTTGTACAGATGATATAGTCCTATAGTTGTACAGATGATATAGTCCTATAGTTGTACAGATGATATAGTCCTATACTTGTACAGATGACATAGTCCTTTAGTTGTACAGATGATATAGTCCTATAGTTGTACAGATTATATAGTCCTATAGTTGTACAGATGACATAGTCCTTTAGTTGTAAAGATGACATAGTCCTATAGTTGTACAGATGACATAGTCCTATAGTTGTAAAGATGACATAGTCCTTTAGTTGTAAAGATGACATAGTCCTTTAGTTGTAAAGATGATATAGTCCTATAGTTGTACAGATGACAGTCCTTTAGTTGTACAGATGACAGTGCTTTATTTGTACAGATGATATAGTCCTATAGTTGTACAGATGATATAGTCCTATAGATGTACAGATGACATAGTTCTATAGTTGTACAGATGATATAGTCCTATAGTTGTACAGATGACATAGTCCTATAGTTGCACAGATGACATAGTCCTATAGTTGTACAGATTATATAGTCCTATAGTTGTACAGTAGTGAGTAGCAGCATGCGCCAATTTGCAAGGGTTGTGAAAATTGGTCTCCCGATAATTACCTAGTTTTGGACCCCCAAACGCCTACCAAGAAGCTCTGGAATGGGCTGATATGATGCCCTAGGCCTGCTGAACTATGGGAGGAAGATTGCAAGAAATAGTGCAAATCTTGCATTGTAAATCTTTTTAAACTGTATCACTATGAAGATTCTATCTACGTTCAAAACATTGAGCTGAGGAGGGTGAGTGTACCCAAGCCATATACCCAGGACTGATTGACTGACAATAGACCTCAGTAAAACACAATGAGGAGCTCCGATTGTGACGAGGCAGACACTCGTTATAACACATAAACAGTGGAGGATATAGACAATGGTATATTCTGAGAGTTACACCAGAAATTTGGACAGCTTGACAAGATTTCATTCGAAAATGAAATGGTCGAGCTATATGCAGAGGATGAAGACAAACTCAACGAGGTGAGATACAGTGTTTATGATATAGTCAGAGAGAGATGTGATAATGTGCCTAATGGATACTTGATGAAGAGGGTGCAAAGAGAAAACTCAAGAAAAAGTGTAGCAGAAAAATATGCTTCTGATGTTTTCTATCTTTACGGGTTCATAACAGGATCTGTACATCCGGATGTACTCCAGAAAGAAGTGTTAAACAAGTCAAAGTGGCAAAACCAGAATGATACTAGCACTGATCCTGTCCCCAGCCAAAAAGAAAAACAATCACAGAAAAATACTGACATCACGAGTAGTAGTAGGAGTAATGGGGGTACGAGATCACTTTCAAGAAAGGTTGCTGTAAAGCTTTATTTCATTAATATAGCTTTGTCAGGCCCTTAGATCTCGCCCCCATCGTATATACTACTTTTGAAACCCCAGTTAACTTACCGGCCAGGCGTGCCACTTCCTGATCACGTGATAGCTCTATGTCGTGTTGATCTCAATGAAACAGTTTAATGTGAATCGCCTATGATCTCTTTGGTGTTCGTAATAAAGGCTTGCTGGGCTTTTCGTACCCCCTGTTCTATGTACTTTTTTTTTTCGTCTTCGCTGATAGCAGACTGACGAGACTGACCAGATTTCTTGTTTCATCTTACGGTACTTGTCGAGTTCAGAGAGGATTGAACGAAATTCCTCCTCTGAGATCTTACTGTCAGTGAGTGCCGTGGAAATACGCTCACTTACCATGTTCAGCTTTGCTTCGGCCAGAACCCTGATCTCATCGTGTTTCAATGTTTTACGATGCAGTCTGCGTGATGCAAACTTAAACACCAACCCTGCCACCCCCACAACCCCAGCTGTTATTTCAATACCTAGCACTATAGGTGCGGCCACGATGGTGGCTAACAACCCAACACCTGCCGCCCCTAGTCCCATGCTGGTTGCCATAAGGGCAGTATCAGTCCCGTCCACGATATTGAAAGCTGTATGGTACTTCTTATATAGTGCTTTCCGTGTGTCGCAGTTTTGTTCTAGTTGGCGTTTTACATCACATAACTGTCTCAAGCGGAATCCGTCTACGGTTTCCAGGGTCTTCCACAACTGGGTACAGGCCCATTCTGTGCATATACTACAAGAGATATTTTAATTGGGCTTTAGTTAATGGTTGATCAATGTACTTGATACTTGCAAAGCCTAGATACTTACCTAGGTAAATAGGTGAGAGGCTAATAGGTACCTCTGCTCTAACATAAAACCCCTGGAGGCTTACTAAAGAGCATATAGGATCAGTTAAGGCGTCCGGTTGTATGACGATACGGCAGTGTTGGTATATGTGTTCGGTGCGCCAGTATATTGCCACCCCAGGTAAAAGTGGTACTGGTGCACTATCCGGGGCTATCTTCGAAAAGAGGACTTCTATGATGAGTGTGGAGCGTGAGCCAAACAAACCTTAATTTATTTTTTCCTACTGAATTTAACTTGTGTGGTTTACCAGTGCCTATCTTGACATATGTAATAGACTCCGGAATGAAAACCCCGAGCAAGAGACCGTTGTTCCTAATTTCGGAGACAAACCCATCTTTGTTTATCGAGATATAAGGTGCGGTGAGGGTCATGTTGATCAACCATGCGGGTTCTTTAAAGTCTGCCAGAGGCTGCCGTATGTACACACCGTCTCTTAAGAGCAGGACGTATAAGCCACCTTCCTCGCCGGGTAGATCGAATCCCTCCGTGTCCCCTAGATCGTTAAGTGTGGCTTTGGGCCTATGACGATTGGACATTGCTATAATACTATTATGAGATAGTTTCCAATTGTTTTTCTGATAATTTCTCAGGGGTGCACTTCACCCCCATGAAGTGTATGTTGTCGGGTAGGAAGATCTTGGTGAGTGATATCATGTCTTCCACGGTCACGATGACCCCCTGCAGACTGGTGTGGGAGTCGACACCCAGCCGCACGTAAATAGTGCAAACCTGATACTGGTGCCGTTTCACCCACCCAAGTTTGACACCCTTCACGATTTCGACTTCATCCCGCGATGGTTCCCCTAGGTAGACTTTGATGACCAGCGTGGAGTTCGCCGGTAGGCTCGCCAGGACGTTGACCACGCCAGCGAATTCAGACACCAACTGCAATGCCACGTCTTGCACTCCCGGTTTACTCAATAGCATGTGGGCTGCCATACTGGCGACTGGGCTGATGACTACGCTACGTCTCTGAGCCGGGATGTAAGCCACGAGAAGGGTTCCATTGTTCACGACTTTGTTTAGGTAGTTGTCTTTGTTCTCCGTGAACACGTAGGGGGAGCCGACCCTAATATTGAGAAACCAGTCGCCTTTAGCGGGTAACAACACCCATTTGTCATCGTCGGTGAAGACGAGCGTATATGGCTTGTTTCGGGCGACGGTCGTTCTCTCAATATCTTCTATATCGAACAGTTTGCCCCCGAACGATGGGTATACCATCCATTTATCATCACCGGTGCGGACTAGGGTTAACCAAGTGTTGACGGTCACTCCTGAGGTATCTACTATATCACCTATGGTTCTACCGGATGGGACTTCAACGCGTTTGTAAATGTTGTTTTTCAGTTGCAAGGCATACAATTTACCATCTACTCCGGGGCCGTCGAATCCACGTGTGTCCCCGAGGTCGGAGATCCCCGCATTGATGCATTTTTTCAACCTCATTCTGGGGCCTTGTGCGCTAGTCATTTTATGTGCAGCGTTATGCTGAGGTATCCTATATTCACAGGATGATCATTTATATCTAACACCGATATTATCAGCTCTGGGACTTTGCCCCAAGTTAACCTCTTATACTGATGCGGTGAAAACGACTCAGTTCTGCTGTCATTGTTCTTCTCCGTTTTCACCGGGACGGCTGTCAGTATCGTGGAAGGGTGACCACCTTGAATGTTGTCCGTTGTGCTCAACTGACCGAGATGAATGCACAGCTCTCGGTACGGTACTAGGTTGGGTAACTTTGTGCCTGTGACGGTAGTTGTTGGTTTTATCTCATCAGGCGGCATACTGAGTGTCCTCGCCAATGGCCGGCCGAGCCTCAAGGAGTTTCTTCCGGTGTTGATTAACACCACTGTGCCGTTTGAGTCATTCATCTTGAGTTCGGCTCCCAAGGGTTTGAAGACCTCGTTGCTTAGCGAGCACACGTTGTAGTAGCCGTCAGTTATCTGGTTCGAGCGCCACTGACGAACAGCTTATTGTTGTTGACGTTGATGTTGGTCCATCGTGGTGGGTAGGTGATATCGTAGAGTGCGACTTCGAGTTGACCCGACGTGTTATCGATCGCATGCATCAGCTGAACGGCCTCGCCGCTCGTTATTCCTGGAAGTTTTACGTACATGTTAGAGTATATATACC